AATCTCTCCGCCCGGAGCGGGCGGTTGCATTTCCATCGGCAGCCATCGGAAAGAACGGACAAAACACGTACCATTCGCGGTCGCTGCCTGAGCGTGGGTACCGGTCATGGGAGCACTGTCCTGAGCAGTCTGCGGCTGCGCACTGAGGGTTTCCGTGACCATTCTGATGGGTTGAATGGGCGCGCGAGATGAGTCGAGTTTCAAGCACGGTCCGTCGACGAATCCAAACTTGATACTCGAGGAGCAAGTTGCCGAGAGCGAGAGAGGAAGGATTGGGAGTAATCGTCACCGACGACAAATGGCCAGGGCTGCGAGGAACGGGTATCTTTATCGGTCACGACGAAGGAATGCGGCGGAGAAATAGAGAGCGATGACTCGAGGAATATCAAGTGAAGCCGTAGGATCGTCGCGTGTCCAAAAAAGAAAAGAAAAAGGACCTAGAAAGCCGGTATCCGATGTAGAGCGCACACACGCAAACGCACACACACGGAGAGGCAGTCGTAATCGGGGCGGTCGTAACTTTGTGGATTATACTCTGGGTTTCTGCGGACAGTTATGACAATTAGCTTCAAGGAACCCGCTACGAACCGAGAGCCAAAGATTGATGGCTGACACTTGCCGGTAAGGAAAGGATTGCGATGCTCGTTTTCGATCGTTGGAATCGTTGGAATCGTTGGAATCGTGCGAGATGGAGGGTGGGTATTCTCGGAGTGGGGCGGGGCATACGAGGAAGAAACACGGATGGACTCACGTAGGCGAAAACTTCTTTATAAACCGGGGAGGCGAATAGTGAGCACCAGGGATCAGGTCCAGGATATCACCGACGTGGTTTTCGACGGACCAGTTCGGTCAGCTGCGTGTGTGTGGGAGAGATACGCCGAAGGAAGCGGGAGTTTCTGAAGATCACACCCCGTTGGCGATCCCGAACGAAGAAGGACTCGAGAGATTTTGGCTGAGGGAGTGGCGGGTATATCTAACTCGTGGGGAAGAAGAAAATGCGGAGGGAGCGGTAGGTAGTAGTAGTTTGGATGCGACCGGTCGTCTTTTAGATGTCTGCGAGAAGGGGAGATTTTTTCTTTCGTTTTTCTTCGCTTTTTTTTTTTTCTTCTTCTTCTTCTTCTTCTTCTTCGTCGTTTCTTTCCTTCTTTGGGGTTTCTTTCCTTCTTTTTCTTTTCTTCTATTCTCTTCTCTTTTGTTTCGTGGAGATACGTTTCGATCGTTTCTGTCCGTCGATGGACTATGGGGTGATGGCGGAGGTGGTGGTGGAGGTAGTGTAGGTGTAGGTGTAGGTGGTGGAGGTAGTGGTGGTGGTGGGTATGGAGGTTGTGCGTTTTTACGGTGCGGCCGCGGCGTTCTCGACTCGACCTATTTTACAGGGCGGCCTGAAGGAGGGGTGGTGGGGCGAATTGGATGGATGGAGGGGGGGGGATCTTGGACTTTTCGGTGCGGCTGTTGTTGCTGCTACGTGCGTGCGTACGGGTACAACGGGCGATGCTCGATACTGCCTGGTTCGGATGATTGCTCGATATGGACCGTGGTGGGGGGAGGGTGGGAAGGTGTCCGAGAAGGAAGACCGATTCCGGGTACTCCGAAACGGCCGTGGATAAACAGGTCGAGTAGGGCAAGAATGGCCGCGCGAAGACGGGGAGGAAGAGAGGATTCTGGGAGGACGGGGGGGGTAGTGGTCTTGATGGTGGGGGAAGCACGATGTATGTGGGTGGGAGGTAGGAGGTGCACGTAAGTATCGGCAGAACGGGTAGAGCTGAATGGGTAGGGCAGCACAGAGCAGCAGAGCAGCACAGAGCAGAGCAGCACAGAGCAGAGCAGCAGCAGAGCAGCAGCAGAGCAGCACAGAGCAGAGCAGCAGCAGAGCACGCAGCAGAGCAGTGTGATCAGTGGCGGGTGGTTGGTCACTTTGTGGCCGTAGCTAGAGCAGAGCAGAGCAGCGAGCAGCGAGTCGGTACTCTCGCTGGCTGGCGGGCTGGCTGGCCTGCTTGCTGCCCTGGCCTTCTGGGTATCCCACCGCCGTGTGGGCGAAGTGCGCGATTCCCAGCAGGGGTGGGCCGTGCGTGGGCAGGCAGGCAGGCAAGAGTAGGCAGGCAGCGGAGGTGACAGTGATGTGTGTGTGAGAGAGCATGCGAAGTGAGAGCGAGTGTGAGTGAAAGCGTGAGCAGCGTGTGGGTGTGTGATGTGCTTCCTGCAGCACAGTTCCAGTCGCACACCCATCAGCAGCGGCGGCGGCAGCAGGACCAGGACCAGGACTAGCACCAGGACCAGGACCAGGACTAGCACCAGGCGCAGGAGCGAGCGAGAGAACGAACGAACGACAGAACGAGCAGCACGCAGGGTGGGTGGGTGTGACTAAAGTTCCAACCGGAACACTACCGGTTCACGACTCCGACCGAGCGAGCGAGACGAGGGCCAGAGGCGAGACGAGGTTGTCGCGATAGCAGAGGATAATGCGACGCGGAAGTATGGATGGCGGCGTAACCCAGCGGGGTGGGTAGTGGGGGAAAAAGCAAAGAAGAGGAAAAGAAAAAGACTCGTAAAGACACTGGCACCGACAGGTCACCAATAAAGTTAACTAGAGCAATTATCCCCATCGAAACGAGACCACTGACTGACCGACCGACCGACCGTAGCGATGATGGTGACTCTGGAGGCCTTTTCTCGTGTTCCGGATGCGCTGCTCAGCTCAACCAATTGACGCCTCCATCGATTGGTGATGGAGCGAACTGGCTGGCTGCGAACTGGCTGGCATAACGGCAACATCTGCGATGCGGTACGGCTGTACCCTACCTCTCTGCCTAGCAAGAGAACGGAGGCGAACGACGATGGCCTGCTTCACAGTTCATACATAGCAGCCCAGTTCACACATAGCAGCACATGGTGGCGGTGGTGGAGGGGAGGGGGGGGGGCGGGGCGGGGGGGCGGTTGCCTGGAGATAGATTGGCTTGGCCTGGCGTGTAGAGTACCTTTCATACCCAGCAGTGGAGGAAGCCTCAAGCAAGGCCAGCCCAACAGAGACAGAGCGAAACATCGAAAGGTAGGTAGCCCTAAGCCTGTAAGCTGTAAGTAGGGACGACTCGAAATAGCCAAAGGCCTATTCTGCACCAGCCGCACTGCGCAGCCCCCCAATGGGAAAATCTACATGCACTCCCGTCCGCATACAGAAACATGACAGTGGCACCCTCCACCCTGCAGCGCGAGCGTAGAGTACATGTAACATGCTGACCGACTGGTCAGTTTGGTCCGATCCGCTCCTCCCTGAGTCCCCTCGCACCGCCAATCAGCGTGCCCGCCGCCCCCGCCGCCGCCGGGGTTCCCGTGAGCTCGGTACGCACGGCAAGCAATCGTCCTTCGCTCCGATGCATATCGCTCTCCCTCTGCCACTCTCACCCCCGGGGAAGGGGGTGACGAACTACATAATACGAAGCCCCATTTTCCTGACGACAGTCGTTATTATCCGCATAGCGTCACTGCATAACTGCAACTGCATACCTGTAACTGCATACCTGTAACTGCATACCTGTAACCTAGGCAGGTAGGCAGGTGGGTACTTGATAATCTACCATGTGGGTCTGTTTTGTATGCCCGAGGAACGTAACCACGCCTGCCAGCCAGCTGCCAACCAGCTGTCAATGTCAATGTCAATTTCAATGTCATCCAAGCTGTCTGCATCACCAGGAGCAGCAGCAGCAGCGAGCATACAGGGACCCGGGTAGTTATGCATGTGCGTATGTACATATGTGGACATATGTATGTGGACATGTCGAGTATCGCGCATCGACGAGGACGGCGGCGGCGGCGGATTACGAGCCCCGGCCGGACCGGGTGGTAGACGGTAGTGGTGGTGGGGCGGTGGTGGTGGGGTGGCCGTGGCACAGATGTCCCGTACGTATATCCCGTACCCGTGAGCTCCCGACGATGCGGTCCTCGCTGCTCGGAACGATCCAGCGGTCAGAGGTCAGCGGTCAGCGGTCAGCGGTCAGCCCATGGCCCCAACGGTCAGCGGCCAGCGCGCTCGCTATTGGCTGGAGAGTCGAGAACCACATCGGCCCGGCATCGGGTGTAGGCTTTAGGGCCTTGTACCGACTTGTATGATGTTCCCGTATCTGTCTCGGAATATGCTCTTGATCTTACGCGGCGGATGTGCTGAGCCCGAGCCCGAGCCCGCTCGTATTTGGAGTACATATAGCTACAGTAACTCATACGTGCCCCCCACCGCATACCTACGTGAGTGTGAGTGGGTGCACACATGTCTCTTTACGTACCATGTACCTACACCTGTGCCATATCCCCGGCGCGCGCCCACCGCGCACTGCCCACCGCCCATTACAAAACATCGGACGGAGTCACACAACTGACCGGCAGACCGGGTGGAAATGGGTTGACCGCCGGCCCCACTAGTTACAGCATCGGACGAAACACCGCCGTGTTGCGGCATTACGAGGGCCCGGGGAGCACCCGGGGGAGTAGAGTACCTGGGGAGGATTCACTGCATACCTGGTCCTCTATGTACACTAGATACTCTCAGCAGGCATTGAGGACCACTAATACTATATGTACTCTACTCTACTCTCTAAGGTTCGTAGAGTACTTGCTGACACGATGACTGGCCGTACTACGGTATGTACTCTACATATCTACCGGTCAAACAAACAGACTCCGGAGACTCCAGAGAAGGTGAGATGTGATGGGTGCCAAAAACTGCAGCCAGAACTGGGGTAGGCAGTGGATGGACGGATCGGACATATTTATGTGGGTAGGTAGTACCTAGGTATGTAAGTGTTGGTTATCGTGCAATCTATTGTATCATAGTATCATAGTACCTATCATAGTATCGTATATATGTAGTATCGTATGTAGTATCATAATAGGTATCATAGTACCATAGCACCATATAGTGAAATCAGTGTGGCCGGGGGCTGAGGGCTAGTTAAGGGCTGAGGGCTGAGGGCTGAGGGCTGGGGCGGGTCGGGCGAGTAACTTCCTGCTTGCATACCGGAGAACCTAGGTCCCAAGTACCCGTGTACCGTACCATACCATACCATACCTACCTCTCGCACCATACAGTACGGTACTTACACTCCATACAGTACGGTACACGCCAGTACAGCTACTTCTCATCACTGTCACCGTCCCCGTCGCCGTCTGGAACACACACTCCATCTCCATCTCCAAGCCTTCCAACCGGTACACCTGTATAGAGTAAGCACCTAGTACACCGGTACACCAGTACAGTGCCGCCGTACCGCCATGCAGCATTACCAAAAACACGAACTCAAGCCTCAGGCCGCGAGCCTACAAGGCTAGGTACTCAAACTGCGAGCATTCTCAGGCTGCATACCTAGGCTGCTCGGGATACATACGATATCTTAGATAAGCCCGAGCCCATACCTCTAAGATCGACCGCCGACGCCCGGGGAGTCCGGCGGAACAGACCTCACGAGTGACCGACTCACCGACTCACCGCTCCACCCACCGTTCAACGGGTATGTTTCTCGCAGTATGCTTCTCGCGGTACAGTACGGTATGTCCCCGACGTCCGCGCGGGGCGCGTGTGTTTCTCACGATAGGTACTCATCCATCTACGCACCCTTGTTGAACAAACCCTGGTGGATAACCCCTTGGACAAACCTTTGGACAAACCCTTGGATAAACCAGATGCTATACATAGTCGGCCTTGTCGTCCGCTCGTGTCGAAGGCGGTCGTGAAACAGATGGGTTGGTGCATAACTACGGTGCTTGGGTACCGCATGTACGAGTACATGCTCTACGTACATACTCTCCGTACATACATCTCAGACATATCTACCCATCATACATACCAAGTACTAAGTACCCAAGTAGGTAATTGTCTGTCACTGTCATCACTGCCAGCCACTCTAGTGGGGCCGAGCTACCAGTACTCTACCAGTCCTCTAGTAGTTATGATCCCTCCAGACTCCAGAGTCCAAAGTAGAGTGTGCGTGAGCATCACGAGAAAAATAAAAACTCAAAGAAAAAGAAAAGAGAGGAAAGGAAGAAGAAAAGGCGCCCTCCCTGCAAATACACCGTGTGTGCGGCGGCTGGCGAAATCACGTATCTACTAGAGCTAGTGTGTAGGTGTGTATGAAGATCAAGGGTTCACACCATACCATACCTACCGTATGGTTAGTTCGGCTTCAGCTTGTGGTGGGTGGGTTGTGTATGAAGGTTGGGTTGAGTAGGTTGGGTTCGGTGTGTAGTTAGATACATACGATGTACCTATGATGGTTACATACGAATTTCCGCCCCGTGCCATTGTGCTTCACTCCCTCCCTCCCTCCATCCCTCCCTCGTGCGAACAGGAGATCTGTATAGCATGTCTCTATGTAAGTGAGTATGATACTTGCATATATGCTAGGTAGGCAGTATGAGTACCTACACTCCACGGCCAAGAACGGTCCTCGGAGAGCTCCACACCCGATCCATACGTTTCTCCTTCCTCTTGGAAGTCCAAGGGGAAACCACCACCACCACCAGCAGTCACGGGGATGGGGCTGGCAGCGGCGGGCATCAATCGCCATCCACATCCCACATATATCCCACAACCCACATCCCACATCCCCACGCTTCCCTTCCCCTTCCTCTCCCCCTTCCCCCGTCACATTCTCATGGCATGCACGCCTGCCGAGCAGTTTCAATCGGGGAGGGAAGGGGTTCTGTTCTGATCAGATCAGATCAGTGACAGCATGAGGTATGTACTGTACATATGTAGCCTGTAGATACTCCGCTACCTACCTATGCTACCTATGATGGATAGTGACGCCCAGTCCAGCTGCGTCCATATTGTGTATATTGTGCTGGTTAATATCCGTTGATTGAGTTTGGCTGGTTGAGTTCCCTCCTCCGCCCCACCCCCACCCCACCATTCCCACCGCTACATATCCCCACCACCATCCCCACCATCCTCATCCCCGGAGAGTAGAGCACATATCGGAGCATGGGAGCATGGGAGAATGGGAGCATGGGAGCATGGGAGCATGGGAGCATGGTAGTATGGTAGTATGGCAGCATGATAGTATGGTAGCTGGTCACGGTGGTCGGTGGTCGGTGGGCGTCATGGTGGTGGTGGTGGTGGTGGTGGTGGTGGTGGTGGTGGTGGTGGGCGTCTTGGCGGTTGTCGCACATGTAGAGTAGAGTACTCACGATCCACATCTCACCGCCGCCGTACATACATGCTTCGTCGTACATCCTCCGTCGGCCGGTATGTACCCAGCGTACATAACTCACGATAACTCCGAGAATGTGTCGCCATGTACTCTACCTACTCTAGGCTGGGTCTCTAGAGTAGCTTCGCCGGAGCGTGTCCGATGTGGTATTCATGTATCATGTCGCAGGTTGGCCCTTGGGTGCAAGGGTACAGCCCACCACCAGCCCACCAGCCCACCAGCCCACCACCACCACCACCACCACCACCACCACCACCACCGCGACGGCCGAAACCAATTCATCCATCCAATTGCGCGCATGACCCCAGGTTTTCGCAGCCTTGGTAAGTCGGTATGGGTTGACGGGGGGTGGCTGGGATTAGATCGTGTGTACTCTATGAAACGGTACACAGCAGCAGCAGCCATCAGCAGGAGCAAGAAGAGGAAGCAGAAGAAGAAACAGTTCACATTCGCGTTCGTGGACCTCGCTTCGGCGCTGGATAAGCTCTGCACAAGCGGTATCTGGTACTTAACAGAAGTACTTATGATGCGCCCGTGTTGTGGGTGGGTGGGATGGGAGCGCCCGCTGCAGCAAGTCGAATGCGGCAGCCAGGGATGGCGCTCGCGTTTGAGCCTTGAGGCTTGAGGTACATGCATGTGCCAAGGCTCAGGTGGGCTCTTGGTGGGAGTGCCATTTTGAGGAGCATCGCCACCGCGGGTAGAGGAGGGCGGATGGCAGATGGTGGAAGGCGTTGGTGGATGGTGGAAGGCGCGGGAGGGCGGGAGGGCGGGCGGGCGGGATGTGGACGGCGGCGGCGAACTCACTGGAAACGACAATCTAAAGTACCTGCTAGTATCCCCTGCGGCCAGCTCCCCAACAACCTCGATAGCGGCCGCTCAGCGCACTCCAACCAGCGACGGGCGGGCTGCGCATCCATCCCAACAACTCACGCCGACCAGTCGTTCCAGATACATGTACGCTCCCGTTGCCGCCGAGATGTTGGAAGGGTCCGGCGCCGTTCGGAGCCGGCGAAAGGCGTTGGACCGAACGCCTTCCATGTGAGGCACTATCGGTGCTACCTACATGGCGGAATATAGACTCCAGAGTAGTGAGGGCTCTACTCTACTCTAGGACTGCATTCTGAATCCGTCGTCGTGCTTCGACTCGCACTGCAGTTGCAGATGCAGATGCCGGCTATCGGTAGGGTTCGCTCTGTTTGGTTGGAATCACCACCACCACCCCACCACCACCGCCGCCATCCATCTCCACCAAAACACCCTTTTTTCCCTGCCGATTCCAATCCATGTAAGCCTTCTGCATGGCGGCGGCGGCTGGGAGCGAACGACGGAAGGCCCACTGTCGTCATCGCAAACGGATGCAACACGAGCCTCCTCTTCGCCCTCTTTGCTCTTTCTCACGCTCTCTCTCTCTATCTCGGCTGCGTGGATAAGATTGCGATTCGTCCGTTGCTCGGGGAAGGAAGCGAGCGCCCCAGAAAGCACAGACTCTTGTCTCGGAACCGCGCACGGATTCAGTGGGGCACGGCTGATCCCGCGAATGATGCCGTTCCGTGTTTCCCAAAGCGAACCCTACCCACTCGTACAAACGTGCTCGACTAGTGCCGTACTCTATTCTACGCCACTATGCTCTGCTCTACCCTGCTTTGCTCTGCTCTACCCTGCTTTGCTCTGCTCTACCCTGCTTTGCTCTTCCCTACTCTGCTCTGTTCTATATCTCGACGCATCACCGCCCGCTCGAGAAGGAGCATCCCTCTTTCCCCCGTTAGATGTGTCCACGGGCGAGAACCGTTCGGTTTGCTTCCGCTACATATGAGGTGGTGCGGGGCGCGCGTTTGGAGCTGTCGACTCGGAGCCGATTGTTTCCTTTTTCGACGTTGCCTCTCTCTGGAACCCCCATTGCCCAAGCTCCTTCACGATAGGCAACTACCGACGACGACGACGCATTCCTACTAGCAGATACCCACTCTACGCCTGGCGCGAACGCGACAGACGAAAAGACGAGCCGGTGGTGAAACTCCCCGCGCGTACGTACGTACGAGTAGCGGCGTGTCATCGCTCTGCCTATCTATCTCATCGTATCGTGACTTTTTTTCTTTTCTTTCTTTCTTCGCCTTCCACCATCTATATCTATCCTCGACAGCACGTAGCCCCGGAGAACAGCCAAGAGCGACAAGTTGGTCATTGGCCCGGCCCAGAACGTGAGAGCACGTAATGCCGGCCGGATTTGCCTTCCACTTCAGGTGCTGCCTACATGCGGTACCTACGAGTAGAGTAGGTACGTCGTGACGAGCTGCGAGCAGGCAAGGCGAGGCTACCTGCTCCCCCAAGTACCTGCCCAACCCTGCAAACCGGGTGAACCCAACAACCACAAGCACTGCAGATTCCTCTGTTGCCTACTATGACGGGCGCTCCGTCTCAGGCTCTCAGCCCTGGGCTCTGTCCGGCGCCCGCTGCGGGTTGAAACCCGGAGCCCGTGACGATGCGACTACTGCTCTACGTACTGTGTCTGGAACCGGAAGGAATCTTCGGCGATCAGAATGCCCGTTTATTCGCGGCTGCACAGTGCAGAGCCGTCCACTTGTAAGTTTTGAGCACGGTGTGTCTGGTATCTATCAATAGTACTAGCACTATTACAGTATTACTCTAGCACTGCACTTCCGGAGCCGGACCACGGATGTCGATTGAAAACGATCAACGTTGAACGGACGACGGACGACGGACGAGTCACGACGGTGGGACGAGCCACGACGGACAGACGTCGCGACGGCTGAAAAAAGGGTCAAGGACGGACGACGCCGACGGACGCCCTTTTTTTCTTTCTTTCTTTCTCCCCTGGTCTTTTTGCAGGATCGCCGCGACGCCCGCAGGCGAAGAGCAGATGATCATATGTATGGTCTGTCGTCGTTCCGAGTCTCCGACAGCCTTGTCTCGTGGGGGGCCGGAGGATCGGCGGAGGATTGGAGGGTGATTGGTGCGGCGGGATTGGTGGGGCACTGGGCTGTGCGCGCTGCCGGCCTTCCCCTTCTCGACTTGTCATCGGTCAATCGACGATACATACAGTACAGAACCGGCCGCCGAACGACGGCGACGATGCCAGACGCCAAGGTACGATATGTACCTGCTCTCTTTGACACTTCGCTACTAATCATGGGAAGAGCACCAGTACGATAGGGCTCTAGATACGTGGAGGACTCGTACGGAGAGTACCAGTTATACACATCCTACATGCAACCACTCATAAGTACATACACTTCATCGGCTTCCTTCGCTTCGTACATACGATACACCGATTTGACGCATTACGGCCACGCAGAGATCGTGGCTCGCCATCCAGCCATCAAGATGAATTGGAATTCTCGTTCGTCACCGCAGGTCCGCAGCCACACGAGCACAAGCATTGAGTTGAGTGGTCCGTCGACGTTCCGGCATCCCATCCATGGACCTCCCGAGTCGCCCCCCCCCCCCCCCCCCACTTCCCACCTCCCAAACCCCTGGCCCTTCTGTGGATCTTATCCCACTCCCACTCTCACGATCCGAATAAACTTCCCACGGGAAAAGAAAGAAAGAAAGAAAGAAAGCGAAAGAAAAAAATCCTTTCCGGCCGGCCGCAGCTGCTGCATTTCCGTGGGGGTTCGCAGCGTCGCAGCGTCGCAGAGTCGCGGCGTCACGGCGTCCGTCCGCCAGATCAAATACCAAATCCCCTGATTCCCACGGACGTCCGGTCTATCTATAAGAAGTATTTCGGGGGTTTGCTTTACCTACTTGTTTCTTTTTTGGTGAGCGAGAGACGGAGACAGCGAGCGAATAAACAATATCCGCACCCCCGCCCCCCGCCCCCCGCAGCAAAAGAATTACGATAAAACGGACCGGTCGTCTGGCTATCTTTGGATTGTGGATTTGGATCGAGGAAGTGGAAGTGGAAGTGCTCACTACTTACTTACGTTGATGCTGATGCTGCGACAAGCTTCGCGATCCCCCATTTGGCGCTGCCCCCCCCCCCCCCCCCCCCCCCGCCCACCCCCGGCCGGCCCGGTGTCGGCACTGCTGATGCCCACGCTGATGCTGATGGATGCTCAAGCCTCATGCTGATGCTGATGGACGAAACTTATTACTGACCGACACGGCATACTACACTCTATGTACCCACTGCGAATCTCTGACACAAGTTTATTCGAAATACCTATCTACCCACCGAGGTACATACTGCCGGTAGAGTACTCTGCCTCTGCCTCTGCCTCTGCCTCTGCCTCTGCATACCATATCATATCATAGCAGCATCACATCGGATCCGGGCTCGACTATCTACTCTACTCCACTCTATAGTATTCCTAACGGTAGATGGAGATACATATGAGATATCTCGAAGGAAGAAGAAGAGAAAATTTTCTCGTCCGCAATGATGCACGTCGCGTGTGGCTGTTGTGATTTCAACTTTCAATCCCATATAATATTGGTACTTGATGGATAAACTCTGGACTCTAGAGAAGTCGGGTCCGTATGGAATAATCTGGATTCTGGATTCTGCCTCCTAGATTCTGGATCGTCCGGATCGTCTAGCTACATAACTTATAAGTACTTCCCGTCGAGCCAGAAAGAATGAAGAAAAGATGCGTTGTCAAAACCGTATCTATGCTACATACTGTACGACACAAACTCGATCCTCCGCGCCTCCGTGTTTCCCTCGGCGGCGCCATTGTGGTGATCATTGATGATCATTGATGATGATGATGATGATGATGATGATGATGATGCGGCTGCCGGAAAGCTTCACGGCGGTGGACATGCGCGCGCGACTCTTCTATACTCTATCCGATTACCGGCGCTGCTAGTATGCCTGCCTCAGAAGCCCGACGATTGAGAATTCACCGTGGCGAGGTATGGTAGCTACATACAGACCTACTCGATATGGCGACATGATCATTGGTGTGTGTGAGTGAGTGAGTGAGTGTGTGGTGTGAATGTGGATTTGTGTATGGTGTGTGGTGAGTGTGGTGTGGCAGAGAGAAGCGCTGCAGGGACGTCCGACTCCGGAGGATATCTACTGTGATCTATGCTTCTCCCCCAGCCAGAAGAAGAAGAAGAAACGATACTTTCGTTAGGAGCCTGACGATCCCTCAATGGAGGTCATGTGGCCACTGCCTAGCCGGCCGGCGGGCGGACAGCCAGCCAGCTTCCCCAAAGTACCAAAGATATGATATTTATGAATTATCTATGCTGGAGGGTGTTCTGTTTTGTTCTATTCTGTTCCGGTTCCGCCCCAGTTCTGCCGGTCAGGTCAGCTTTTTTATTTCCATTTTTATCTCTTTATGTTTTATCTCGTTATGTTTTTTTCTTCAAGCGACGCCCGACGCCCCCCCCTCCCCCCTCCTCCCAGCCCCAGCTCCAGCTCGAAAACGTGCATGGCACCAGGCATGCAACCCAACCTGCATGACAAGCTGTAACTGATAGCAACTAGTTAGCCTGTACCACCCACCGGCCACCGCAGCGATTTGTAGGTGTGTATGTAGGCTCAGCTAAGAGCGGGCTTGGAAGTTGGGGGGGGGGCGGCTTTCATCCTTCGGGGACCAGGGCTGGACGGACATGGTCGATGGGTTTTTGCAGAGTGTGTAGAGTACGGTATACATAGTGCCAGAAGGGGGTTGTAGTTACCGTACCGTGCTGTAGAGTACTCTAGAGTACGGAGTGGTGCACGGGGTGGATAAATCGCGCAGGGGAGTGAGAGGAAGTGAGAGAGTGAGAGAGTGAGAGAGTGAGAGAGTGAGAGAGTGAGATCGCGACATGGAAATACCGTAGGTACGGTGGGCACAAACAGAGACGGAGATGGAGACGGAGATGGGACGGAGACGCAGACGTGTAAAGGCAGACGGACGGATAGAAAGGCAGACAGCACTCACGAGCTACGCACACCGCAGATTTCGCAGATTTGCAGAACGACTGATCGACCGCCCGACCGACTTAGTTAAACCGCCCGTGCAGTACAGTACGTGATCCTGTGATGAATCCTGAATCGAAACACGTCCGTCCCAGTGCCAGTGTCAGTGTCCCACGGGTGTCCCACGGGTGACGGACGTGCGGGTGCACAACATCTACGGTATTAGTTAGCCGTCAGCCATTTCAGAGGGGACCGTGTCCGCCCACCCGTCCCCAGTCACGGCCACTCTGGGGATGTATGTCGCAAGTCGCGACTCGCGACTCGCCGCCGCCGCCGCCGCCGTTGCCGCTCTGCGACGCCCGTGACGGACGGTGGGAGGACGAGGGAGGACGCTGGGTGGAATGCAGGGCTCCCTTCTCTCACACTATTCCTCACACACACACACACACACACACACACACACTGTTCCACTGTCCCAGTGTCCCAGTGTCCCAGTGTCCCACGCACCTACATCCTATATACCCACATACATACACAACATACCCAAAATACACAAGACACACAACCTACCCGCCTAACCTACACACATAGAATAGTTTCATCGTCTCGTCTCCACTGCATATGTAGTCAGGGTAGTCAGGGTAGTCAGGGTATTTATGTACTAGCGGTAGTCCACAACGAGCAGCAACGGCCCAGTCCCTAACGAGCCCCACCCCAAGCAACCCCAAGCAACCCCAAGCACCACCCCAAGCCGGGGGCCCGGGGGCTCTTCGCCCTCTGAAACTGACGTCAGTATCGGACGATAGATGGACGGCCAGGGAGGGAGCGCACGTTTTTTCCCCACGACGCGTTCGTTCGTTGGCATCAGTGGGCCAGTGGGCCAATGGCCGCGGTGGCCGCAGGGTCTCAGCTCACCTCACCTCACCTCACATCAGCTTAGTTATCTAACTAGCGACCTGCTTCCCGGCGCGGCGCGATGCGATTGCGATTGCGATTGCGACCGTGATGGCGAGTGCACGCGTGTGATGGAAGTACTCGGGAGGATGTGCCCACGGAAGCACCCGCGGGCGGCAGCTGCTCTACGGTACTACATATCATACCGTATTATCTCGGATAACTGTTCGCTTTTTTGGAGTGGTTAGCGCCGCTACACGCAGGCTTGGCGCGCATCTAACTGCTTTTTGCTGTTACACACCGGATTTGGAGCGCTTCGCGCTTAGTCAGTATCAAATTCACTAGCGCAAAGTCTCCGTGATGTTTCTCCACATGCACAGCACCCAACTTCAGACCTCGTCTCTCCAGCAGACTGCCACAATATTATCATTTCAGTGTTGCTGATGTTAGGAAGCAGCTCTACAACCATATACCGCTTACCTACTCCTTCCAGTCGCTTGCTTCTTCTAGCTAATACTGGTTCAACTGGAACAGACATCTTCCCCATGCGCGCTGAGAGAGTGGCCGGTGAGCCTGCTGAGGATGCGTCTATTGAACCTTCGCCGGGCACGCCCACCGAACCTGTCAAGAGTACACCACTCAACCTACCGAGAGCGCGCCCGCCGAGCCTCGCAAGAACGCGTCCACGGAACCTAACAAGAACGCGCCCACGGAACCTAACAAGAACGCGCTCACTGAGTCTGCCATGAGCGCACCCACCAAGTCTGCTACTGAGGACGCGTCAACCGAGTGTGTCGAGAGCGCGCTCACTGTGCCTTGTAGACATCTTTGACGAGCGATCAGTCCGATATTGTTGTCTGTCGTTGTCAGGAGAATCTTGAGCCGTAGGTGTAAGAATAAGAGCTGCGAATTCTGATATGACTGTGTCGGCGTGTGCTACTTTCGTAGGGAAGATGACCTCGTTGTTCTCCATTGTTGTCTCCGTGATTTCTATCGACTTGATCTTTGTAGGGTGTACACAACTTGTACTGTAAAGCTCTACATCTGCCATTCCCACGATGCTTCAGCAGTTTCAGCCGCACCAATCTAATCGACTGATGTTCTGTTGCCGCACCAGCGCTAACCCGATCAACTATAGTGCGCGCTTCATCGCGTTAGTTCCATTTCAAAAAGCGAACAGTTATTCGAGATAATACGGTAGGCATAAGTACCTACTCGATACCCGCCAGCTCCATAATCGCCCGCCGCCGCCGTCACCGCGGTCGCATTCCCAGTCACAGTCGTTATCGATAGGGTACATACGTGCGTACGTGCGTAGACGTTCGCCCATCCGCACGGTGCACGGTGAACACCCTGGCGCTGTCGCTGGTTATCGGACCCTGGATCTGAGCTCTTCTGCGGTATGCCCCGCAGCTTATCCAGTGCACCCAGCACTCGGTCTGCCCCTCTGCCCCTCTGCCCCTCATCACCCCTCCATCAGACCCTTCCCTTCTTTCCTTCCACCCCACCATAAATTATTCCTCCCTCCCTCCATCTCCCGCACGTGGCTTTGAGCCGCAGACCCGCAGACCCGCAGACCCGCTCGCCGTATGTACCCGAACCACTCGTCACTCGTCACTCGTCATACACCCTACCGGTACATATCGTAGTATCGTAGTATCGCACATATCGTACATATCATATCGTACATATCATATCGTACATATCGTACATATCATAGTGGATATCGTACATATCATATCGCACTACTACTATAGTAGGTACACCATACTATATATACGGACCATAAAATACTTCCCGTATATAGAATACGCGATTGAGCAGTGAGCAGTGAGCTTCGGTTGAAGCTAGAGTATAGTACTGTAAAGTACTCTACAGTGAGCTTCGTTTCGAGCCCCCAGTGTTGGACTGTTAGTGCGCAAGCAAGTAAAGCAAAGCAATGCACAGTGCACACTACTCTCGACGTGTGCGAGTTTTTTTCCTCGACTCTGCCTGCAGAATGACGCCGCCGATGCATGGCTGTGAGAATGTGAGAATGTGAGCATAGGTAGGGAGGTGGACACGGATAGTGCTCCACGGCTAACGGTTCGAGCTCCGTTACACGCTGTGAGGTGGAGGTGTGCAGAGGTGTATGTAGGTGCACGGAGATCTAGAAGTGCGGACGCCGCCGGACAGGTGATATCGTGGGTTTGGTTTCGCGGTGGTGGGTGGAGGTGGGTGGTGTGTGAGGTGGTGGTGGTGGTGGGTGGTGGTGTTACATAGCATAGTGAGAGCGGTAATGGTGGAGAAGGCGGCTAGTCCAAGCGGGCATGAAGACGAGGACGAGGCCCGACGCCCGACGCCCGCTGGGGGTGGTGGTGGTGGGGCAAACGACGTGTCTTTTCTCATGCGCAGCAGCGTCCCCCCCCCCCCTCCCCCCTCGCCAATACCTATCTGACCGCACCGCACGGCACCACACGGCACGAAAACTTCGAAGCGCCCACATCCACAACACCGACGACGACGTCGACGACGATCGATGATATCATACCCAGACTTCCCACTAGCAGACTATCCGCACCGTGCAACCGAAGAGCGGTCTCGGTCTCTGATCTGATCTGATCTGTGCAGTGCAGACTGTGCAGTCGCACTGGGTTAGTTGGTTAGCTGCAAATCTGCAACGCATACGTGCATACCGGCTCTGCGGTCGTTCCCCGTCGGTTGGTCGCGTCGAGATCTTCCCTTCCCTTCCCCTTCCCCTTCCCTTCCTTCGACACGAGCGTTCATCTCTGCGAGTGTTTCTAGAACCAATCCATCCCTCCCCCCCTCCCCGCCTCGTTGACGTAGACGTCGTTGTCGTCGTCGGCGGCGGCGTTTTTTTCTTTCTTTCCTTTTTTCTTTCCCCACAATCCCCGATGTGATACGTGCGTTTTTCTTAATTCTTCATGAGCTGTCGGGGGTGGGAAGGGGGTGGGGACCCTTTGATTCTTCGAAACCCGCTGAGCGTCCCCCCCTCCCCCGCAGAGCGGTCGAGAGCACGTTCCTGCGTGGAAACACGTAGCAGTGCTTTTCTTCCACACGTAAACGCTCTCGACTCTCTCGCGCCGCCGTCGTCGTCGCTCGCGAACTGCAAAAGTGCGGGGGAGAAGAGGCGACTTCCGAGATGAATGAATGAATGAATGACGACACCCCCCCTCCCCGCTACGGTAGTTACGGTAGTTACTATACTCTATAGATATAGATCACAGACTCTAGATCGTTCCTATGTATGTTACTGACGTCGCGGGCTACTGCGGTACTACACACGGTACTACATAACATACGGTACTATGGAGACGGATCCGTCGATATCCGTCGAACACTGGGGAAGGGGAAGGGGATCGTGGCTCTCGCACTCTCGACGGACGGAAGGTGGGCGCCAGGTGTTGAGTCTTGACCGCATCGTGTGTACCCTACCCCCCAGCCATTCCGCACTCCATAGCCATCACGGGACTCGCCCTCTGCGCTTTGCGCGATGAAGCGAAAGCGCGAGTACCGTAGCCAGGGGACTAGATACCTCATACCCACAGTACTCGCCATCTTCCAAGCGCTCGAGATGGAACGTGAGACGTGGGACGGGCGGATATCTGTCTGTCTGGCTACCCACAGGCTACCCACAGGCTGTCTACCTCCCTACCTACTCAGCAGACCGGACTCAAAGTCAATCTGGCATGGCAGTTCAGTAGTTACCGACTCATCTCCGCTAGGATCTTGCAGCGCGTCAATCCGATTCGCAAGGCGGACTACAGAACTACTAACGTTCGGGGGGGAGGGAGGGGGCGGGCCATCTGAGCAATGGGCGGTGAGTGATACGCCATGACCATTGACCGCCCCCGCCGTCGTCTTGCGCCGTGACGGCGTGACCTGACCCACCACCACTATCACCACCACGTGCATGTGCACAATGCATCGATCGGTAAAGTACCCGGGGTAAATGTACCATACATACATCATGCCGTACATACACGTCTGTGCTCCAGCGCCCTCGCCGCCGTAAGAGGTATGTACGTACATACCAGGTGCCAGATAAGCGGGCAGCAGCAGCAGCAGCAGCAACCTTCGATCTGGCATACCTTTTCCAGATCGCTCGCTGGCTGAGGGACGGAGTCCCGGGATTTATTTTCTTTCTTTTCTTCTCTGCGTGTGGCGTTCCCCGTGTGTACGTGTGTAGTTGCGTGTGTACATAAGCACCTAGGAAGTATGTAGGAGGTACTTATCTACACAGCTAGTTAGTCGCTCGCTCCGGGCAATATGGATGGCAGATAGATACAGTAGGATTTAAGTATGCGATCGATCATCGGCCAGATCCCGCGCGCCCTGGATGGCTGCCGACCGCATCCACGTCTACGTCTATGTTGTTGAGATAGCGATCCGAAGCCATCTGGCAGGCGGGAATATGCGGATCGTAGCCATCGCTGAGCATCGGCGGTAGCTACATAGCTACGGGAGCTGCGGGAGATGCGGGAGCGGGTGGATATGAATCCCCCCACCACCATCTATGTATGTGCAGACTCTCCAGCCCGCCCGCATCGCTGCCATTGTACCCTGGGTGTATGTAGGTAACTGGCCTCGAGAGAGGCAGCGCGCAGCAAGGAGCAAGAAGTGGGGAATGGGGAGTGGGGGCTCGATCTGCTTCGTCGGCCCGCCAGGAGAATGGAGGATGAGTGATATATTGTAATTGTGATCCCCGTGAACGCCGCTGGCGAATCACGAATCACACTTTGTGCTGTGGCTTCGGGGCACGGGTTCGGGTGGACAAATTGTCAGGTGGGCGGGATCGGAAGCTTGCATACATGGCCTGGTCCAGTTGATCGAGCTGCAAGGCTTGCAGGACTTGAAGGATCATTACGAGGGGGGGGGGGGGTCGCGGACGGGGAGTGGGGAGTGCTGAGTGGGGAGCAGTGGGGATATCAGGTGGATGGTGATGGCTGGGTGCAGAATCGTTTAACTATGCTTAAACACGCCGTGCACGCCATCACACCATCACACGATAACGAAGAGTCGGCGGGTTCTTGCTGGTGCTATACTACACGACATACTACACGACATACGGAATACGAAATACGAAATAGGTACGACATACGACATACGACAGACGAAATAAGACACACGAAATACATACTAGGTACATACTACTTACATACTGCATACTACATACCACAAAGGCCATACTACATATATACCAGTAATGCCAGTGCTACTCCCGCCTCGCCGCCACCTCGCCATCCGCTCCTCGCAGCCCCTCCACTAGGTAGTCAGTCTCGATAAGACGCCGCCCTCGTTCCCGCCCTCGTTCCAGCCCGTTGCAAGTGCGTCTCCCGAGTCTCTCGGCACCATGAGAACTACACTGGCCCGCGGTTGGAGGGCCATGACCAAAACCAGCCACAGACAATGTCCATCCCCGTCCCCGCATAGTAGTCCGCTCACTGATTTTTTTTGAAGGGGGGATGAAATGTTTTTCCCGTGGCATCGCAATCCGCTCCCAGGTCGCAAGTGCCATCGAACCGGCAACAATCCGAGAGGATCAGCGGAAGTATAGTAGGTAGTCTAGGGTAGTCTAGTACAGACGATGCGGCCCTCTTTTGGCGGTGCCTATTACACCTGCACATCCCAAACGGCAAAAAGAACTGCCCTTCTCCAGACAGCTCGTCTATGGCTGATAAGCTAACAGTACCACAACCTCCCACGTATTGGAGAAAAGCAAAAGATATAGCGACGTCGACAGGATTCGAACCTGCGCGGGCGAACCCAAGAGATTTCTAATCTCTCTCCTTAACCACTCGGACACAACGCCTTGTTGTTGTAGAATGTCTCGGACGGCTTGTATCGAGTTTTTGGCCTTGGCGGCACGAGAGAAGAACCAGACCTACTCCACCATGAATCCACGATCGCCGTTTCGCTCGCTCGCTCGCTCGCTTGCCTCACTCTTCCGTCGGCGGTAAACTCCGATATGCGTAGTGTGCTACATAGTCCGTACGGACTGGACGGTCCTTTTGGAGTGCGGAATAAAAGCAAGACGTTCCGTCCGTCGGATTGGACTGCAGTCCAGCAGTGAAAAAAGTTCCAATCTTTCCAGCACATATCCGATCAAACATGACAGTCAAACTATTCTAGCTATCGCGCGAACAGGCTACACCACAACACAGTCAACCCTCATCAGGAAACGCTGTGAAGGAAATGTGGACGACTTCTTACTGGCGGGGGTACAGTCCGGCTCACCCTGAGGTTTGAATTTTGAAACAGCCATCAGCATGAGGATCCGGTGCCGAATGGCTCTCAACAACCTCACTGACCATTCTCGACAGTCAAGCAGTCAAGCAGTCAAGCTCCAGTCTCTGCTGCCAAAACATCAACTTTGTTTTAAAAATATTTTCTTTGAGTTTCCACGGACGCCACTCATTTCTGCTTAGTAACACATACAATGGTAAACCCTTGCAAAATGAGTGATGGGTGGTTTCTGCGATTTCGACCATACAAGCGGCGTTCCTTCCAAAACCCCGTGTCTTTTCCCCATCACCGGAAGGAATATCGAAAATCGGAGTCCATTAGGCAGCGTAGCGAGCGGAATGGAAGCTCCTACAGATTACTAGAGTTATGTTTCCAAAAAATCGGCTCAAACTTGGAGTCATCAAATCCACTCCGGCTTTTGGCGTCCCCACCCAAACCCGACCCCGACCCCGCACACACGACCAGTGTAGCGAATGGTTCTAGCGGAGATCCAACGGCAAAAGCAAAAATCCCACCTATGAAGCAGGAAGCAAAAGGAGTAGCGACGTCGACAGGATTCGAACCTGCGCGGGCGAACCCAAGAGATTTCTAATCTCTCTCCTTAACCACTCGGACACAACGCCTTGTTGTTCTGGACTGTCCCAGAGAGTCCATATGGAGTAGCTAAGTAGTTCTAGCGGCATTGAGAAGAAGGCGAGAGAAGATCCTTGGATTTTTCTCTTCAGATCGGGGATGCGCCGCGCTATGTATCAGTAATCCGTTCTCGCCCGTCCCGGAATCAATCCTGCGCTCTGGTCTGCGGACTGCAGGATATCGGATTCAGAAGCCGCCGGGGCCTGGACTAGTGGATTCCCGATCCCGACGCTGGTGGATAAGTAACGACGGACATCCCAACGTCTCCACTGTGTGCCGTATCGGTCGGAGGAATCTTATGTAGCCACAAAGAATCTCTGCCCTGTAAAGAGCCATTGGATCCCAAACCCCCCGTGCCTGGGCGGACAAACAATCAACAACCGCTGGGGGTTTAGGTCCGCCGTCGCAGACAGGCGAAAAGCCCGCTCGATCTTCCGTTAGTATAATGTCCAGATTTGCCCAACGCTTATGAACGGACAGCAAGCAGCGATCGGCTATCACTAGAAGTTGCTCATGTCTCTGTAGGAATATCCTCCATCACACGACCCGAAGGCCCATCATTCTTCAAGCTGCCTGTATACACAAAAATGATCTCTCGAAGCAGCCCGCTAGCTCTCTACCATGTTTTACTGCCCATAGGAGCAAAAAGCAAAACGAATAGCGACGTCGACAGGATTCGAACCTGCGCGGGCGAACCCAAGAGATTTCTAATCTCTCTCCTTAACCACTCGGACACAACGCCTCTTGTTGGGAGATCCTGTCTCTGGCTGTCTTGATATTAGTTAGTAATGGATCTCCCGCGCACCTCACACGGGAGGAGTTCTTGCCCTAGATCCCACGCATCAGTCGCATCCATCGTGCCATTGATCAAGAGCACTTAGTTCCGCAGCCCCCCTCCACTGACAGCACTATTCCTCCTTCTCCTCTCGCCCTCCATTGCCGTAAAGGTGCCATGACTACTAGTCGGTGTCAAAGTGCCACCCCTTGCCGCCCCGGCGTTCCTAACCCAGCTCTCCACCGAGCCAGCACTGGTACTGCTCCTTTGCTCTCGATGTCTTTCATAAACATGCCTGTCGCCATCGACCCACTGACGAAGCATGTCCTCCAAGCTCCCCCGCTCTGCGCCGCGCCGTGAAACGACGAGATACGACCCGCCAGGATTCACGTACTCGTTTGCGACGACGCCGTGGATGATTCGTTGTCGTTGCAGGTCGTAGAGAACCCAGTCGGTTCCGGTTGCGTGGGTTTCCTCGGTGCTCGTGGAAGGGAGGAGGGTGGTAAAGGTGGTTGTGAAGTCCTGACGCCGGGTCAGCATAAGCAGTTGGAAGCGGTGAGTAGTGTGAGGGTACAGGAGCTAGACGGAGCTCGGTCGGAGCTCTAAAGGGCGGCATGTAAAGCGTTACTGTTCCCGGCGAGCTCTTGCGGACGTAAAATGAGAGCCCCTGAACAACCAATACTGCTAGAGCGCCGAGGAGGAAGGCGTAGTAGAGCTCCATGGCGGGCGATTCTGCCGACGCGAAGGAGGATGTGCTGCAGCGGTAGACCGTCATTGCGGGTGATCGGCGGAGTTGTATGTAAAGGCTGGGTAAGTGCGAATGGTGGATTGAGTTGGGGTGGTAGTGGTGTGGGGAAGGAGGGGCGATTCGAATGGAGCTGTGGAGTGAGCTAGCAGGCGATGTGCGGGAGTGTGGGGTTGTGACGTGAGGCTGCGGTTAAAGTGCACGGCTCCGAGTACGTAAGCGTCCTGCAGAGTTCGTCTCGGATTAGTTACAGCCCTGGGCTCAAACTTCTTGATAGGTACGCCAAACTTCCGCTTCCCCTTCCGTTTCATTGATGATTGGATGCCTCTATGTACGGTAGATGCAGTATAAGGAATAATAGGATTGGTTCCCCCGCCGAAATGTGGAATACAGAATGATGGGTGCGGCGGTGCGGCGGTGCAATGGTGGCAGGCGCGCGCTTGGAGCAGTGGATGGGAAGTGTAGGTAAGGTGGCGGAATCCTGGAAGCCTGGAAGGAAGACGGCGGAAATGAAAGATGAAAGACTATGAGGAAGTGGAGGTTGTATTCAACTTCGAAGAGCCATCTGATATGACATGGCTCTCCTCCGCTGCCTACTCTACACGTTCGGTGTCACTCGACCCGGCTTGCCTCTCCTCCTCCTATCTTATCAGATCCTGCATCTATCCCACATGTGTTCCTCTCATGGTGGCGGCAGACGACACAAGGGAGAGGGAGGGAAGGCTAGGGAGAGAAGGCAGGGGACCTGGGAGAAGCGGACTGGAAACGAAACGAAACGGTCGGTGTCGCGGCCGGGTGGCTGTCACTATGAATGTATGTGGGTGTGTATAGTAGGTATTGTGGCGGTTCGGTACGCGGTTCTACGAAACTACGATGGATACTCACTCATACATCATACATCATAGAATAGCATTCATCATTAATGGCGGTGCATAGCCTCAAGTAATTGTAATGGCATTCGTCATCCACGGCGGTAAATCGCCTCAAGTACATATAATCATCCGCAATCATTCGAACCATCTCCAGTTCTCCTGCGCTTTCCACCTCTGCCCATCTCCAGTCCTCCTCCATCTCCAGTCCTCCTCCATCTCCAGTCCTCCTCCATCTCCAGTCCTCCTCCATCTCCAGTCCTCCTCCATCTCCAGTCCTCCTCCATCTCCAGTCCTCCTCCATCTCCAGTCCTCCTCCATCTCCACGGAACGTGTCCCGATGTTCCAATGAGTCCTTCGTCTGTAGGAGACAGATCAGCAGCCACAGATCCATAAGGCCTTTGCCGACAGGCGTACCCGTCAGGGCCCAGCGTGAATGTGCCTTTACGGCGTCGACGGCCTTGTAGTTCATGCGCTCAATGCTCCGGATGATGTGGGCCTCATCCAGGACTAGGCGGTGCCAGCTCCCTTCGAAGGTCCTAAGGTCATAGTGTTCAGCGGAATTCATGAAACGGGGGAGGGGGTCGGTTGGGGAGGGGACATACTGTCTGTTTCCTGGAGCAGCGAAATCAGCCGCCAGAGTGGAGTAACTATTCACCACCACATCGTAGTTGGCGAAAATTATGGAGTGTCTCCGTGGCCCATAGTAGACCGCAACCTTCAACGGGTTCTCCTTGGAGACATGCTGCGCGATCTAGAAGACAACCATCAGCCGTGCTCCCGCACCCCATCACAGGCATCGCCCAGAAGAGTTGTACGTACCTGATCAGTCCAGTTGAACATCATCGACACCGGAGCAACGATCAGTGTCAGGTTGTCGGTCGATACCTTCTCCTTAGTCCCGGGCGCATTGTACCTGTAGGCATCGACGCCGCAGCATTCCCATGGTCGACGGCGGGCGGGGGACCGAGCACAAACCATATCATCCGCGAGTATACCCCCGCTAACAAGGTGTGGTATGCTGATGCTGCGCCATCCTGTTACCGTCTGTATGTACACGTAAAAGTCTGGTGCCATCTTTTCCACAGCTTCACTTCCTTGTCGGCTGTGGTAAAGTAGAAGCCACAGATCCATTCACCTTTGCCCTGCAGGACACGCCTCGTGGGGTCCTCCGACCGGAAGAAGAAAATGCGAATCGAAGTCGCGGATAAGTGAGAAGATGGGCCATTGCTGGCTGGAAAGATGATGTGTGTTGTGTGTTGAAGAGAAGTGGGAAGTAGAGTCATGCTGAGGGCAAGGAAAGAAAAGAAAGAAAAAGGGAAACAAAGTGCGGACCACCCCCCTCTTAAATAGTGCGAGGTGAAGCTAGAGCAGCGGACACCTTCTACACCAGAGACGGCGGCGCTGGCACTTTCCACCGACACAACACCGCTCAAACCGACAAGAACGATCAAAACAAAACCGAAATGCACGAACAAAACCAGCCAGTCTACCCCGGTCGCGCCCAACACATACCCCAGCTCCAGCATCTTAGCAACAAGTCTCTCAAAGGTCCACGGCCGAGGATCAGAACATGCTATCGAGACGACAAGACAAGATATGGCCCACAGTGCGAACCGGTGAATATATAGGTGGAAACATTCCAAGAGCATTGGATCGGCGCTAGCGTACCCTTAGCGTACTCACACGTGGCCATACCCTACCCGTCGGCTGGAGTGACTGCTCACAATGTATGGTTATTGTGAGGTTGTGAATATGGAAATCACTATCTGTGACTAGAGAGTCTGTCAAGTGTTCTAATAGTTTTATTCACTGACAATAGGCAACATCGCCGGCTGATGATGGGTGATGATGGGTGGTGATGGGTGGTGATAGCTAGTGGCTGGAGGTGCAGCTGCTCACTCGGTCACCTTATGTACTCATCCCACTTCGTCTTTGTTCGAAGAGGGAGTTCACTTGAGTCTCTGGTGCACGAATCCTGCTGCGACATCGATACGCGGCCTGTTCATACTCTACTGAGCAAAAATCGACGTCGAACCAATTTGAGAATCGAAAGCACAGAGTCCAGATAAGTTCTGGGGGAAATACTCCCTATAAATACTAGAATTCGGAGATAAACACAGAGGACGTGGGAAGAATCAACAGCCTGTCTGGGTAACTCTCGTCGTCGGACAGGACAGCTGTCAACGACGTCGGACTGGAGCTTGAAACTGAGAAGAGTCATGACCGGCAAACACCGACGAAACTGGATTCTGGACGGGGCGGTCAATAGCTTGGGAGGGTTATCAATTTATTTTGCATACAGCAGATTCTTACGGATGTCCGATGTTCGGGCCGAGTGACAAAACGTGCAATATTCAAGCATGAACAGATTTATTGTCCGCCCTGTTATTTGGGAATAAGTTCTACGTCGTTGGCTAGAAGTCTAATACTTTCATTCGGATCTCGGGACTATAGGTACTAGAAGCTTCTCTAGTAGTTCCTATTATTCCTCATCTGAACATACACCGTCTATAGTAATAATGTATCCGGCGCTGCGGCGCCTGTCTGCTGGACTCCATCCTCGCACAAAACGCTACTCGCCACAACCTCCTCCTTCTTGGTCATCACTTGCATCTCAAAATTATCCTCTTCCTCTCCGATCTCCTTGTCCTTCTCCACACGCCTCTTCTCCTTCGGCAACTTAGGGTTAAGGCTCCACGATCCTCGAGGAACAACTGTACTAGCCAATAACACTAGAGCAATTACTGAGTACTGCACTCCGCCTAGATGCAGAATAGTATCGTGAGCGCTGTCGTCACTGCTGTCGTCTGCGTATTTTCCGAGTGCCGGGGTCATCACGGCGAAGATAACGATATAGATGGAGTAGAGGACTGGTTGTATCAGTGGAGATCGAGGGACTGGGGGGAATGGCGGGCGGGGAAGTACAGGACATAGCCGCAGCTAGTGAGGATATGCGCGCATGGGGTTCGTCCTCTGGAACGGAAGCTTGAATGTAGGCTACCAGCGAGACGTCGCCGGCCGCCCAGCCGAGGGAGAGGGGGATGAAGATGCAAGCGCACTAGATGTCAAATTATTCAAAGATCCTTGCGCCAAGAAACAGAGGGCTGAGATTCATACCTGCCATACATTACTGGAACTCGTTGTTCTATCTGACTATATACTGTGAGCAGCAGCTATGTTAGGTGCAGTAGGGATTTTTACGTTTAGATGTGGTTTGTAGAACGGGAGTATCCACACCAGCCCCATCATCAACGCATCTGCCCTCAACCACGGCATCGGTGTAGGCAATAAATTTCCCGTCAGAAAAACCAGCAGTGCTCCCAAAGTCTCGCCCAGGTTGGAACCGCCAACCAATATCTGCGTATACGACGGCTGGTGAAAGTAGCCCTGTGCCAGCACTGGGATGAGGCCGTTCTCCAGGTAGCGGTGCGAATAAAGGGCCAAGGAGTAACCGAGCGGTAGCCAGGCGAACTGGCGTCGGGAGAAGATTATGCGTGCGCCGAGAACGATGGAGCGGCCAAAGTCAAGAAAAGCTGTGGCGGTTAGCTGAGAAGTGAGTTGGGGAGGACAGTGTAATTGCCATTTTTGATGCTTTGGAGGAACGAGACTCCTTGTAGGTCTGGATCGCGGATAAATCCAAGAGTACCAATCTTCCACCAGAGCGCTGCTGCGATGAGGAAGCATATTGGTGTCAAGATCATGCCGTAGTTACTGCCCAGCCGCATGAGAAGATAGGAAGAGAAAAATGCCGCGCCTGTCCCCGATGCTTCGTAAAAAATATGCACCTTCTCTCCATCAGTACCAACAATCCCACAAGTATCCAAACGCCACCAACAGACCAGGGAATCAATCTGCCGAAGCTTATCCACATCCCCACCTACGATATCTCTCGGGATCACTCGCTTCACCAACTCAATCATTCCATAACACACTCCACAGATGCAGTATAGAGGGAAAAGCATATGCGTATCCCACCGACCATGGATCTCCTCCGCAGCTCCCGATTTCTTGGGGTCTCCACCGGCGCACTTGTCGAGTATCATGAGAAACGACGGAATGGTGGCGAAGGTTAGAACCGCAAGTACCAGCACTTGTCGACCAGCAAGTCTGCGCAGCACTTGCGCTGATACAATGCTACCTATACACTGCGGACACCAGTTTGTCAGAAAGATGTCGCTATCAGCTGCCGAGAAGTCGGCGTACCTGGAATAAAAGGTTCATTCCGTGAAGACACCCAAGTTTCCCGTAGCGCTCATCGCCACCCCACAGCTCTAGTGCTAAGTTCCTGATTTTGCTCAAGATTAGTCGGTGTACGGAATAGCAAGGCCATGGACGAATACAAACGTTATGGAGCCAACGAACGATTCGAAGCCGATCTTGTAGAGCATCATGCCCAAAACATAGAGGATCACATTTGTCTGCGGGAGTCAGCTCTTCCCACATTATACATCAGTACGGTTTGGGAGGGGCTGTGATACCCTTTCATCCGCAGTGTAGCTTTGCCACGAATCTTTGCAGCTTTGAAAGCTCAGTAAAGAGCTCGACATGATCTTTAGCACCGGAACTTTCGAAGGTCGATGGGTGCGGGGTTCTCTGGGGAGGAAAGATTATGGTGGTGGGCTCGAAGCAAAGCGGGGGCATAAGGTGCTGGCCGCTCGGACCAAAGTCATTCATTGATACAATTAAAGTCAACCATAGCCGACCAGTGTGGGACGCAGCTGGAACTGACGTCTTGGCACCATTTTTCGACCTTTGGCTGCGGGCCTTGGGCGGATTTGTTGTTAAGACGTTAGGACCGGCTGTCGTACCTGGGGCTGCAGGAGGGAGGGGGACCTGTGTCTGTTTTGCTCGTCATTTCCGTTTTGTTTTGGTCGCTCGTGTTCTTCTTGACGGTTGTACGGCGATGAGGCGGCGGCCAAAGTTGGCCGACCTGTTATATTTAATCCGACGGGGCCGCACTTATCTCAAGGCCGTGTGCCGTTCATCACCTATCGTTCATCATCCATCATCACTATTCTTCAGGCGGCTGTTCATTCATCACTTGATTTCTTTGCTGCTTGCTTTCTTGAGCCTAGTTCTTCTTTGCTTTCTCCAAGTGTGCTTCTTCTAATGCTGGGTCTCTCGACTCGTTCTTACTTTCTTAACTGATCCTTTCTGTCGTGACCTGTGATCCGCGTTATCCGCCCCTGACTACAACCCACTCTTATCAAAGTCGGCCGTGGGCCACTCCGGCTCCTGCTCCGTCACCAGTCTAGAAGCGTGTCTTCGTGAAACTCAAAATTCCCAGCCGGGAATCTTAAGTTTTGATCTCGCCTTCATGATACCTTCACCACCGAGAGGAACTTGGGATCATTGCGTACATCGACAAACCCAGGTTCCTACCATCGACCTGCTGCTGGTCACAGAAGCCCCCTCGTTTTTCAGCAACTGCTCGAGCGCTCAAACAATACCGTTGTGAACTCAATAATGAACAAAGTCAATTGTTCATTGAGGCGGATTGACATCCAGCTGAGACAGGACTCCCGACTATCTGGGTTTGCACTTGCTGGACGGGTAGATTCCCGGGCACAGCATGGACGGGTTAGCGGTGGCCACGGCAACCGCTGTTCTTCCCATATGGCGCCTAGTCGATGTACCGAACCTTCACAAGAGTGTTCGGCCGAGACCTCAGGCGGCGTAGTCATTCGCTAAAAGCACTAATCCCCTCCGACCACTCATCCTCGCCTGTCAGCGAGAGTTGGATGGGGTTTAATACATCCCGAACTACAGGAATGTCGACAGCTCGCACATAGCGTCCGCACAATTTGGTTCTTCTCATGTGCCGTTATGAACGCTCCATGTTTGTAACCCAGCACTGTTTACATAATAAGGCGTTGTGTCCGAGTGGTTAAGGAGAGAGATTAGAAATCTCTTGGGTTCGCCCGCGCAGGTTCGAATCCTGTCGACGTCGGTGTTCATTTTTTGTCTTTTGCTTTCTGGCATCTGGACTGCACTAACAGAATACTTTCAATCAGTCCGCTCTCAGCTCTTTTGCCCAGACGCGGTCAGATGAACTGATGGGATCTGCTTTCATAACATCTACATCCCTCTTTTCAAGAGAAATTTTAAAACTTCAGCCAGACTTTATCGAAGCCTGCCGGCTGGCAATCATCGGTTCGTGCGTCGCTCAGTGAGGAAACGTAGCTAAGCTATTGGCAAAATGTCAACCAACGTTTCGCTGCCGGGCCGGTCTAACGAGACTCGCGATAAATCCGCCCAACATCAAAGGATGAAAACCGCCCTACAACTCATCAAAAACTATCCCATCGCCCATTACATTTCATAGGTATTCCAAGGCCGGGTGCGGCTGTCCTTCCCAGCGTGGGAGTCGGGACAGGTGTTGTCAGTCCATTTGAGTCGCATCCACTCACCGAATCAGGCCGGCCATCCATGGAGGCAAAACAACGAACGCGAAAGGACAGAGTTGAGAGCAAAACAAAACTTCAAGGGCCCGAATCCGGGTTTGAACCGGAGACCTCCTGCACCCAAAGCAGGAATCATACCACTAGACCATTCGGGCTTTTGATGTCTACTATGGAATGAGTACAAATCTGACCCAATGGTTATGCTGACTGCATACGGCACAACGAGTTGACGATTGTACGGGTCCGGGGGTAGCTGCTGTGTCCCATCTACGGTCCGGTAAGTCGCCATACAAAGGCCTGACAAACCGCACCCGGACCTCGTTATGACAGGCTGAAAAGCCCTCATCTTCCATTTCCGGGACAGCTCAACAAAAATGAACCAGCCGTGCAAAGTCCAGTATCACCGAGTCGTTGATTATTTTGGCTGGTCAGTGGCCAGCACCAACTCCACTCTGACTCTGAGCGTTGGACTACCGGCCGGCCAACCAAACCCGGCACGTTTACAGCGTTATGTACAATTACTGATTAAACAAAACAAAAATACAGCGTTATGTACCAAATTTTATTCACTTCCTCTCCCTGCCGTTTATGAGTCAACTCACCGGGTACCCCGCCCCCGGCTGCAATATAGTTCGTAGCCGGCCACAGACACTACGGCGGTGCGAACAAGCCAGCGCCGGAGCCATCGGAGCCCCCACTGGACCAACCAACCAACCACCGGTTGTCCGAAGCAACCTCACCACGAACAGGTCGTACAAAACAGAGGCCCCTCATGAGGAGGCCAGAGTAAAAGAATCAGGCTCGAACCCGGATTTGAACCGGGGACCTCTCGCAATTGATGCTCAGGAACGACCCTAAGCGAGAATCATACCACTAGACCATCCGAGCGATTGATATCATGTGACGATCACAGCCGTTATCATAGCACAAAACTCGCAATGGCAAAGGAGACTGGACGGGAGCGGAGGAAGTGGAAGTGGCGTATGGTAACTAAACCTGTTCATAGGTCAGTGCTACGGCAAAGTAATGCTGGGGTTTTTGAAGACAACAGACGTGCGCAGGAAGGTCTCCGTAAAAGAGAGCGACAGAGAAGCCTGGGGGGAGTGACGCCTCTACTATCTGGAGCCGAACTGGCGTGCCCGGCGGAAAGGTAATAGTACTGTCCAGAGTATGTGGGCTACGCGAGTCTGTTCGGGATGAGTGTCGGCAAATGGGCCATTACTATTATGCATTCTCATCCTCTTTTTTGTTGGGGGCTTTCAGTACAGAGTAACGCCGCAACGACCTGTATGGTAGTGCTCTGCACGGACAAGAAAATGTATATATGCTAGCTACCGTAGCAAGGCTGTATGCAATATAATTGATGTTCTCTCTCTCTCTCTCGACCGTTAATAAGATGACGTTTTCCCCGGCTCTACAAGTGGTGTCGGCGGCGTCGGTGCTGTCGGCGACTGTGCGTGATTCTCGCGCATGCTGTAAATCCCGAGGTAGGTACAACATTTAAACTTCTAGTCACCCCTCTTCTTGGATTTTCACTGAGCCGTTCCTGCCGAGCCTGTACATAGCACTCGCCGACCAAAGTCTGCCGGGTCATGGCCATCGGTTACGAGCGCTTTGACCAGTATTCACAGTCCGGCTCCGTTCACACCAGAAAACCAGCTTTTATCTGTTGCCCTCAGTGAATGATTGTGCAAGTATCATGAAATCACTTGCCTGGATCTAATCGCGTGAGCCAATCGGAGTGCCTTTGGTTTAACAGGTTATGTAGACGAGTGCGCCAATTCTTTAGCCGAACCTGGTTGGCGGACCGGGTTTTCAACGCCTTGAAAACCTCGGTTGTACGAAAGGCATCGTAGGCCGGATGGTTGGATCGCAACGTAAAAATGCCCCATGGTATGTGGCAATATATGCTGTACGTTGATGATTTGTGGACTCAAATCCACAAGATCTGGAGGGATATCCCGATATAGATGAGTTCGCCGGCGATTACCGGAATCGGATTGAGGATCAGATGGGCGCGGACCCGCCGGTCTGGCCATCTTGCAGTCGGTCCGGCATGAGTTATAATGCGAGTGATATTGGCGTTTGAACTCATAATGATTGCTTGTGGAGTTTGCTCCTGTCTTCAATTGTTTTCAGTGAGGCCCGCCACGGGTTGGGAAAACTGACTTACTACCTATATGTGATGGATAACGGCGTACATCTGGCACGTGGATTTCAGCGTTACACTTCAAAGAGACGTTGCCATGATGAACGAGAACCAAAGGCCTGACTGTGTGGTGGTCTGTCGGACGAAGCAGTGGCTGTCGATATAGATGGCTGCGATGGCTGGGACGGCGGTGAGTGCGACAAAAGCACCAAGAACCTCCTTGTGCTGCGGTGTCCACAGCTAATCGACGACGAGGGGGATTCCAGGTGCATCGAGATTCGAGACGGACTATCCAGTACATAGGATTGATAGCAGGCAGAAACCCGATCAAAAAGATGAACCTCGGTATTCGGCCTATCGCCTAGGTATGTTTATCAATACTCAAGACAGCCTTACCGATCGGTCCTTGTCGGGGAAACGGGTGTTTCGGCGGATTCAGCGTGCACTTTCTCTATGGTGACTTCGAGTCAGGATACCTACTTAGAACCCATTACCGCTTGAGTAGAGCGAAGCACCTCCTCTCGCCTCGAAGTTTCCGCTGTCTTTCCACGTGACTCATGCGCGGCGCCACCCGGCGACTTTGACAGTAACATTGACAGCCCTTTGACACCCGCCGTTGCCGAGTAATGACTTCCCTCTTTTCTTCTGTTGCTCTAAGAAATTTCTATATATATAAGTATTACAAAGTCACATGACACAGATCAGCTCGGATGGTCTAGTGGTATGATTCTCGCTTAGGGTCGCTCCTAGGCATCAATTGCGAGAGGTCCCCGGTTCAAATCCGGGTTCGAGCCCGTTTCTTTTGCTCCTTGGTCCTCGAGGCTCTTCTTTTTCTGTCTGATGTGACGATGCTCCTCAATAATTGTTTGTAGATATGCTGTTACGGACTTTTTTGTACGGACACCGAGGCCAACTGTGCAGTGCTGGGGAACGATGGAACAACTAGCGAGCAAAGCCTGGAAATCGAAACGGCGAGTCATCTGGGACACATGCGGCGTGTGGGGAACGAAGGGTGTGCTGATCCGGCATCTCGTCCGTGGAGTGCTCACATCGAGAAGCCGAGATATAATCCCGAGCCGTACAGTGTTTATCGGCTGATTACAAGTGATCGAGGTGAAGGAGACATCGAGGAGCTTACCATTCGTATCAACTGGTACGGAGACAAAAATATACCAAAGAAGGGATAGAGTTCGTACGAAGAGGAGCAAACCGAGCAACATTCTTGAGGATGACTCAGAAAATAAGCATAATTTCCCACGAGTCTCCAATCCCCGTAATAGCAATCTAGCGAAGCGCCAATGCGTGCATTCAGTAGCCGATGTCAACGGATTCCGAAGTGCTTATCCGGTCCGATCCGGTTGGGCTGGGGATAAGGTGTTCACTGGATAGCATTCGAGATCAAGTACAAACACAGGTATTGATTTCGATGTCATCAAACAGTGTAGCCCAAGTGTACTGTACTCATATTTCTTGAATCGCTCCGAAGTGAAGCGTAATCTTTTCTCCTCATTGCTGGGTGCCGACGATTATCTTGATTGGGATGGGCTGGCTGTAGATAAGGCCGGCGTTGAGTACGGCTGTAGCTGTTATGCTGTTAATGAAGTGCGAGTAGGAGCCATCAAGGAAAGAATTGGATACTATATTTTGTTCCGATAGGCCTGGTAGGAGACATCACACCGGGCTTTATTACTAACGAAGTTGTGATTTGTAATGAGCGTTTCCGGCTGCCGGCTCCCAGAACTCGACAACGCGTGATTCAACGGACGTGAGTCTTTCCTCCAACTCTTTAGACATCGGCTACGACTTTTTACTGGGTAAATCGAAGTCCTGTCGATCCAAACCGACTGATGAGAACTTCAAGAACCGGACGCAGACCCAAACACTCGAGTGAGTTGATATGAACGCATCCCGCCCCGATTCGGCCGTACCGGGGACTTTAGCCATCGGCATCGGCAATGGTTCGCCCTTCCTATTTGGCGCCTCCATCGTTGGGGAAATGTTCCCATCTGAAACGAATCAGCTGTTTCTCCGCTGAGGAAGTATTGCCATTGGTGGGCTGAACCGGACCGTCACGTGACGGCGAACCGAGTTTCAGGATCCCGCCGCGAAATGACAAATTTTACATGCGGAAAGTAGCCAGAGCGGCACACAAAGGGAATGTGCATTTCCTGGCGGGCGGGAGAGCGATAAGTTTGATCAGAAGCTGGGTGGGACAAACTGCCGCAAGGCTGCAGCTGCTGGGTGGGGAGGGTGGGCGATGATCTGACCCCACCGACGAACAGTTGAACAACACATCATCACCACCACTACCACCACCCACCACCAACATCACCATCGCGGGAAATTAAACGACATACATATTATACAACGCTTGATTGATCGGTTGATTGATCGATTCGTGTTAGGGCTTTCTCTCCTTCACCTCATCCCTTTTCTTTCGCTCCCCCTCTCCCTCCTACCGCCCAACGACGATCGCATCCGTCCATCCAGCCATCGACGTCTTTGGCAATCACCCAAACTCAACTCAGCAGCTGAGCTCATCTTGCTTGATGTCTGGGCGGTCGATTCGTAGTCGACTTTCATAGGGATTGTTGCTGAGACGCGAAAGAAATATTCCCAGAAGCCCCATCGCATCTTCCAACCACTCTCCACCCCAACCCCAACTAACAACGTTAACCCCCCCCCTACGGAGACTTGTGACGAACAAACTTATCCCCCCCGCCGCCCCGACCGACACCCGCCGTTCCCCGCACATACGTTATCCCGCGTCCTGCAGTTGGCCCGAGTCCCGACATTCTAGGCTTGCTTTTGTTGCTGTGCTTCTGCTTGCTCGCTCGCTCCCGTCGAGGCGAGCCTACTACCATCGTGCGGCTCAACAACTTAATCTCCATCCCAGAATCTGAACCCCGAAACCCCCAACCCAAGCCCCGTCCCGCACCGAACTCCCAAACCAAACGATAAGATACCGCGACAATGGCCACGACCCCCCCCCAACGACCGCCCTCATCGGACATCACGATGGAGCCCCTATCCTCCGACAGTCTCCACGACGAGCCGCACCTGCTGCAGCTGCAACTGCAGCAGCAATACGTGCACGACCTGCAGCGCCCACCCAGCACCACCGAGCTCCCGCTCGCGCCCACATTACCGTCGTCGCTGCCGCACTCGCCGCCGACTCCAGACCGCTACTCGTCGCCGTCGAGGCACTACCACAGCAGCTCTGCCACGTCGATGCCGTCGGGATTCGGCGGGTCCTCGGACGCCTCGTACTACGGGGGTTCTCCGCCGCCTCCGATGCCACAGCAGCCGCAGCAAGGGTTCTCGAACTCGCCAAGAGGGGGGGATCGTGAAGGCTACTACAATGGCGGCGGTGGTGGGTCGTCGTCGGCTTACGCGGCGGAACAGAAACAGAACAGCGTGGTGATCAAGGTGGGCATGGTGGGCGACGCACAGATCGGAAAGACAAGTTTGATGGTCAAATACGTAGAAGGCAGCTTCGACGAGGACTACATTCAGACGCTAGGTACGAGCCATCTCCATATCCGTGGGGCGCAACTGTCTACACCGCCGTCGCCTCCCGTCCCGGAGGGGGGCCGCGCGGCTTTTCTTCTCGGGGGTGTGGAGAATGTCTGCTGATGCGTATATTTCGGGGATAGGGGTCAATTTCATGGAAAAGACAATTTCGATCAGGAACACGGAGATCACGTTCTCAATCTGGGATCTCGGCGGCCAGCGCGAGTTCGTCAACATGCTGCCGCTCGTGTGCAACGACGCCGTCGCGATTCTGTTCATGTTCGACCTCACTCGCAAGAGCACGCTCAATTCCATCAAGGAGTGGTACCGGCAGGCGAGAGGGTTTAATAAGGTGCGTCTTCTACTACGGGAACAGCACCACGCACGCCGGCGGGCTGAAGGGGGTGATGTGATTGCGGCTAATATGACGTGTTGTGTGGAACAGACTGCTATACCGTTCCTGGTGGGCACGAAATACGATCACTTTGTGAACTTCCCGCGAGAAGACCAGGAAGAGATCTCGAAGCAGGCACGGAAGTTTGCGAGAGCTATGAAGGCGAGCTTGATCTTCAGCAGCACGAGTCACAGCATCAACGTCCAGAAGGTATATCACAAACTTGAAACTTTGGTACGGTGGATGTACAGACAGAGGAGCTGACGATGGTTCGTTTCTCAGATCTTCAAGATTGTCCTGTCCAAAGCCTTCGACCTCAAGTGCACCATACCAGAGATCGAGAACGTGGGCGAGCCGCTGCTGCTGTATCAGGACGTATAGTTCTGCGGACGGGTACAATGACGTACACAGGATGCTGCACAGCTCATCAGGTCCCGTGACCACATACTACCCGGACAGAGGCTTGAAGCCTTTCCTCTTCTTGTTTTTTTATGCAGGAGTGTGCTGCTGCTGCTACTGCTGCTGGTGGGGATGGTGGATGGGGAATAGGATATGATATGGTGGGCGGGGTGGGAAGGCGTTTGTGTGATGTTCCTGAGTTGAGAGTTCTGCCTCGCAAAACAGAGTATTTTTTTTTGGCGACTATCGGATTTTTAGTGGTGTCGGTTCCTTTCTGTTCCGTTCTTTGTCGCTAAGTATGCGTGCGTTGTGTCCTTATTATTCCCTATACCAGGTCCTGCTGCTTCTTCTTCTTCTCAAGGTCTCTCGTTTTTCGTATTCTTTTTTTTTCTTTCTTTTTCTTTTTCACTTTTTTTTTGAGTCACTGTATGCATTGTCACTGCGGGGGAGAGGGATATGGATGGGCCGAAGGAAGCGGTGAGGGGAAATTGTGATGAGGGGATTTGATGTGATGGATGGATGGATGAGCGTGAGAGTGGAAGAGAGAGAGAGCATAGATACGCTCGAGAAGAGTGAAGAAGGGATAGATATCTGCATCATCATGAGCATCATGAGCATCAGCAGCATCATCAACAGCATCAACAGCATCAACAGCATCAACAGCATCAACAGCATCAACAGCATCATCGTTAACAGCATCTTATTTCAGTTGCCCATTAGGTTATATGTTCGTGATGATTTGTTTTGGTTTTTTTGGGTTTGTTTTTGCATTGCGACTGCGATTGTGATTGCGAATCCGATTGTGATGCCGATTGCGTGCTGTGGAATTCGAGAGAAATATATTGCCGGTGGACTCTGGAGAGTGGAGAGTGGAGACTCGAGACTTGAGAGGGAGGGCTCAGGGAAGGGATGGGGGGATGCTGGTAGGCTTATCTATCTACATATTCAGTCAGTTCCGTGCTGTATCCATGACTGCTGCGGGGATTCTGCGCTCTACCCACCTACTTACTTGCTCTGCGTACCTGTATGGAGATGTTTTTGCATGCAGTGATCAGTATACACAGGTATGAATAGTAAAGTGCTGTGTAAATACTCTCCGGGCCTTGTGGGTGCGCATTCGCCGAGGAGCGCACGGGGAGTGAGTGGGGAGGGGTGGGGAGTGGGGCTGCGGCCTGCGGGTGGTGATGATGATGACGGTGGTGGTGATGGTGGTGGTGGTGACGGTGATCGCATCTTCCCTGTATGCAGAGTACACAGAGTAGTCGACAACTTCATACTTTACATACCGCGAACCATGCTTGCTTGAATCTCGAGAAGATGTTTGGGAAGGCAGACTGACGGAAATATGGAAACAAGGCACTGTGGGTTATTGGTCCATGGTCATGGGGCGAGGAAGGCGGAGGAGTCGGAGGAGTGGCGAATGTGGGGGAAGGGGGGTGGAGAGGTTACCTAGGGCTTTCTGCTCTGCTCTGTCAGTCCGCCCTTTTACACTCTCTCGGCCTTCTTCTACATCCCATTGTGTTACGACCTCGTGGGCTTTCCTACCTACGGCACGGCGAGTCCGGAAGGATGATTACTCTGATATCGTCCTGTCGCCTTCAACCACGGTACTTCACTGGATTGGTGCCGTAGCCTACCTACATGCTCTAGTCCCGGCCCTGCGTCTTACGAATGGCCGGTCCACAGGTAAGCCCCAGGGCCTGCCCTGCTCTACCCACTTAGAGCATGTGCCTATCCCCCAGATGTGTATGTACATCCGCACGCCCATCCATTCGCTCGTTCGCGTTCTCGGGAGGTCTAAGGTAAGGCAAGGTAAGGTAAAGGTATGTAAGGTGAAGCAAGGTCAGGTAAGGTAAAGGTAAGGTGAGGTGAGGTAAAGCTCACGCATCCACATCCATCTCGGCCATCCAAACAGACAGACCGATGGCTTACCTACCACGGTGCCTACAGAAGTGCAGAGGGACCTCGAGATGCTCGAGCTGCGGCGTGGGGTTCTTTTGCCGGCGTTCGTGCGGCGTCATGCAGCGTCACTGGCTCCGAAGAACAGTTCCGAGATATTATCGTCGAAATGGGGAAGGCCAGCGCCCAGCTAATTGGGGCCGGCGGCTCTTGGCGGCTGAGACTCCGGTATGTTTGTATGCAGTCCACGCTACATAGCGTATCGGCTGAGACTTTCGGGTTTGCCCGTTTTCGTTCCCGTGGAATTCCCCCTCTAGCGAAATACCAAGACATCCGCCATATTGAAGACACAACTTCGGGGCCTTGGAAGCTGATGGCGATGGCTCGGCGAGGGCTGGTGCTGCGGCCGGTTGGTTCGCTAACTAATAACTTGCATGTTGGTGGAGCACCAGGCAGGCAAGCAAGCGACCACGGGCGGTGACTGGACGGTGGTGGGAGAGAAGGAGGGAGGAAGGGAGGGATGGAGGAATGGAAACTCAAAAAAAAAAAAAGAAATAAGGTGAGCGACAAGACCCAGTCCGGTTGGGAAACTTGCAAGTTATTTTCTCTCCTCTTGCTCGTTTTGCCTCGATTCGCCGCCGTCGTAATAGACCAGGCTCAACTTCTATTCACTCATCCTCTCTTTCCCTTCCGCGTGGAATCTACAGTACGCACTCGTTTCGCGGGCCGCCCGCGATTGTTAGAACTCCGTCATCACCGCAGCCAACCACCACCACCACCACCACCACCACCACCACCACCACCACCGCCGCCGCCGCCGCTACCCACTATTGCTACTACTGATGAGTTAGTGAGCTAATTAGCACCCTATCGAATCCCATTCTCATCACTACATACCCATCCTCTGCCCGTCGACCGCCACCCTCCTCGTTGTCACGGAATTAACGAAAGAAAAGTTGTGGGTAATCCCCAGGGGGGCTGGTGTTCGTGTTGGTCCGGTCGGGTCGGGTCGTTTGCTGACAGGAATTGCCTTTTCTCTATCGCAGGATTTAGGGTTTAAAGGCCGAAGAAAAAGGTCCGGTCCACTATATCTATCTACCTGTCTTCTTCTTCTTCTTCTTCGAAAGACAATACCCGGACTTGAGAGTCCCCGAGCACGCACATATCGCCTCCGTTCGTCGAACTCTTTCTGAAACCTTTTACACCCGCCGCCACCACCACCGAGATCGTGTTCTACCCTACCGGTGCTACCCACGAGCAGCACAAACTGCGACGGGCAGCCGAAGACGGCGCACACACGCATTCTCCCACGAGACACGCGATACGAGTGGAGGAGCAGCAGAAGCGGGAGTGAACACCCTCCCCCGACAAAGCCTCCCCGTTCTGTAGCTGTTTCGCCCAGTTGTCGAGTTTGACACGGCACGGAAATAAGCCGAGACGACGAGGGCCGCACGTGTCTATACAAGTGAATAGCCCGCCGCCGCCGCGATGGCGTGGGACCAGTTGAATGTGAGTTTGTGAACGAGGCAAGCGGCTTCCGTTTCTTTTGCGTCGGTGATTTTTTTTCCCACAATTTTTCTTGCTTCGCTACATTTTTGCTTTTTCCTTGTTTTCCCCTTGTTTTTGTTTTCTTTCCTGTGGAGAGAGACGAGTTTGCATCGCGTAGACGGAGCCGATTTCGAGATCTGCCGGGGCCGGCTCACAGGACGAGAACGAGAAAGCGAGCCGGCCTAGCTGGGTTCCGTGGCTCGGCGGACTTGGCGATGCGTCGCCTATCGGATGGTCGACAATGTCAAGACAAGACAAGCCTTGCCATGACTTTTGGAATGCGCTGGTTTTTCTCGGCGAAGTGGGGAAGAGAAAAAAGATGGACGAGAGGGGAAAAAAATAAACTGGGGGAGTGTGCGTGGTCGGTTGGGAAGATGGTTGCTATCCAGCACTTTCGAGGTTCTCTATCTGAGGTCTCAGGGCCTGGCTGGTGTTTGGGGGTGTATAAACGACACGCCGAGGTTGTGGGCACGAACTCGTCATGTCTCCCCTTTCAGGCCGAGCCACCCTTCCCGAATGTCTGGTCCACTGAGGATGGGCCAAATGATATATATGGCATATAGATGTGGATTTTCTCACTTGCTTATTCTTTCTGCTCCTTCCGTGCTACTAATCGCTCATTTTTCTTCTTTTTGTTCCTTCTCTCCATATCTTGCTGCGCAAAATGGGACTTGAATTCTTACCGGTTACTGATGCCTACCAGATCAACAGGCCGCATCTGGCATATACGATTCTTGGAGGGTTCACTTCGATTTTCATGTTATGTTCTCTTTTCATCAAGGAAAAATTGTACATTGGTGAAGCCAGTGGGTTTTCCCAGGGAGTCTTGCGGAACGAGAGGACGTGGATCGTAATGCTGACTTGGTGGTGGTGGTAGCTGTTGCGACGATATGTGGAATCATATTCGGACCTATTGGAGCGAAATTGTTCGTACCGAATGATTGGGGTAATGTGGATCAGATCACCCTGGAGTGCTCGAGAATTGTCTTGGTTGTGCAGTGCTTTGCTGTCGGTGTTGAGTTGCCGAAGGTAAGACACTCTTGTTTTGCTCGGGCAGATTTTGCTTGATGGATGCTGACGCAAGATAGAAATACATGACAAGACATTGGAAATCGGTGCTGTTCTTGCTGGTGCCCGTCATGACTTACGGCTGGCTCATCACGTCGCTGTTTATCTGGTGGATGATCCCGTCGTTGAGCTGGCTCGAGGCTCTCACTTGCGCCGCCTGCGTTACGGCAACGGATCCTGTGCTTGCATCTTCGGTCGTCGGAAAGGGAAGATTTGCGAAGCGGATTCCCAAGCATCTTCGAGATCTACTGTCGGCCGAATCTGGATGCAATGACGGCATGGCTTTCCCGTTCGTGTACCTTTCGCTTTACTTGATAAAGTACCGACCCAACGCCGCCGAAGTTTTCGAACACTGGTTCTGTCTCACCGTCCTCTACGAGTGTGTTTTTGGCGCCATCTACGGAGTCTGTGTGGGATATGTGGGACGGCACGCCATCAAGTACGCCGAGAGAAAGAACCTGATCGATCGGGAGTCCTTCCTCGTGTTTTACTTTGTGCTCGCCCTTTGGTGCGCGGGAACCGGCTCTATGCTCGGTCTCGACGATCTCCTGGTAGGATTCGCCGCTGGTGTCGCCTTCTCGAACGACGGTTGGTTCTCGCAACAGACCGAAGAGTCGCACGTATCCAACGTCATCGATCTGCTGCTCAATTTGGCTTTCTTTGTCTACTTTGGATCCATCATTCCCTGGGCCTCGTACAACCGTCCCGACTGGGAGATCACGCCATGGAGACTAATCGTTATAGCAATATTTGTCATTCTTTTCCGTCGGATTCCCATCATGGTTGCGCTGAAGCCAGTCATACCGGACATCAAGACGTGGCGCGAAGCTCTCTTCGCCGGCCACTTTGGTCCCATCGGTGTCGGTGCTGTGTTCGTAGCTATCCTGGCACGTGCTGAGCTCGAGACTGGAGAGACCACACCACTGGCTGTGTTACCACCCCCGGGCAGCAAGAATTACATGGTCATAGAGTTGATCTGGCCGATCACTACGTTCTTAATATTGACGTCGATTCTCGTGCATGGCAGTTCGATCGCTGTGTTTACACTGGGCAAGCATATCAACACTATGCGCATCACCATGTCGTACACCACCGCCAACGAGGAACCGAACTGGCTTTCCCGACTGCCGAGGCTCACGCCCAAGGCATCCATGTCGATCCGCAAACCCGATATGGACGAGAGCTCAGACGAAAAGTTCCCTCACGGCACGCTTCCACCTGCCGGCGGTATTCCCGGCGGCTTCATATCCCGCCCAACCATCGACGATGACACTCCTCTCCCCAGCCGGCCGGCTAGTATCCGTACCCGTCGCCGTAAGAACTGGGAAGCCGGCCACGGACCTGGTGGGCCAATCTCTGACACCGCCATCGCTCCACGCCGCGTGCATTCCGAGCCCATTGATAACATGAACTCCGCCTCACCCACGCCTCCTCTGCAGCGACCACGATTAACTCAGCAACAGCAGTCCAGGGAAGACTTCAATGAGAAGCGCGTCGAGGAGTACCAAGAGGGCTCCAATATCATTTTGGAAACCCCAGAGGGCGATGTGATCCGCAAGATGAAGACACCCGACGCTAAAGACCACAAGCACATCGGCCCCTTCGATATCCCGCACCCCCATGAGCACCACGGCAGCACCCCTACCTATGTTACTGACGAGCAAAGCGCGCTTGATGCCGCACGTGCCGAAGGCCGCCACTCGCGCCGCAGACCCGCATGGGCATACCGCTTCGACGACAACATTGTGGTGGAGGACGAGGACGGAGAAGTCATTCGCCGGTATAAGCTACCAAAGGACAAGCGACCCGGCGCATCTTCCGGCAGCGCCGGGGGCGAGTCCAGTAGTCGCTCGACAGGAACCTGGGCCGGCTGGACACAGAAGATGAACTTCTTCCGCAACGCCAAGCAGGCCGCAGACGAGGAAGCCGACAACGACGATGACGACGCAAAGACTGTTTACTCCATGGGTGGCAACGACGAGGACCGCACCAGCCGCCTGCAACAGTTCCGCATGCACGACGAACGTGGCCGACGACTCAGCAAGCAGCAGTTCCTCCAGAAGCTGCAGATGATGGATCCCCATGCCCGTGCGGCACTGGCAAGTCCGAGCGTCAGCATGGATGTGGACGCTCGCGGCCTGGCGGATCGTCTACGTGTACAGACCGGTGCGAAGGACAACTCGGCACTTCCGGAAAGACCGGTTTCCCCGCCCAGGAGTGCACCCAGGAACGCACCTAGACCCAAGGAGACGGCGACGACCGGCGACGGCAGGGAGGAGGAGACCGCTGCGGAACGACGACGACGAGAGGCGGCGCTTGGAATCGCCGAGGAGGGGGCGAGCGACAGTGACGAGGAGGTAGGCGGACGAGGCAGACTCGAGGGTGGAGCTGGGCCCGGTAGACGGAGAGAACCTGCCGGCGGTGGTGGAGGAGGTATCCAGTGGGGCGAGGACGTTAAGGGCAAGGGCAGGGGAGAATAATCGCGTTTCGTTTTTGTTCCTTTCTTTCTCTGCTTTTGAGTTTTTCGTTTGGTTCTTTTTTTCTTTGCTTCACAACGAATGATGGGGATAAGCATCACGGACATCACGGACGGACTGGGGGCATGGTGAGAATGGTGAGATGGCTTGCATGGGGGGATGAATATCTGACGAAGGTTGGTTGGTACATAGCATGGCCACCGAAGACACGGTGGGTGAGTGAGTGGGTGGTACTCTAGATGGGTGGTGGGTGTACATGAGTTTGAAGTTTTGTCCTTAACTTATGTACAAATCTTTTCTTCTTTTTCTTTCGATTTTGTTTTCATTGCCGTTATGGATTGTTGCTTCTTCCACTGTTACTTTTTTTTTTGAGCTAGGAAGAGTGTGTGAGGTGTAAAAGCCCGAGAGAGGGGCCGCTTCAGTGCTGCTAACTAATATCCATCCCGGACTGGCTATTTGTCGCCGGATGTCTTTTGTGTTTTTGAGTCGAGTCGAGTCGGTTGTGATGATACAAGTCGGTGACTCAGTGTACCTACTATGTACTGTGGATGATGGATTGAATCGATATGAGTTGAACTGAACTGGAAACCGAAGACTGAAGACTGAAGTGAGGATGACTGCGCGTGGTATGGGATCAGTGGATCACTCGTTTTCCTGAACATTCGGGCTAGGTATGACTATGAGTTTCCGTCGGTCTTTCGCGTGAGTGGTGAAACGGGGACAAAAGCAAAGCAGAGGCAATCCCTCGAGACTCGAGGACTCGAGCCGCTCGTACCGTAGTAGTCATGGCAAGTGGGAATGACTCTCGGCCATATCCCAGCACCACCATCACCGCATGGGTAGGCAAGAGAATAAGCGGGCAAAACAACGGCCCCTATCAACAGGGGTGGCCAGAGCAAAAGAAACAGGCTCGAACCCGGATTTGAACCGGGGACCTCTCGCAATTGATGCTTAGGAGCGACCCTAAGCGAGAATCATACCACTAGACCATCCGAGCTGGTTGATATACACTAACAATAATGCTAAAATAATGCGAGCACATCATTTCAGGCATCATAGCTACCATCCGCAGCGCTCGATCCAACCTTTCTGCAACCGCGTACAACAGCCCGGCAAGTAAGGCGGAGTTGCTGCACAGAGATCTCCATCTGGGTTACAAATAACACTAGGAGAAGTGTGTACGTTTCTATCATCTACGGTCCCAAAGGCAGCATGCAATCAATCCAGAAACAAAAGGAAACGAAAGGAAACGAAAAAAGGAAACAACAGCGACAAGACGAAAACGAAAACCTTTCTCTGATATTCTCCCTACGCAAGCAGTCGCGCATCGTCCACTGTGGCTTGGAACGGCGGACGCTTTTCACTCACGAATCGGCCACGAACACCGCGACTGCTACTCAAGAATTCGGATCGCTCACATCGATTTGAGTCGAGGCGCACGGGAGAGAAGCGGCACCGTCGCACCGATAGAATAGGTAACGGTATGCCCGAAACTCCTCCCGCAGTGTCGAATACACACCCCCGGGGTTCCTCGGGGACAAGACCAAAATCGAAACTAGGCCCGCCGCCGCCAAAAAAAATATTCGGATCCTTGAGCGTCCAAAATTCGGCCGAGTGCGAAACAACGCGGAAGTTTCCGAGCCGTACATTAGTACGTAAAAATACGCAGCATCGTGAACCAACCGCGTTTCAGGTATGTAATAAAAGTATAAAAGTATACTGATACATACTTCCATCGGTCAACTCAATTCGAATGAATGACCCGGCGAACTGTGTACCAGTAGTGTACGGACTCGACCCAAGCGGCAATCCGGGGCGGTTGGTTGCCTCCGATGCGGGATTCTGCCATTTTGGTAGGTTTTCCGTATGTATGTACCTAACAGCGGTCGTCTGCCAATAAGGTTGGGCGGCCGTGGAACCGCCGGGGATCACCAGTCGCACTACTACTAGTAGTAGGTACTATACATGATCCCTAGTGAATGCCAGTCGCCGACGGCCGTCAGCCCACCGCAGCTACTTGCCGCTACGAACGTTCACCAAAAAAGAACACCGGAGCGGACATGCGTTACAACTAGTATCTTCGTCGACGTGGCAGTGGCACGGCAGCATTCACTCAATCAGTGCACCAGTCCCCGCCAGTAAAAAGGGCTCATCTGCACCAGTAAAAAGAAAACCTCTGCGAAGCAAAGTAGTGAAGACCAGGCTCGAACCCGGATTTGAACCGGGGACCTCTCGCAATTATGCTCAGGAGCGACCCTAAGCGAGAATCATACCACTAGACCATCCGAGCTGATTGATATCTCATGATGCGGCTGGCTTATATATACGTGGTTAACCCTTTGCGCACCGCACTACTGACCCTGTCAACGTTGTTTTCGGTTCGGTCGAGAGAATGCGCGTGTGCATACAGGTGCGAGCACTCGCTGGTGCAGGTTGTGATTTGGAGATGAAGATGGACGGCCTTGAAGACAGAATATCTAGACGCCCGTGGAAAGGATATTTATCGGTTTTGGGGTTGGTAGTATAAACCGTATGTACGGCGCTGTTCGGTTCTGTCCGGATTCTACCCTCCGAAGGTAATCTATAGCTTCTCGCTGAGCCTGTTGGATTCATGTTGTAGATAAACCTCTTATTGTGATACTTTCAGGGGCGTTGTAACAAGTGGTGGCCTAAAGATCTTGGGAGTTCCTGCCGAGTCGAGTGATCACGTCCGGCGTCAACTACATACAAATTCGGGTGAGCAAAGATAGTGATCGCTAACTACTTCGTCTTGTAGAGTTATTCTAGAGAAACAAACAAATAAGAGTTCTCATTCGGAGATGAAATTGAGCATTTCAAAAGGTGAGGATGTTAATCGCGGGTGTTGTTGTGTCGTGCGTGTGGTCGTCGTTATTGGATGGAGTATCTAGCGAACAGCCTAACCGAACCGACACATACAACGTCACTCGCTGTAGCCCGGCGCGGCAGAATGATCCCGGTACATATGTACGAGCGACTTCAACTCTGCATTTGTGCAGTATTCATTGGTGCTTCGTGAGGAATTGCCCAGATTATCTCATCTTATGGATCTCAGGGTGTGAACGCCGCATGCTGGACTGTAACCCGATAACAAGAACCATGTACGGTTGCTGGAGATATGAGAAGCGAAATTTAATCATTGTATTGCGAGTATACATCTGGTCTGGCGCCCACTATCCTCAGGTCTTTACTACCGATACAAAATAAGCCACAATGGCCCTTCCGGCGCACCATGCAATTTCATCCATCTCTTGAAAGTTGAAGGTCCACCCTCAGTCCTTGACCACCACGGTTCACAACCGTAGCGGTGGATGGCTCAATTCCAGTTGCGACAGTTGCGACAGTTGCGGTCATCTTCGGACACACCGCCGCTTAACTCTGGTAAATAGGCTCCTTGTCACCGATGTACTTACCAACTGTAGGTGGGCTATTGGATTCTTGCCTTCAGTGATTTGCGCACTGGTTGATGACATTTGTTTTTGAGTGGCCATCTCAATAGCTCGGATGGTCTAGTGGTATGATTCTCGCTTAGGGTCGCTCCTAAGCATCAATTGCGAGAGGTCCCCGGTTCAAATCCGGGTTCGAGCCCATTCCTTTTGCTTCCTTGCAGCAGTCCTTTTTCTTTGGATGTTTCCTTATTTTGGCTGGTTCCTTTTGGTTCGGAGTCAATCCATCTTTTAATGCGGAATTACTATCAACGGGCAAAGTCTGCAATAACACGGGATGCTCGTTATGTAGCAGGTGGGCGACCGAGGGTTTTCAGTGTTCACAGCTCTTTTTGATTCTCGGACCCACAACTACTTTGGTGTTCGTAGATACTACTATGTAGGTAGTAGAATGGCAATGTCATTCTCACAACTCGACTATGGGATTGAGTGGGTTCGGGATCTGGCGCAAACACTTGGGTCTGAATGTTTTTTTTTTCGAAAGTCAGAAGTGGGTGGGCGTGCCGTCCAACTGCCCCAAGATGCCAACCGCAAGGAATTCGTAAAGGTGGGGGTCTGGTAGACTCACCGAATCACGGCTTATTCGCTGCAAGTATGTACTTAAGTATCCTCAGCCCACCAAGACCACTGGCGTAGTTGATTCCACGGTACCGGTATTGGATCCGTAACGTTAACTGTTGATATACCGTACCGTACGGTATTCGATCTATTGGTATCGTACTCGTACCCATTCGGTAACGTCGCTGGGCAAAGGCTGCGAATCAACACCATAATCAGTCATTCCATCCCAACATCGTGCCGGACGTTCATGTGCGCAACTCGTTCGGTGTCCCCAACGCACCTACCTACCTATCCAGCGATTCCAGCGATTCCAGCGATTCCAGCTTCCTTCTCCTTCTCCTTCTCGTTCCACCTACCCTCCCAGTGCTTCGCCCAGCGGGGTGGGGCGGATTTATACGCAGGGAGCTGGTTGCCGTCTTTGGTAGATAGGTATCCAGGAGCTCAAATCTGGAGCTTGGGTTGGGACAACATGCCGTGCAGTGTCGTGCAGTGTCATACGTTGTGTGCGAAGTCTGTACACCGTCCGTCGTGAATTGTGAGTCGTGAGTCTTACGGTCTCTGAGACCTGTTTTTTTCTTCAGGGAAAGGAAGGGAATGCTGGGATGTTAGGACGGGGAGGGGGCGAGAATGCGAACGAGGTGGGGATGCGCATAGGATGCGGATGCCTGAGTAATCTGCCTTGGCCCTTGGGTGCGAGACGAGTGGGTGTGGTAATGTAGATATGTGGAATATGTACGAGGTGTCCATGCAGACTCCAGAGTCGCAGATGTCCCCTCAGACTGAGCACCTAGTATCATATGTAGAGTAGAGTGTGCAGAGTAAAGTATGTACCAGTATCCCACGATATTGAGCGCCATGGCAATACAATCATCGGAAAGTGCATGTAGGATGTAGTCTATGTAGTGCCTGGGTGGCTGGCTCCCCACCTGCCAATCGCCGCCGCAGTCGCGCAGCACGACGTCCGGAATCCCCTTCCCCGCCCGATGGCGATATAAAACCCTGAGCTTCTGAGCTTCTGAGACCTTGAGACTCTGAGACTTCGAGTTGCATGCCGTCCGGCGTCCGTCCAAAAAAACAAGCGGTCTACGGCGCCCCGCCGCCCCGCCGCCCGCCCCGCCCCGCCCCGCCGCCTCGCGTCGACATGTCTCGGACTCGCGGGCCATGGCACGAATCGGGGGAAGCTTACAAACCTCCAATTCTTCACGCACTCGTTGGTAGCCCCCATGCCTACATCATACACGGTGTTTGGTTTGCAATCGCTAGTGGTAAAGTAGGTAGGCATCGGGCACCGTATCGTATCGTACAAGAGGGATTAGGTCGATAGAGTAGAGCATCGTAACTAATGCAGGGCTTCGCATGAAGCCCCAGACGAGGGTTGGGTAAATACTTGGTCGGGACTGGTCCTCGGCGAACTCGCCTGGACGGTGTGATGGATAGGGGGTGGATCCCTCACCGCTTGAGTGCTATGAGGTAACTAGTAGTCAACTCTAATCGCTCGCTCGCTTTCGGTTGAACGGCGGTGCGGTTGGTTTTGGCGCCCTCTCCGTGATAGGGTCTTTTTTTTCGGATGTACCTAGTACTTTACTTTACCGTAGTAGGCATAAGGTAAGCGAGGCACCAGGGAGATCGTTTTCCCGGTCTAACCATCGTCTACCTAGAGGACCTTTTACAAGTAGTGTAGAGGCTACGCCCGCCGGGGCCACCGGATCTGTGTTGGTGGATCGACCTCCCCATAGATCTGGCTTGACGCCACAAACTTTAGAGCATGGAATCTGGATGGCGATGGAGAAGATTACTGGATTACGGACACACATGTCGGATGTTGGATGGCGGTGGTACGAACTGCCGTCGCGATTCATCCGCCCCCCCTCCCCGTCATTGAGTAGGTACGTACCGCACCGGTACCGCTCTTATGGACGTCAGGAATCAAGATGGCAGCCGCAGGGGATTGCGCTGCTCCGAGGAATAGGTATGGTATGTACCATGGACGATGGGCATTGGGCATTGGGCGTTGGGCATTGCGATTGGTATGAGGGATAGATATTACAGATGAGAGGCATTGGGCATTGGATTGGCCATTGATGTGCGGGACTATCATAGTTTGTAAGCTCGGCAGTCAATCGTCGCCCGCCCGTTCCCTTTCCCTTTCTCCCTTCCGATAAACACGACTTACACATGCCGAGCAACCGTAGGCCTGGTCTGCGGGGGCCGGATTCCGCGGTGACCGACCCGCCGCCGCTGAAGACTGAAATCGATTGGACCTCCAAGTGATGATCGCAGAGTAGTTACGCAATAACTAATAACCGACCAGAGATTGGGGCCTGAAACATAATTGAGTTATTTTGCGGGGGCCGACTCGCCCACCACTGCCAATCGAGTCGCGGTGTCGCTTTCAGCTGAAGTTGGCGAGAGGCTGAACCCCAGCAGTGTCTCAGCTGAGCTGGGTCAGGACAAACCAGTGGTGGGTGCTATGTAACTGTGCATAGGCGGATAAAGTCGGTGATCCTCCTACGCAGAGTAATGTGCGACTCGCAGTGCGCATCCGAATAATGCTCCCTCGTGACCGCGCTCGTCCGTCGTGAGGTGGAGAAGTGGAGAGGTGGAGTCGTGAGACATACGCACTCTCTCTGTGCAGCTTTTTTCTCCTCATTTCGGCACAGCGTTGTGGTTGGGTTGGTTACGCTACCGGTATTACTCCGCAGACTCACGGAATCGACAAGCCTGAGGAATTGTCTGATACGGTACTCTGCATCCGAGAACGGCTGTCAATGGTTTGTGGCGCTTGACTGCAGATCGACGGCAGGCACACCCGTTCCTGGACGATTCGCGTCCTACAACTGAGCAACTCGTGGGAAAACCTCTCGGGGTGTGGTCACTGTGGTGTTTCACCCAACCACCTGTAACCGTGAAGGATGTAATTGAAATTAAAACACAAACAAAACAAAATACAGATATAAAATAAACCTCCCCTTTCAATTGGCGGCCATGACCGGATGAGGTCGAGCACTAACCGGAGTAGAGTAGTATCTACAGGACAATATGAAAACGGAAAAGGAAAAGGGAAAAGGACCGTGTCGATGGCCTCCCGAACAGCAACAAACAAACTACGCCGTCTCCAGCGTCGATCTGCTCGATTGGGCTGTGTACTGCGCTCGATTGGCTCGATATGCATCCGCTGGTCGGCTATCGATCGACTAATGATTGCAAGGTTGTTTCGTTCTGAGCCTGTGCACCGAACCCTGAACCCTGATCCACCATGGGCCCTGGCCTCTCGGAGGGGGCACTTGGCACCTGCTTTTCTCAATCATCGCGCGCACACTAACTTCAAGACACTATTTGAGACATCGACGTCGTCGTCGTGAGTCGGCCACACCACCACCACCAGTGAAAGATGAACCGAAAGCTCGTCGGACTAAGAGTGGAGGCCCGACTCAACCGAAAATCCTGCCCACTGTGGACAAGACGGACACTGCGCGGGTTGCACGGCAGACCACGATCGCACGGCTGGATTCGCAGTGGGCCAATTGAATGGGCTGCATGAGGGGTTCACTCGGAGAGACCACGCAGGACCGTATCCGCTGGCGCATATCACCGTCCACCGCGAATTCCTGCTGATAACGGTCCAATGCGGAAAAGAATGTCGGGTGCGTGCGCCGAGGGGTGCTGTATGCGGAGCTGAGGACGATGGTGACGGGACGAGGTCAGGGAAGAGGAACGAGAAGGGTGGTTGGTGAGGTGTCGGAAGTACGTTCGTTCGTGATCGTCTGCGGAATTACATGCAATTATCTTGTCTCGCATTCTTCCCCTCCATGTTCCGGTGCTGTTGAAATAGCCATGGCCACCCACCCAACCCTCCACTGAACGATTTCTGCTTTCATACAGTTATATCCCCCTCCCTCTTCCCTTAATCCTCTCTGTGTCTCTTCAGCGAACGGCCTCGAAGACCAACACGATCACCTCCTACAATAATGGCATCATACAACGGATCAAAGTCAAAGGCCCCAGACTTTCCCATGTACGAACCGGTCGAGATCACCGCATCGTCGTCGAATGGTCACCCCAATGGCAGCCGCAATACCGCCGTGACCAGAATCAGCCCTCCAGTAGCAAAGCCCTCCCAGAAAGAGGTCGAGGCAACATTTACCAAGTTTGCGTCCCTCATCCGTGCATCGAATCGGCCCTTACCCCATCGCTACGGCAATGGGAAGGGTGAAACCGAGGATGAGGAGGAAGTCAAGACGGGTATCAGAGCAGACGTTGCCGCACTGCGGAAAGGAGGCTTCCTGAAGGAGTCACTCGAGACTCTGTGGATCTTCGCCAATGGCCGACGGAAGGGTGGTCCCGTTGACGACAAGACGATGATCGTGAGTATCTTCCTTTCCCTTTCGTTGTGGGTTTATACAAGTTTCGATTGTGGTCATCATCTAACATGAACAGATGGAACGTATGATCCAATTGACCTGCCGACTACCCACGACCAGTAAGTTGAGGGTCAAGCTTACCACACACCAAGTCGACGGCCTGTGGGACGCACTGCAACATCCTCCTCTCTCGTACTGCGGTGCCCAGTACATGTACCGTCAAGCGGACGGAAGCATGAACAACATCCTGGACCCCAATCTCGGCCGCGCAGGTTCAGCGTATGCCCGCTCGGTGAAGCCCATGACGAGGATGCCTGGTGCACCCCCGGATGCCGCCACTGTCTTTGATGCCCTCTACAGCCGAGGAAAGAACGGAGAGAATTACCGCCCGAGCACCAACAATGTTAGCAGTATGCTCTTCTACATCGCAAGTATCATCATTCACGGTAAGCTACCCACTATTTGTTCTTTTTCCGTGCCGAGTGGTGTCTGATATCAATAGATCTCTTCCGTACGAACCGCTTGGATCCCACCATTTCGGATACATCATCGTACCTGGATCTGTCCCCTCTGTATGGTATCGACCAAGAACAGCAAAACACGGTGCGAACATTCAAGGATGGTAGGCTCAAGAACGACGTCTTCGCTGAGAAGCGTCTGTTGGCGTTCCCACCCGGAGTGTCGGTTATGCTCCTGATGTTTGCGCGATTCCACAACCACGTCGCGACACAGTAAGTCATCCCCCCAATCTCTACGTCGTAATCGGGGGACCAGAGCTGACGACAATCACAGATTGAAGGAGATCAACGAGGGTGGTCGATTCGACCTCAAGAATGACCGCAGGTGGCACAAAGACGACGAGGAGACCAAGAAGGCCAAGGCTCTGGTTCAGCAAGACGAGGATCTCTTCCAGGTCTCCCGACTGGTGACGTGTGGTCTTTACATCAACTTCATCCTCAACGACTACCTCCGCACAATCGTCAACCTCAACCGCGTGGACACCACATGGACCCTGGATCCTCGGTTCGACCCATCCAAGCAGTACAACCCTGACGGCACCCCAGCGGGTGTCGGTAACATGGTGTCCGTCGAGTTCAACCTGGTGTACCGATGGCATTCGTGCATTTCGAAGCGCGACGACGAATGGACACAGAAGTTCTACAAGAACTTGTTCCCCGGAAAGGACACCGAGAAGTTGACGTTGCAAGAGTTCATGATCGGTGTACACATCTGGGAGCACTCGATTCCCGCTGACCCGGCGGAGCGGACGATCGAGAACTTCGAGAGGCTGCCTGATGGTCATTTCAAGGACGAAGATCTCGTCGGTCTTCTGACCGAGAGCATTGAGGACCCTGCTGGCGCATTCGGTGCCCGCAACGTCCCCCACGTCCTCCGCCTGGTGGAGGTTCTCGGTATCGAGCAGACCCGTAAATGGAAGGTGGCATCGTTGAACGAGTTCCGTGAGTTCTTCGGCCTGAAGAAGCACAAGACCTTCGAGGAAATCAACCCCGATCCCATTGTTGCCAACTCCCTCCGCCAACTCTACGATCACCCCGATTTCGTCGAGCTCTACCCCGGCATCGTTGCCGAGGACGACAAGGCGCCGATGGTTCCCGGTGTCGGTATCGGTCCCACCTACACCGTGTCCCGCGCCATCCTTTCCGATGCTGTGACGTTGGTGCGTGCCGACCGTTTCTACACCGTCGACTACACCGCCGCTGCACTCACCAACTGGGGTATCGAGGAGGCCTCTTCCAATCCCAATGTCGTTCACGGCTGCGTCGGCTACAAGCTGATCCTGAAGGCGTTCCCCAACCACTTCAAATTCAACAGTATCTACGCCATGCACCCTCTCACCATACCCCTTGAAAACCGTAGGATCCACACCGCCCTGGGCACTGTGGATCAGTTCGACTTCGAGCGACCAAAGTTCATCAAGCCTCGTGTACCCGTTGGATCTTACACGGCCGTCAAGCAGATCCTCAACGACGACACCAACTTCAAGATCACCTGGGGTGCCGGCTTCGACTACATCATGGAAGCCCCATTCATGCTTTCCGGCGACGGAGGCCACTACGCCACCATGAGGAAGTTCGTCGGTGACCGGTTGTACCTCCAAGGTGTGGACTGGAAGGCGCAGATCCGCACCTTCTACAAGGACCTCACCAAGAAGCTCATCCGCAAGAAGGCGTACCAGATCCAAGGAGCCGAGTGCTACCAGGTCGACGCCGTACGCGACATTGGAAACATGGCGCAGACGATATTCGCCGCCACCATCTTCAACCTTCCGCTCAAGACTGAGGACCACCCCAAGGGTATCTACACCGAGCAGCAGTTGTACATGGTTCTGTGCGCGATGTTTATCGCCATCTTCTTCGATATCGACACCTCCAAGTCCTTCCCCATGCGACACGTGGCCAAAGCCGTCACGCGCCAACTCGGTGCGGTCGTGGAGACCCAAGTGAAGGCGATGAAGACCTGGGGCTGGCTGCAGGGCACCTTCGACCCGCTCAACATCCAGGGTCGTAACAAGTCGGCCCTTCACGACTACGGCCACCACATGATCAAGCGCCTCCTGGAATCCGGCGACTCTCCCTACGACGTGACCTGGAAGTACATTATTCCCACCGCCGGTGCCTCGGCACCCAACCAAGCGCAAATCTTCGCCCAGGTCCTGGACTTCTACCTGGAGCCCGAGAACGCCCACCATCTCGCCGATATCCAGCGTCTCGCAGCCGAGGATACCGACGAGGCATGGGAGATCATCAAGAAGTATGCACTTGAGGGCGGCCGTCTCGCGGGTACATTCGGGCTCTACCGGCGCGTAGACACCGACTCGATCACGCTCAGTGACGGAGCGCGCCAAGTGCCCCTCGTCAAGAACGACCTGGTGTTCGTCTCATTCATATCCGCGTCGCGCGACCCGGTAGTCTTCCCGGACCCGCTGCAGGTCAAGCTCGACCGCCCCGATGCCAGCTACATGCAGTACGGCGACGGCCCGCACGAGTGTCTCGGCAAGCACGCGAACATCGTCGGCTTGACCACCATGCTGATGGAGTTTGGAAAACTCAAGGGTCTCCGAAGAGCCCCTGGCCCCCAGGGACACATGAAGACTATCCCTAAGCCTGGCGGCTTCAAGGTCTACATGACCGAGGACTGGAGCAGCTTTTGGCCGTTCCCTACGTGCATGAAGGTCAGGTTCGATGATATCATTTAGGCGGCAAGGCATGGGATGGGTGTCGCGTTTCCTTCTGGTTGTTTAGTTGTTTAGTCCGGGCTTTGTATTATGGATGCGATGCTTTTGTTTCTGTTTTGGGAGACCGTGTGGTTTCATGTGTAATGTATGGTTTCTTTTTATTTTTATTTTTATTTTCTTTTGTTAGGTATCATAGGGGCTTTTGCTGTTGCGCGATGCGGTTTTAATAGTCTTGGATATTCAATGAGGTTCGAATCATGGATCGCACTTCTTGTTGCTCGTCTCGCTCGTTATCTATCGGTTGTTGTGGATTGTGATTCCTTCCTTGTGTTGGGGATACCTCGAGCCGACATTCCTCCAAAAGTCCCGTGTCTTTCCTCCACAACCAGAAGGGATAGGGCAACTTCAGAGACCATCACGCGGCGCAGCAATCAAACATACAAGCGATCGACACATAAAGTTATTTTTTCCAAAAAATAGGCATTTGTTCGGTATATAAAAGCCTCATCCTCTGCGTTGATACCCTCATAGGTGCACCCTCCACACAAACACATCAAACACGCTCGGATGGTCTAGTGGTATGATTCTCGCTTAGGGTTACTCCTAAGCATCAAGTGCGAGAGGTCCCCGGTTCAAATCCGGGTTCGAGCCTAAATTGTTTCGCTTTTTCTGGCTGTGCTAGGAAGCATATGTTTTGCTGCAGTGGTTGGTCGGTGATGGGTGGTGGGGTTGTGGTGGGGCTGTGGTGTGAATCTCTATTCGGAGGTGGCGGATATGTGGCCACATACAGGGAGCGAGGAAGCGTGCGGCGTGCGAAGAGCCGGGAAAGCCGGGGGAGTTGGGACAATCGAAACGATAAAAGCAGAAACTGAAGCGCGGCTTACTCTACTCTATCTGTGGGACGGGTATGGCGGGCTGGTCGAGGTCTCTGTGTGGCATTTGACTCTTGAGCCATACCGTTTTACTACCCCGTGGTTTGAGTCGTGCTGTGTTGTGCGAGGCCGCGTCCGAAACTTGAAAGTATGACACCCGCAGTCGGGCGGACGGTCGGTTGGTCGTTTCCCTCCGACGCGGCTGCCGGGCATAACTACTTAGGCAGCTGTGGGAGGGAGTCTGAGAGACTGGGAGACTGGGAGTGCATCACTGCATACCGTCGTCGTCGGCGTTCGGCAGTTCTGTATAGTACATATCATATAGGTATACCGTGCTGGTGGCGATATGGGGAACGATATGAAATTGGTAATTACTAGGTATGTAGTGGGAGTACTATGGTATTTAATTGCAGTGGTAGTTTTTTGGAAACATCAATACCCCAATCGTACCTGGGACGAGGCGCGTCGTGTCATGGGGGTTAGGAAACGAAAGCGCGCTGCAAGAATATGGAGGACGTGCTGAGGACGGTTGGTTATCGGGATTGTACTCTAGTCTCGTGACCTCATTTTCAAGCCTGGGGCCTTAAGCGATCCTTGGTGCGCTCTACTATGTACCTACATCATGTATCATTGGGAATGGCTACCTAATAGGGCGAAGGGCAGGTGAAGCCACGACCTCGGTTGAATTGGACAGTTGATAGGAAACGGAGTGTGTAGTGCTATGTATGATCTAGAAAGCCAGGTCACAAGCTATCAAAGATTTCTTTTTTTTTTAAAAAAAGAAAACCAGAGCTGCGGAGGTTGATAATTTGTTGCAGCTCACGTGACACATGGGTCATAGGATCAAATGGAAGATGCGCAAATGCAGTGATCATGGCTCAGTTGCAGCGAATTTCCCAGGTGGTGCGGGTCTCCGTCATCCAAGGTCTACCGGCTGTGCAAGGATAACAACCTTGGAGAGTGCGCTCTTTTGCTGGTTCGAGCCCCGAACCTGGAATACACTTTTACTTTTTTGTTTCTCGCGCCTTGGTGGTTGAGTACTGTATAGTGAGGGGGGAGGGGGGGGGGAGGGAGGGGGGGTAAAAAACACGCTTCTTGGCGTATCGGTACGGTCACAAAGCGTATTTTTTACCCTCCCCTTCACTATACAGTAAGTACAGTACTTCGCTCGTGTATATAGATTCTGCATTTCTCGATGCACTTGGTGCGCTCCGAAAGCTCATCAATTACGGCCTCACGCCTCCAGGCAACCACCGAGGATGCCCACAGCACTAGCGTGGAATCGGGACTACGGCTGGCTTAAGCATATCTGGATACCTCCGGAAAGGAAAAACACGTGAGATGTTTCGAATTTATGTGGAAGAAAAAAACCTCAGTGAAGGTGAAGTTCAAACAGACAATCAGTTTAAGTACGTAGGAGAGTATACGTGAGCCGTGGCTGTCGGCGGTGTAACTAGGTACTGCAAACTGCGCAAAACCTACTGTAATATTACAAGAATTTGGCTAGGCTAAAACACAGTGCCCTGCACCACCGTCAGACCTACCCTCCCTACTCCTCATGGTCGTTGACAGCAAACATCAAGGTTCTGCAGTACAAGCTGCCAAAATTTACATCGGGTCTCTCAGCAGTGCGCCACGAACCCTCGAGCGACTTCCACCAGTCCCATCCGGAATGGAAGGTCAGCCAGTCGACATATTGGGTGATGATACGGTGTTCCACCTCGGCATAGTGGTTTATCCCCGGAAGGGAATAAGTCCAAGCAGAGAATGTCCGCTTCGACGTTTCGGTCATCCCCGGAATACCCCAGCTCTCCTTCCAATGCCTCCACACGACCCACGCGATGGCTGCCAGCGTCTGAAAATGCGTCACGTACTTAATTCCGTAGTCTTCCAGGCAGGCAAAATACTCATACAGCAAGTCCTTGATAGCCTGGATTCCGAATTCGCACCACACCGAGTCGTAGCTGCGATTGCCCAGCCGGCGGTTGACGAGGAGAGTCCAGATCTTCTCCGCCGCAGTGGAGATGCCAACCGCGGTGGACAGGACCTCGGCGTACTCTTCGCAGCTGCGGAGGATGCCGTATGTATGGTCTGTCCGGTAAGTTAGCATGCGTTTCCGAAGCTCGCCCCCCCCCCCCCCCCCCCCCCAACAACAACAGAAGAACTCACCTTCCTGCAGCCAATAGCAGTCACCACCGTGACGCACACCATGCAGCCGTAATGCGGCGTCATAGAGACTCCAGGACGACTGTAGGCGATCGTAGCTGACGAAGAGGGAATCGTTCGGAACGGTGGAGCGGTGGAGAGCGAGTGAGTTGTTCTCGAATACCTGGTGGAGCAGTTGACAGGTACGGCTGAGACTGACCGCATCAGTGATGGTGTCGAGGTTTATGAAGATCTCCACGAGGATCTCCGCGGGCATCGTCGTGAGAATCTCCATGCTTGTGGTGGTGAGGGTATCAGTAGGAGTGTCCGGCATAATGGTGGCGGTCTCGAGGTAGGTCTGTGTCTAAGTCGCGGTTGGTGTCGCGTGTCAAGGAGGAAGTGTTTATGGAGCAGTGAAACATGGAGGTCAAACAAAAGCTTTTGTGGGCGATTGAAGTGGGAATTGTATATTAGGGTTGAACCTGAGCTGTCACGGCCAGCTGAGCCTTCGCAATCCTCCAGTGCCCACCGAGACAGATGTGAGTTGGGTTCGGGGCCGAAACTGAAGACTGTGTGAGTGGGGCTACGTTTCAACCCTACATATGCTATCGCTCTGATGTAAAGCCAAACGCTATGGAATCTCAACCTGTTCCCCCAACATATGTAAAGGGTTGAGATGTGGCCTTCCCATCAACGCCTCCCACCTCCAGCCTTGGCAGGCAAGCGAAAGGCCTCCACAGACACTGCTGCCGCCAGTCTTCACTGCAAAAACATCGGTGTGGCAGCTACGGGGGATAGCACGGCTTGCACATCGATGGTCATAATGAAATGGATAGGAGCCGTACGTATCAGGCAGCTCACTGTTTTGCGCGAGTGATGAATTGTGAGGTTTCTTGTTTGATGCCCCGAGCTACATTCCATCCACGGCTCATACTGAGATCACCCCATGATCAAAAGGTTGGAGTGAATCATTACAACTGTACATAACTCGGTGGTGTGGGTTGTACGCGCCTACTGTATCGTGACTGCTGGTGGGCTCCAAATAGGTGGCGTTTATGTTACTGGAACTCCGCATGAGTGATGCACCCAAACCCAGGATAGCCTCGTAGCCAAGGAGCTGCAGCAAGCTGTGAAAAATAATAGATCCGCTCTCATGTCGCTCGACCATGGAATGGTGCGAGGCCTCCAGCCATGAGTGGATGTTTGTGCACCCATCAGTGAGCAGTGAGCACTAAGGGTATCGGGGAGACAGATAAGATGGGCAGATGACGACGGTCGTCGAGAAGGAAACGAGGAATGAGAGCCTTCAGACAGGAAATGCGAACGGATGCTGACCAAAATCTGGGACCCTAGTCAATTGAGCAATTCCCGTCCGATCTGCGCAGCACATCGCCTAGCGAGTGATGTAACGTGACGTAGGTAGACAGGCTGGCTACCGCTCGATTCCCGATGGAACGGTGGTAATGGGGAGATAGTAACCTGGAGAGAGAGAGAGAGAGAGATCTTCAGTTTGTTTCGCATGCAGCCTATCTAGATTATGGCATCTAGCATAGGTACGTTTCCGGTCACTCGTTTCGACAGAAACTGTAAGAGCTGCATATGCTCAACCATAAAAATTTCCTGGCGCAGCATCGGACCGTGGTGGTAGAGCTTTCTCACAACCCCGCAGAGCTGGCAGAAAAGGTTGGAAGTTGGTGGTCGCCATAGTCTAGTAAGGCTGCCAGCGACAATAAATTGATGTTCTCTCTCTCTCACCATAAAGATTTCCGAGTTGTTAACCCTGAATCCATCGGACCCCAGCACCCCCAGAACGGCAGCTCTACTCCTCCTGTGCAAGAAACTAACCTACTTTCACGGCTAACAGCCATAGCTAGCATACTGTCACGCGGCTGTAACCCACAGAAGCTGACGAGGTTGATGGCACAGTCAGCTCCCCTGACGGCATCTTCTCTTCTTCCGTTGGCCAGAGGGCAAGGAGTTGGTGGAATCGCTGTAGAGATGGACACTCCCACTTTCTCAAAATCGTACATACTACTGGCGGGTCGATGGTGACAGCTGCACAGTGACGGGATGGTTTCGTCCATGAAAAGGGAAGTAGTGAATGACACAGCCCGACGATACTATCAATATGCTTACAGGCGCCTAGGTCAATCATTTTTGCTCAAAGATGTTTATTGCACATTTACATCAACGATCCTCGTCTTAATCTCCACAAACCACCAGTTAATCCATCAATAAAAAAGAAAGCCCGCCATATGAAACAAAATCAAGCTAACCGAAAAAAGGAACCTGAAGGTCCTCCCCTTTATGCGCCTGGACTCGGCGATCTGCTTGACAACTTCGGAGTAAAATTCGGTGTTTGGTGTGGGATTGCATCTAATATTTCGGCGAAATGTGTGCGGGGAGATAAATACCGGAGGGCCGTGATGAATGGAGCTACCTTGGAAGGAGAGCAATGCACTTCGCGATCGCAAGAGTGGAAGGGTGATCTTTGCCGAGGGCCTTCTCTATACCCTCCAGATCCCGCTGGTACCACTCGAGCGCTTTGTCGTACTCTCCGCGGCGCTCAAATACGCCTGCCATGCCGTAGACGGCGGTGAGAGTGGAAGGGTGATCTTTGCCGAGGGCCTTCTCTGTACCCTCCAGGGCCCGCTGGTACCACTCGAGCGCTTTGTCGTACTCTCCGCGGCGCTCAAATACGCCTGCCATGCCGAGGACGGTGGTGAGAGTGGAAGGGTGATCTTTGCCGAAGACCTTCTCTGTACCCTCCAGGGCCCGCTGGTACCACTCGAGCGCCTTGTCGTACTCTCCGCGGCGCTCAAATACGCCTGCCATGCCGTGGACGGTGGTGAGAGTGGAAGGGTGATCTTTGCCGAGGGCCTTCTCTGTACCCTCCAGGGCCCGCTGGTACCACTCGAGCGCCTTATCGTACTCTCCGCGGCGCTCAAATACGCCTGCCATGCCGTAGACGGCGGTGAGAGTGCAAGGGTGATCTTTGCCGAGGGCCTTCTCTATACCCTCCAGGGCCCGCTGGTACCACTCGAGCGCTTTGTCGTACTCTCCGCGGCGCTCAAATACGCCTGCCATGCCGAGGACGGTGGTGAGAGTGGAAGGGTGATCTTTGCCGAGGGCCTTCTCTGTACCCTCCAGGGCCCGCTGGTACCACTCGAGCGCCTTGTCGTACTCTCCGCGGCGCTCAAATACGCCTGCCATGCCGTAGACGGCGGTGAGAGTGGAAGGGTGATCTTTGCCGAGGGCCTTCTCTATACCCTCCAGGGCCCGCTGGTACCACTCGAGCGCCTTATCGTACTCTCCGCGGTGCACAAATACGCCTGCCATGCCGAGGACGGTGGTGAGAGTGGAAGGGTGATCTTTGCCGAAGACCTTCTCTGTACCCTCCAGGGCCCGCTGGTACCACTCGAGCGCTTTGTCGTACTCTCCGCGGCGCTCAAATACGCCTGCCATGCCGAGGACGGTGGAGAGAGTGGAAGGGTGATCTTTGCCGAGGGCCTTCTCTATACCCTCCAGATCCCGCTGGTACCACTCGAGCGCTTTGTCGTACTCTCCGCGGCGCTCAAATACGCCTGCCATGCCGTAGACGGCGGTGAGAGTGGAAGGGTGATCTTTGCCGAGGGCCTTCTCTGTACCCTCCAGGGCCCGCTGGTACCACTCGAGCGCTTTGTCGTACTCTCCGCGGCGCTCAAATACGCCTGCCATGCCGAGGACGGTGGTGAGAGTGGAAGGGTGATCTTTGCCGAGGGCCTTCTCTGTACCCTCCAGGGCCCGCTGGTACCACTCGAGCGCTTCGGAGTATTGAGAATCGAACGATAAGTTAACCCCCAAGAGGTGTATTGCTGCCAGTGCCTCCAAGCCATTTAAGCCCACAATGGCCCGACGAACCAGATGTATCGATTTTTCAACCTTACATCGATAGTAATTCACCCGACTCAACGTATAAAGTGCTTGTGAGATCTTTTCGGGGTATATGGAGTCGTGACTGGGGTAGTATTTCTCAATGTTTTGGGCGCAAAGTTCAATGTGGTTAGATATTCGCCGTTCAAAGCCCCAATATTCCGTGTCTCGCTTTGTAGGATCGGTGATAACAGCTGCTGTGATCAAGAATATTGCTTCACTCGCGCTAGTTCTCTGTTTCGTAGAGTCATCGACACGATCACGGGCCCATTGATGAACGAGCGGGTGTATCCAGAAACTATCACTTTTTGCAAATGAAGTGGCTCTCCGTTTTACGAGGGAGAAGGCTAAGAGATCCTCAATTGCGTTGTCGAATGCATCTTTGTCTTTACGAACGTCAGTCTACTGATCAGTGAACGAAGATTTCGTTTGATAGGCCTACCGTTTCCCAGCCATTCGACGCCTCTGCTACCGCGCCGAAATAATTCATCCGGAATATCTTCGTTGCTCAAGAACGCACACATGTGCAAAAGGCGGGTCGCAGAAGGACACAGTGCGTGGAAGGAAATTTCCCAGCAAGTGAAAACCGGTTCGTTTCGATACATCCACAGGCCGGTTTTCTTGCTCGCGATACGTTTGAAGTTGGTTTTAAGCTTTAGCAGATATGTTTTGAAGTCGATCTCTGTCATCAATATATAAGATGCAGCTTGACTGATTGCCAAAGGGAGTCCTCCCAACTTTTCGACAACTTCCTCCGCATCCTTGATTTCTGTCATGCTCAGTTAGCGAAGACTAAAATATACGCCTGTGGTCACATACCCTCCACCGATAAGGCTTCAACAACATCAACTCGCATCGCTTTCATCAGCATTGCAAGTCCAACGTCTTTCTCCATCTCTGCAACTGAAATTGAATGGCCAAGCGATTGGATCTCTGAACGACGGGAGGTTACGATTATCCTGGCCCAGTCTGAGGTTGGAAGGTAGTCGACGATGTTCACCGTCTCTAAGTCATCATGATTGTCGACTAATAACAGCCATTTATCATTTCCCTTCTTTTGAAGCCATCGCTTGATGGTTGGCCAGACATTCCCGGAGTTCAATATCTGCCGCTGGACGGTGCCTGAAATATCGATACCGCCGGGAATTCCGAGGTCGTTGGCAATGCGTATATAGTCAGGATTCGAAGGAAATTCGCTAACGTAGTGACGTACGAGCTGTTGGGCAACCCGAACACCGCTTGTTTCCAAAACGGTTGGGTCTCTGGCATCAACCCACAGGATTGCGCTGTAGAACGCTTCATAGCGATATGCGTACTCTAAAGCCACCTGCGTCTTCCCGATACCCCCCAAGCCGTATAAGGTTACCAAGTTTCTCTCAGTAGAACTACAGGGGACCGCATCTGCACCGGCAGCTTCTGTCGGATGTAATTTTTCGTGAATTCGTTCGATCAGGTCTTCCCGGCCACAAAAGTTCTGATTTCTGGAAAACGGTAGCTCTGTCGGTATCCGGAATTCGTCAAAAGACTTGCGGCTCGAGGATGGCTGTTCGGTCCCTGGCGGGGAATCATCAAAATTTGCCCCGATTGTGACACTTTCCAAACGGGATTCGATGATCCTTGGGGCCTTTTCGACACAATACAACAGCCTGTCCCTTACCGTGCTGTAGTGATGGTCGGAGTTGTCATCGAATTTGACAATGTTCGAGTGGTCGGCATCGATCCCTATTTGCATGTGGGTGGCCTCGGTGCGCAGAGCAAAGGTTGCTGATTCCTGTGTGACAAGCCGTATCATCTCCCCACTTCTTTTCCAGCATCCGGTCCGGTCGTCAATGACCACAGCCTGAGTGTCTCTACATTCGAAGAATGAAATGACTTGGCAACTGTTGAGCTCAACCACTTGGGAAAAACGCTGATGCGACAGTCTCAAGAAGTCCGAGCCGACTCTCAGGTCACCGATGAAGTGTTCATTCTTCTGGTCCTTCACCAAGGTTCTGAAATTTTTGATGTTGAGCCCTCGGTGCGGTACTCCGAAGAGAAAGAGTGCAGTGCACGAGTCTAGGATGGCTTGGTCGTTTTCGGATTTCTCGCTTTCGTGGGATGCATCGGCGAGTGCCTAGGTAGGTGAGAAGGGTCAACATTCACTCATGGCCAAAAAGTGCAACTTCGCCTACCTGTTTGATGATCAAACCACCGAGGCTATGGCCAATGAAGATTATTGGACGGTGTCGCTCCTGCAATGATCTGTTAACCAACTTTCGCCGCAAAGACATTTACGCATAGTACCTTCTCGCCTTGACGTTGACTGTTCAGACTGTCGAGGAGCAATCTCGCAAAGCCTTGGATAGAAGGTGTAGACCTATCGTCTTTGAGAGCCGAGTTGTAGCCAAACGTGAGAACCCTCACTCTGCAGTCGTGTGCATCCAGATCGTGTGGTAGAAAGTCTCTCAGCCACACATGGGGCCGGTTGCGCGACTTCCAAGATCCATATGCGTGGCCTGCGAGACCCGTGACGGCGACGAGGCTAGAAGGTCCATCAGCGCCGCCGCATAAAAACGCGCGGGGAGGGTGGGCATTACTCAACTGTCGGCTCCGATGCACTGTATAATGGTGTCATACCAAGAAAGTCGCAGTCGACGGCTAGAATGACTCCCGACTCCCCGTAGGCGATGTAGGTTTTTTTGCCCGGGGTGCAACCCGCAAGATCCGGGCATGCGGGCTCCCCCTTAGTGAGAGTAACAGTTGCTACTGCATAAAATTTCGTAGGGACCAATGAGAATACGAAGTCATCGTATCCGAGGAGTTCCTTCAGATACGGCCTAAAATCGTCCTTCGTGACATGCAGTGGGATAGAAGAAATGCGGAGTGTTCGAAATCGACACTGTGACTGGGGTAGCGGTTGTATTGGCGTTGGCATGGGCGGCTCGCGCGCTGCCAGCCTCTGCGCTGGTGGGGGCGTTGGCGCTTGCCAGTGATCTGAATTTTTGCGTTTTGACATCGAAGTGGCAATTCTTGTAGATAAAGATGGAAGTGAACACTCCTTGGGCACACGGCGAGGACTTTCATGAAGAAGGACGAGATGCTCAGCCCCGCAACGCGTTTTCTGCGTGCTGGTGCGCCGTCAGTTGGTGTGGATGAGCGCGCAGCCAAAAGCCAGACGCATCGTCCTGCACTGACAAGTGGCGCAGTTGATTGGATCCCCAAGATGCACGGAAACAAGAGGACACACAGGAATTTCGCCTGGTCACCGCGCGCGACGAAAAATGACAGGGTCCATGCGCCCCGCCTCTCCATCCGTGGTACCGGTACTGTGGCGCAGCCTAAGTGGCGTGACGAAAGGATATCACGTGATGAGTCCTTGTCATGTGGCGGCCATGACAGACCCGGTTCGGAGCTTGTCAGATAGACTCAGAAGTCATTTGCAAAGTTTATCCAACAAGCTCGAGGACGCAGACCAAATCCAAGTCCTTCCGCGCCATGGTGCCGAACAAAGTACAGACTGGCAAGCCACCATCACGTGGCATCGCGCCCCTTTCCGCGCGGACCATGCTGCGCCGCAGTAACTACCTACCCCGCTCATACCTGTGGAGCCTGGCCGTGAACTGGCCTACCTAGCCTGCATGAACTGCTTGGTTCTCATGACCATCGTATGATGGACCAAGTCATCCTTTCCAGCCTCGGCCCCAAAATCTTTTGACGAGCCACACCCCTACGATGCCCGTGTCGGTGGAGGAACGGAAGCAGCATGGCACCGATATAGCCGCACGACTACCGCCGAAATCGGATCTACGACGAAGCATTCCGACCACTACCGCCGAAACCGGATCTACAAAGAAGCATTCCGCCCCCATCGTGGAGACCACCAATCCCTACGCCAACACTAAGGGCTGATGCTGATGCTCAAGCCGTCAAGCGCGAAACGGCGGGGTGGATGCCGTCTTTAAAGCCTGAATTGACGCCGTCGTTGTCATCGCCATCTCAAAGTGCTGTGCCTCGGAAGGGATTCCCCACCCTCACCTCCGAGATTTGCAAGCACCCGGAAGGCTACTCCTTTGGCATCGGTCGTCTGATGCCTCCCATCGATGAAAGTGCGATTAGACGCTTCTGACTTTGTCTTCCATCACCACCTTCGCCGAAACTCCGACGTGACTGGACTTCCTCCGCGACCGCCGTTAATAACGGTAGCATCTCCAATCAGTCGTACAATCGTCTCGTCTGATGACACCTCCGCGCTACCCCGTGTGTGTCTCTACCTCGCCGTGCTCGAGCTCAATGTCACCGGCGTCTCAACCCTGATGGGCCATCGCCTCGTTTATCATAAGCAACCCCGAAAGACGCTCGATATCTCCATCAATCCGAGGTCGATGACGAAGCACAACTTGCCATCTGTCCACTGTGCAGGATTTAAGGTATCTATTTACGCGGAATAAACATATCCTAGCTGGTGCCACCTACGTCATCTCCTCCTTGCCCATCTCACGAAGGGATACCACTTAGTGTCCCAGCTTATGCCTTCAACACCGTCATCAACCTTAATTTTTAACGGGAATTACTGCATTGGGATTGTTGTCGGCCGCATCGAGGGTCTGGACGAGGTGGAACAGTGGGTCAAGTGATCTTCAACTTCAAGCGAAACCTGGCGCTTCACGCGAAGTAACAAGGACATACAGGTCAGCGACACAATGGCTCGAGTTGCGGTAGTGGTCGAAATCGCTACTGGCTAGGTTTCCGGCGAGACCGTACTAGTGTTTTCAGAAGAGCAAAAAGCCTGATATCCATTCCGTAGTTCTCTGTTCACACACGCCGTAGCGTTCGTTCTCCTTTCTTCGCTTCTCTTGAGCTTACACCAAGGTACATAGGTAGGTAGCTTCCAGCAGTTACATTTCTTCTGGGTTTATGCAATGAAGGTGCTGCATTCGTGGACTGGACTGTGATATCACATGGACTTCACGAGCGCCGGTTGGCTTGGTTGAAGAATTGCCGCTCAAGAATGAAGAGCGGTTGATCGTTTTGCTTTGTACCTACCTACTATGGACTGTGGTGATAACGGTTCGGATCTGTCCGGAAAGGATGTGCTGGAGTGTAGAGATTATGAGAGCTAATGGATGCGCGGCGACGTCCAGCTGGTACAGCTCTCGTCCCTGAGACTTGCCAGCGAAGAATCCCACACATGGCAAGCTCCTTGCATCAGATGGGTCAGGAGAAGGGATACTCCTCGGCTTGCATGCTAGAGTAGGTAGCGAGCCGAGATCGAAATTAATGAGCAAGAAGAACCTCTCATGGGCCACACCTTTCGGTGGTAATCCACAGCGGTGATCTTAACAGACATGTACGGCGGCGACACCGTTACCGTAGTATGACGGTCGGTGGAGGCGAGCTATATGGACATCAGCTCGAGTCGCCGGTCACCTACCTATAGTTAGAGAGGATCTCACGCCATAGACTGAGATGGCATCCAGTCCGCAGCACACACTTCCCGCAGCTAATCCTGCATTCCCGGAACGCCGAGAATGAAGACAGGATGGTCGACTGACGTTCGAGGGGGTTAGGGTTCTGTGGGGAACGTCAGCCCTGACGGTAGGGGGACCGGGGCAATATGTAGTGTACTAAGTAAAGTACTTACTATACTTGGTAATATCTAGATATAAGTTCCGCGCCGAACAGGGTGGGTGTTGATTATCCTTGCAAGAGTGAACTGCTCTGTGGTATTTGGCGGCAGCGGCAGCACTGGTTATAGTGTCTACAGTAGGTATCAGAGAAGCACCACCTGGTTTGATCGAGATGAGTCCAATGTCAGAGCAACTGAGTCGGCCACTGTGTCTCCCCCTCCGTTCTGCTCCCTCTGCCTCGCACACCTTTCCCCGCATACCTATTGTACGTCTCGGGAGCATCGCGGCTATGGCTCAGGGGAAGTGATTATCCAATGCAGTCTGATAAAGGAGCGCAAGCGACCGGTAGCGAGAAACGGAGTTAGCATGAAGGAGGAAGTGGGTATCTACATTCTACAAATGTAGGTAGTGAGCGATAGTTAAGAGGATCCCCTAGATATCACGAGAGCTTCATAGAAAGACAGCCTTCTTCCACCGCATCTTTCACCAGAACCCACGATCTCTACATGGATCACCGCACCCTCCTTTCCGCACCCGGTACTTCTCTCGATCTCACAAAGAACGCAACGAACCTCATTAATCCAAATTATTTTGGCGAATACTAGTACTAGCATTGACAAGAAACAAAACACAAAACACTCCCATTACATGGCCTAGTATTGCCACCCCCAGCGCTCATTAAGATCCCCAAGAACACAACACCAACTCCCACTTCTAGAGATGCCGTAGCAAAACAAAACAATCGCCCAATGCATAGTAAAAGGTCGATGTGTTGGTCGTAGTAACATGTTGGTTACATCGTGTTGACTGTTGTCACAATAGTTAGTATGTTCGACCACACAAGAGAGAGGGGGGAGGGGAGGGGGTCGTTGCTCGTACCCTCCGCGACGTCGACCTCGAGCTTCGCCTCCTCAACGGCGGCCTCGGCTGTCTCGATAGAGTCTTTGAGCTTCTCGTTGGTCTTGCCGTTGGTCTTGCCGTTGGTCTTGCCGTTGGTCTTGTCGGTGATCTTGTCGGTGATCTTGTCGGTGATCTTGTCGGTGATCTTGTCGGTGATCTTGTCGGTGATCTTGTCGGTGATCTCGAGATTGACCTCGACCTTGCCATCCTTAAGCTTTCCGTCGTCGTTCGACATACTGAGTGCACTCTCGGAGGTGACCGCATCGTTTTCGACTGCGGGAGTATTGGTAGCTTGACCGTTTCTGCGACGGGTGCGGCAGGGAATACGCGGAGGCGCATTGAGGGTACGTGCAAAGGATGAGGCCATCTCCGGTACGACGTGGCTGCACTGAAGGGGGAGGCATCTGCAGGTGCGCCTGTTGGGCGACGGGAAGTCCGCCATCATCTGGTCAAAGAAGCCTACTCCTGAGACGCGAGTGATCGTGAATCGCATTGTGATGTGCTGGTAGGGTGTGTAGTACGGGTGGTGGTAGTGTGTAGTGGATTGGGATTGGAAGGGTGGGTGTTTGAGGTGTAGTGTGCGAAGGAGGTTGTTGGTGAATGGTGGCGTAAAAGGAGGAAAAGAAAGAGACGGGAAGAGAGGATGGTTGAGGTGGTGTCAGCGATCGGTGTGTTGGTGAATGGTGTTGTGTAGAGGAGAGGGAGAGGAGAGGAGAGGGAGAGGGGAGGAGAGGGAGAGGGGAGGAGAGGAGAGGAAGGGAGATGAGAGAGGAGAGAGGGGTTTCATGCAACTCTTGGTATCAGAACGAGGCGCACATCACTTTCTCGACCAAAAAGGTCGAGTGACTGCCAAACTTGCAAAGCGCTAGTGTACTTGAACTTGTCACTTCCGTCACATAGAAGAAACGGGCTTGAATCAACGCTCGTCTGCCGGTGTGCTTGCGGCGTGTTGGATTCGAACGACGGCGAGCATTTCTATGTATCATATGCCCAGCTGCAGGTGCCACCGATATACTGTGCATGTAGCTCGAACCTCCGACTGCCGAAACGACCATTTCCCCTGTGCTCCAGGGGATACACGTTCTGCTCGCAGCTTTCAGAACATCTACCGCGTCGACCCTGCGGCGGATGAAGTTCAATAGCGTCAGCTAAGCGACTATCTCCAGAAGCTGTGCCCACATGGCTAGTTACGGCGTAGCGAAGGAGCGTGGCAAGGTTGCATGGATTGCTCCGAGCCGAGTCCTACATGATCTCGGGCGCTAAAAGCGGGCTGCCACGTTTTCAGGAAAACCTTAGGTGCCACGGAAGATCTCTCCTGACTATCGCCCTCCGACTTCGGCAATCCGCCTTCTACATACGCAGATGTGTCCAGTTTAAAGTGTTACGAAGTCATGTTCATTGAACGGCATGTCCTTTGTAATTACCACTAGACCCATAGACTTCATCTTTATCGAAGTAATCCATATTCGCAATTGACGGAGTTTGCGAGTAAGCGAGTGATATCATGTGAACTGACGTCATTCGCGTCTGGGATCCAATCCCAGTCCGCCAAGAAATCTTGAACGTTGAAGGATCCCTGTCGCCCACACCTCGGGACAATTTATTACTACATACCAGATAACGGCTATGCAGCCACGGTTCACAAAGGAGAAGAGAGTGAAGTACCGCGACTGGATTCGATATCCTCACATGAAACCACCACCCGGACACGACCACGAGTCGTCATCACCTCCGCTCGCCGCAAAGCGCAGGGCCCGCGCTAACTCCCCCACTGTGTCCGAGCCTGAGGTCTGCCCACGGGGCGGCCCAGGCGCGACAGTGCGGGAGAGGTAGGTGTATGCCCGGTACCATCCGGAACCCTCCAGCCCCCGGCAGCATCGGCCCCGAAAGGGGAAATATCAATATACGTCTATGCTGCCAGACGACTGCTGGGGCCGGGGGTTTAGTGAGTGTATATGAGGGAGAGGGAGGGTTGCCCCTCTCGCCTCGGGAGGAAAAGGAAGTAAGGAAAGGGAGCCTAGATCAACGATGGGGATGTCCTATTGGAGACGTACACCATAAACCTAGTTGGAGATGATATGGCGACTACCTATTCGAAAGATTGCGGCTCTACCATCGAGAAGGAGGAAAGGTCAAATGACATTTGTTTACGAGACGTCCTTATTAGTTTCTTTTACCCACAACTCGCCTAAGAAATACCCTCTCGCTACAGTGGATATGGTACTGGTCGAGATCGATTTACGACCGTTGGTGATCCCGCGGGCAAGCGACTGCATCCCGCACGAGGACGGCATTGTAGAGGGGAGTCCTGCTCTCGCTAATCTTCACGACTTAGGGAGTATTGACGGCGACGTTAACGATGGCATTGAATGGATGAAGACGGCGTAGGCGGGGGATGAAGACGATGGGCTAGGCTCGGACGGGGAAGCTGGGGAGCTTTCGGAGGGGATGAAACTTAGCATGTTTGCGTTAAACGTGAATAGGAATGCATGATACGTACAGAGTGCTCTGAGCCTTAGCAATTATAGAGTCAATCTATACGAGCGAGGTTAAGCCGTCTAGGTGCCAGGGATTGCGTGCACAGGAGGGAAACTTGGTGGGTCCTTATTGTCTTCAACATCCGCCGGGGATACATAAAATCTCTATGTACAGGCCGAGAAGCTTGCTTTAATCTACTAGTAGCAAAGACTTCCACCGGTGGTCGACTTAGGTACTCCAATTCCCCCTTGCTGAAGTGCGCTGAGAACATAACGAGTGATGCGCTATGGTTGGCAGTAATCCGACGATCGCGGCAAAGGTGGCTTTTGGTGATAATTTCTTCACGCTAGCGCGGGAGGAGGTATACCACTCTCGCAAGACTGAAAGGCTTCAATCGTTCCAGCAGCCAACATTCAATTTCACCTCGGAGCTCATATTTCTCCACCAACTCACACCCACCAACCCACAGCTCCCATCTTTCATCTCCTTCCCTTCCCTTCCCATCATCCATTAACCGAACACATTACCCAAAACTCTTCACACAAGCTATCAAAGATGTGGATGTAATAAACACGGACACGAGTGGCTGGGATATTGTAGTTGTCATGGGAAAGTCACCTGAATGTCACGGGACACGACGTAGCTAGCGCCTTGGCACCAGACAATGTGCAAGGAGCTCGAGACCGGAGGATCACCTTGACCTTCAGCATCAAGCTTCTTCTTCTGAATTCAACAGTCCATCGCTGATCTCTCTCTACATGATGAAACTCCTCGACCGATTAGCCTCAGGCTGTACGCGTCCCGAAGCTACGCTTCCTCCATAATAGTCGAGTCATCGTGGATATAGGTGGTCCGGCCTGCTACCAATGTCGCTCAGACGCTGCTCGGTACTCTATCGGACAGCTGACTGCTTCTTCGCAACGCGAGAAGTACCAAAGCCAAGCGCCTCCGCCTGCAGCAGCCGGTGACGACCGCTGTATCACAGCTCTGTGGTCGCGAGGGTTGTGTCAAAATCACCCAAGCGCTCGAAGTGCATGGAAATGGTCAGACGTTCATCCTGACCGAGGGGGAGGTTGTTCGCCTATTGCGCTACCCCCCTCAAGGAAACAGGCGCCATATGGAAAGTAAACGCTGTCTCGGCGGAAGCGGGATTTTTTAGGTTTGTGTGCTGCCTATTATCTGGCTTGTGGCGATTTTTGGTTCAGCCGCACTGGCACCCGAATTTCCGCAACACCAACCAGAGTGAGTTTTTTTTAATGCTTTTGATAGACATGGGTACCAGGCGTCTTACTTGCAGCTTAAGCTGAATCCTAATTGCAGCAAGGAAAAATGAAAACATGGGGCTCTGTTACCCCGCATCGCAACGGGAACACCGCCACGAACTATCACACCAACGCTGACTCCATACGAAACTTGAGAACAAGATCACTCGAACCATGGAATTTGCAGGTACAGTGCCGACGCCGGACAGTCCTGAGTGAACAGCTAATCGTCGTCGATCGCTCAGGTTTAGGTATTGCCGTCGTAGGGCTTGCCGGCCAGCTTGTCAAAGCGAGCGTGGAAGGCTACAACCTTCTGTCAACCATACAATCGTTCGGCCGGGAATATGCGGATCTTAGCCATCGAATCGATACCGAAAAGCGCTGGCTAGAGAAGTGGGCCGACGTCTGGGTGCTTGAGAGTAATCGCAAGATCGATCCTAGCCACTGCGACTTCCGATTCGCCGTATCTACCCTAGCGCGAATTTCGGCAGTATTTCTTGAGCTCCTCGAATACAGTTCGAAGTACGGCTTGCAGTACGACCGCCAAAGGAAACGCGATAGTGTACGGCAGCTCTTCCGTCTACCATCTCGGACGAGCCCCATTCCGTCACATCGCCCGACGGACGGCCCTGGAACCCAGACCGGACTGGACCAGGACAGTATCAAACTTCTTACGAATCCAACTCTTTTAAGTTTGGGTCGGATAATGCCAGGGCTTGAGGATGAAGTGAAGGATTTGAAACGCAGCGCGGAACGCTTGCAGAAGACGCTGCCAACTATGAAGAAACTACAATGGTCTTTGCTTGGTAGAAATAGGGTTGAAGATTTGATCGGACAGTTGAAAGAATACAACGAAAGTCTACAAAGGATACTCCCTGTCGGGCCGCAACCAAGGGATCTATCACACAGTACGTACTCTTCACGAGGTCCTAACGGGCCAAGTTATGGGGTTGACACGTTAGGCAAAGGACGGAAAGAATCCGCCACACCTTCTTTCGCAGTGAACCCAATCCTTCCGTTCCACCGCGACCGTATGTTCTGCGGTAGGGCCGACATCATCGACACTATACACGCTTTCCTCAATGAAGGCGCATCTGCGGATGCCCGGCAGATGGCCCGCGGAAGTGTGGTGCTATATGGTCTCGGCGGTATCGGCAAGTCTTCCATTGCACTGGAATATTCGTTCCGATACTCGGATTCATACACGACGGTATTCTGGATTGATGTCACCAACGGGGCGTCATTATCCCAAAGTGCACGAGGAATTGTGGAGCATATTGTCGCCGCGTATGCGGAGCGGGGGTCCTCATATGAGCATATCGCCTCGATGTTGGGACTGAGAGGCTTTCTGGGTCTGGATGGCGAGGTTTCTTCCGAAGCGGCGGCAGGACAGGTGACTGGGGCACTGAAGAAGTGGCTAGCCACAAAAGGAAATGAAAATTGGCTACTCATTTTGGATAATTACGACGACGTCGATGCGGTTGACATTCACCTCGTCCTACCAACTTGCGATACCGGCAATGTGATTATTACGTCACGGAAGAGCGATCTGAAAATGTTGGGAATACCAGTAGCCGTCGATGACATCGACAAATATTCGGGCATGGAGCTGTTCATGAAGAGCGCGAACATAGACGATGTGAAGGCGGAAGGCAAGCACCAGAGTAGGTAGTCCGCTCAGCGTATCGACTATTAACTTGGCGCATAGAGCTTGATATCGCGAACCAGATAGCTGTAAAGCTGGGATTCCTGCCACTTGCCTTAACTCAGGCGGGTTCATACATCTCGTACACGCAGATTCCGCTTCAGCGATACTTGGCTCTGTTGGACGGAGCATTTCGAACGTTTGCACAAAAAGGGGGTCCCGAGTGGTTATCAGATCAACGGAACTCGAACCGAACCATCTTTACGACGTGGGAGATTTCATTTGCCTCGCTTTCACACCCAGCCCAGGAACTTTTATTGCTATGTGGGTTTCTAGCACATGCAGATATTCCGGATAAGCTATTTGAGGGGTGTCAACTACTGTTCGATTGGGCAGGAGAGGGTGCGGGCGCACCTGCTAGATCATGATTTCATCCATCTGACTGCGTATAGGAGAAGAGTGGCTTCTGGAGTCACGCGCGGAGCTTTTCCGTATCTCCCTGGCAAGACGGAATGGGTCAAGGGATGCCTTTTGGATACATCCGGTTGTGCACTTATGGGCTCGAGAACGGCTGGACGCTCGGTCACAGCAGACGAAGGCCCAAGAGGCCCTTATTCTTTGTGGTCGAATATCCAAAGACTACAACGCAAAATCGCGGCAGGATTGGGACTTCGAAAGGCGAGTATGGTCGCACATGGATACGGTCCGACGGAGCATAATTCGTACAGAGCCAACGACTCCAATCATGGTAAACGCAGCATTGGTGTTTTACTCCGCCGCACAATTGGGACGAATCTATGCCAGTCACAGACTTGACAAGCCAGTAGCGAATCTGTTCGAGTGGTCCTTAGCAGGTCAGGAAGAACTACTAGGAAAGGATCATCCTGACACTCTCAGCACCGTCAACTACATGGCCGACGTGTTCAGTTACCAAAGCGAGTACGACAAAGCCCTGGAGTGGTACCAGCGGGCCCTCGACGGCAGGGAGAAATCGCTGGGAAACGACCACCCTGACACTCTCACCACTGTCGACAACATGGCCGGGGTGTTCAGATCCCAAGGCCAGTACGAGAAAGCCCTGGAGTGGCGCCAGCGGGCCCTTGTTGGCAGGGAGAAGTCGCTAGGAAAGGACCACCCTGACACTCTCAACATCGTCAACAACATAGCCGACGTGTTCAGTTCCCAAGGCCAGTACGACAAAGCCCTGGAGTGGAATCAGCGAGCCCACGATGGCTATGAGAAATTGCTGGGAAAAGACCACCCTGCCACTCTCACCACCGTCCACAACATCGCCCACATTTTCACTTCGCAATGCGAGTACGACAAAGCCCAGGAGTGGTACCAGCGGGCCCTCGATGGCTATGAGAAATCGCTGGGAAAGGAACACCCTATCACTCTCACCACCGTCAACAGCATCGCCGGGGTGTTCAGTTTCCAAGGCCAGTACGAAAAAGCCCTAGAGTGGAACCAGCGGGCCCTTGTTGGCAGAGAGAAATCACAAGGAAAGAACCACCGTAACACTCTCACCACCGTCAACGACATAGCTAGCGTGTTCGGTTCCCAAGGGGAATACGACAAAGCTCTGGTGTGGTACCAGCGGGCCCTTGATGGCTATGAGAAGTCGCTGGGAAAGGACCACCCTGACACTTTCACCATCGTCAACAACATGGCCCACATTTTCACTTCGCAATGCGAGTACGACAAATCCCTGGAGTGGTACCAGCGGGCCCTCGACGGCAGGGAGAAATCGCTAGGAAATGACCACCCTGACACTCTCACCACTGTCGACAACATGGCCCAGGTGTTCCGTTTCCAATACGAGTACGACAAAGCCCTGGAGTGGTGCCAGCGGGCCCTTGTTGGCAGGGAGAAATCACTAGGAAAGAACCACTGTAACACTCTCAACACCGTCCACAACATCGCCCACATTTTCACTTCGCAATGCGAGTACGACAAAGCCCTGGAGTGGTACCAGCGGACCCTCGATGGCTATGAGAAATCGCTGGGAAAGGACCACCGTGCCACTCTCACCACCATCCACAACATCGCCCACATTTTCACTTCGCAATGCGAGTACGACAAAGCCCTGGAGTGGTACCAGCGGGCCCTCGATGGCTATGAGAAATTGCTGGGAAAGGAACACCCTATCACTCTCACCACCGTCAACAGCATGGCCGGGGTGTTCAGTTCCCAAGGCCAGTACGACAAAGCCCTAGCGTGGAACCAGCGGGCCCTTGTTGGCAGGGAGAAAACGCTAGGAGAGGTCCATCCTGACACTCTCACCACCGTCAACAACATCGCCGCCATGTTCAGTTCCCAAGGCCAGTACGACAAAGCCCTGGAGTTTTTTCAGAGAGCCCTCGATGGCGGTGAGAAATCGCAGGGAAAGGACCACCCTGACACTCTCACTATCGTTGCCAACATGGCCCATGTTTTCGGTCTTCAAGGAGAGTACGACAAAGCCCTAGAGTGGTACCAGCGGGCCCTCAAAGGCAGGGAGAAACTCCTCGGAAGGGGCCATCCTGACACTCTACGGACCGCTCAAGCTGTAGTAGCATTACTGCCTCATATCTACTCTTCCCAGGGGCCGTTAGGAGCAAAGTCCTGACGGTGCCGCAATTCGGGTAATCAATTGGCAGTAGGTCCACATCTGAGGTCATATGCACACGACAAGACGTTATTATAGGGCCTGATGATATTGCTTCGGGGTTAGGGATGGGGCACTGTGCGGTTCGGCGCTGTAGTTTCTTTGGCTGTCTACTATATAGTGACGGGATTCCTCGAGTTCATATACGCGTCTATTTTCGTATCGCTAGCTTGTTTTCAAAACCTGTTCTGCTACCACGACTCTGGGGTAAGAGTCGATGTATGTCTGGGCATTCTTGTGGAGGAATTTCATAGCTTTTGGGTCACCCCAGCCCTGGTTGTAGTTTTCTATATGTACGTTAGGCCAAGCGGATACAGGGGGAATGATTTTTTCTTCTTTTTTTCACTGGAACTTGAAATCAGATATCTGTGTTGGGATACTTCTACGCTCATCACCCGCCTCGTCTCATAGGCCTCTCCCTATAGATAATAGGTGTCTATCCATAAATCCATCCCGTGTACAGTCCGACTCTTAGCTGAGAAGAGCCCCGAAGGCCGGCTCGATGAGGAAACCTGTGCCCTCCGCCATGGCGGCCTGGAAGTTGGAAGTGAAAAACTCGGAATGGATTTCCTAACGTTACTAGCAGTACCTAGCCTCACCTCCTGTCACTACATTAATTTAATGTTGCGACCGGCTGTGCTAGACTACGGCAACCTTTTCGAATGGTTGATCTCAGTTGTTTGATCGTTAAATGCGGGACTTCGTTCGATTGTTAACAATATCCGGAGCTGGACTGCGTCCGTGGTGAGTGATAATCCATGTATCAGCGAGCATGGGCTTCAATGCTTGCGCTGTTGGTCTTATTGGATTTCTTCAACCCAGGACAAACACTGAAATGAAATGAGATGCGAACACCATTAAACCCCCCGGACATTCGAGTCCCGAATATCACCCCTCAGCTAGGTACATAGGTATGTATGTCGGATAGTACGAGTTGGAAATAAAAGTCGATTCGCTCCTCAAGAGCTCACCTCGCCGCGAAATCAAGTCCTGATTACATTAGAAAAAAAGAAAGCATCTACACCTGAGCTATATCCGAGGCTGGCGATGTTGTGGATGGCGAAGCAACGCGCTCGATGATTGCGGGAAATCCAAAGCAATTTCCGGGTTCCCGAGAATATCCCGTCTTGAGTCCCCACTTCCGCAGTTGCACTCAACGGAAGCGGGGTGCTGGGTCGAAATCGACAGTCAGCATGCGTATGAGCAGGACCTACTACCTAGGTATCGCCCCGTCTGTTTCGAGAGCATGGTCGTGGAGGAATGTTAAATAGGAGGTATGTAGAAGAAATCTGGGGTGTTCGCCGTAAACGTGATGTCTACAGTACTCATCCTTCGTCGTGATGGCCCAGATGCGTACCGTAACGGACCCAGTACAGACCCAATACCGTGCGGCACCAAGCTTCATCGCAACGATGGAGGAAATCTCTTCTTTGCAACACCACTGGGTAGTCGAGTGATATGACAGTGATACGCTCTGCCCAATCCCTGTTAATTGCACATTCACTCCACCGATACTCCAGATAGGTACTTGGCTACTCATGGTTGACGAACAACGTTTCCATTCAAGACCTTGATCCGAGCCGTTCTCCGCCCAACCGCTCCCCACCACCACCATTTCCATCTCTACCAGTTCCACCCCCTCCCCACCCCCACCCCCTCCCCTCCACACACACACATGCCCTTCTCTCGGAATTCTACTCGCAGCCTCTCACACAAATATACAAAACCTCCCTCCTCGCAACCACAAATATATGTACACAGAAACAAGATTACAACATCAATATTCCACGCCTCCCCCCTCCCCCGCAACCCAATGCGAATGCAGAACAAATGAAAGGCAAGATGAACAGGAGAGCGAAGGAGATGAAAGGGAATAACAAAAGAGAGAGAGAGCTATTAAGCTATTACAACCTATTCGAACGAAAAAAAGACAGGAAGGCAACGCTGAAACGCAGGATAAGACAGACAGAGCGGACAAGACAACTAACACGAACCGAACCGTACTTTAGAGGAGCACCATAGCACTGCCGACGGCAACCGCGAGAGCGGCGAAGCCCACGCCGCTGCGCCGCATGATTGCCGCGGCCGCGCCCTCGACGTCGGCCGTCTTGGGCGGATCCACGTTCAGCGTCACCGCAAAGTTCATGTCGCTCTCGGGGTTGTTGCAGCTGCTGTTGTAGCACGGCTTGTCCAGTGTGGGGTCGTCCAGGCCGCCTGGGTACACCGTTTCCGTCGGCGCGGCGGAGGTCGTCGCGGTGGTGGTGGTTGCGGTCGCGGTGGTCATCGTCATGTTCGAGCCCCAGTGCGCGGTCGGCAGCGCGAGTGAGAGCGGGCTGCTGATGAGACTCGGCAGGGCGGTCGGGATCAGGGAGTCGGTTTTGGGGAGGCGCGAGGCGAGGTTGGAGGTGGCCGCGTCGGCGAGGGAGAGGACTGCGCTGGCGACGAGGGACGGGGCCGCGGAGACAGCGGAGACGAGCGCCGAGGTGGCTGCGTCGACGACGGGGACCGAGACGGCTGGTGTTGGGAGGACATCGGCGACGGCGGCAACGGGGGTGTCGGGTGCTGCCGACATGACCGATGCGAGCAGACCGTCGTTTGGAGGCGGGGCGACGACGGCTTCGGCTACGGGGACTATCGCGGCGCCGGGAGGACCCTCGACTGCGGGGGAGACGACGGCGACGACGGCAGCAACAAGGAAGGCGAGGAGGGTGATGGAACGCATGTTAGTAGGTTCCGTCCGATAGTTCCGTGACACCGATTTTTTGATCGCTGCAACGATAAAAAAAAACAAAAAAAACACTGGCCAATCCCAATGTCGATGTCGATAATCCAAGTAACGAACGGACGCAGACGAACGCCTGCAAGAAACCTCGAAGGAACAGAAAGCTGCAAGTCGAATAACGTCGTGAAGGGTGGAGGGGAGGGAACATTCAGAAGAAGGGGAACTCGAGGAGGGGAGGGGAGCGCGGTCGATAATAACCAGAGTAAACACGCACCTCCGCCGGCCGGGCCCTCGCGCCTACACCAACCCAAGCCCGAAGAAAGCACCCAACGGTCCGATCGCCCATGAGCAACCGAATCGGGAGGTCGAGAGATTAACGTTTTTAGCGGCGTCGTCGGGCATGGGGCATGGGGAACTCCGCTAGAGGTCCGTGGGCGCGAGCTCGGCCAATCGCATGAGCGGGCGCCAGTTGCATCTGTCTAGGGCGGGGCGGTCAAGCAAATGAAAGGCTAGGGTTCGAGCGCATGCGAGCGAGCAGAGCCGGGTTGCCGAGCGCGGAGCGAGGAACGATCCATGGAGATCCAGACTCCAGCTCGGCGGGAAATGCAGACGGATGATTTGGACGCCGGAAATCCGTATGTACCGAGGGCGTTAATAGCGATGGATTCGAGGGCAGATTTGGAGACGTTGCGCAGACTGTTCGTCTATATGGTGGTATTCCAACGCGATTGTGCGCCATCTACTATGGAATGCGCGTGGGCTGGTGTAAGGCGTGTGCGGAATTTGAAACACTGCGCAACGCCGCCGTAGAGTACTGTGGCGTGGTGGGGAAATATGTCACGTGGTAAGCTTGGTGCCGTGGCCTGGAGACAGGATGTCACGTGGGACTTGGCTACCTACTTCTTGGATGCCGTACTTTGGTTCGGAGCTTGTCAGAGAGACCCAGAAAACAATTATGTTGCATACAGTCTCACAGTACTGTTGCAAAAGTGTTATGAACGCCATTAAGGGAGAGCTGGCTCAGGATGACTGGCATGTGATAAGCACGTGATGAGCACGTCGGAGGCGAGTGATGTCTGTTTCGGGCAGCGTAACTTGGTTTTATGTCACGGAGAGCTACATAAGGTACCTACCTGTTTCTGAGCAGTATGTAGCATGTATGTAGAGGGGTAAACTTTTCACTTCACGTCTGTTGCTGCCAGCGTTTCTGGTGTATGTAGATCTTTGGATGGTACATTGTCTAGATCTATGATACCAGGAGTGATGTTTTGGACGTCGATGTGGATAGGTAATGGACGAATCAGGAGTGGAGTGGGTGAAGAGCGGTGCATTGGGCCATAATCCGGCGTGACTCCAGGCAAATCACCTTTGACTACCTGCTCTTGAGTGCTTGTAGCAATCATCATTGTGCCCACCAGCCACCTACAACCCACAACGGTGGTCGGAACAAAGGAAGTGTCGGTACCAATTCTCACGGAGCTCACTGGCGGTGGTGTTGAGCGGACTTTTTTCTTTTTATTTGTTTAACCATCATAGCATTCGATCTTATCAGATCATGGCTGTACACACGTTCAGTTCCACCCCACTGTCTCCGACCGTGTTGACAGCGGACATGGGATTACAATTTACACTGCTGCACAGGCCGTCACTCGACGAGTGTCATAGAAAAGTGTACATACAATGGATACACGGCTGGCAGAATACAACGAAGAAAATCCTAGACGGCACTTATATAAATCACCCTTCCTTTCTGTGAGTGACCACCCTTCCTTCTATCACCACCCTCCAAATCTTTCCAATTCCTCACGCACACACGAACATCTACATACATACATTCTCACCACCAACACTGACCAATTGCACATATCATATCAACAATGAGCACCCAATCCACACGGCCGAACCGGGCACCGGCCCCGGCACCTGACCGAATCGAGATCATCAAGATGCGCCTACTGGGGCACACATGGGTGGCGATATCGCACCGCCTGAAACTCCGCCTTCCGGACGCGGCAATCGAGCAGATCATGTGGGCCGGCGTGGATCCGTACACGTTCCCCAGCAATGCCGTTCTGCAGCAGATTCGCACGATGGTCGACGCCGGGCGCTCGGAGCGCGAGATCGCGGCCGCCACGGGCCTGGACAAGAACGTGGTGGAAGTCATGATCGGCTGGTATTGTGGCGTGGTGGCGGCGTTGCCCGCGCCGCCGAGCGACCGCGCGAGGTGGACCGAGGATGAGCAGCTCCTGCTGGGCGGGTGGGCTTGGAAGTGGGGTCTGATGTGGGGTATTAGCCCATCTGCGTGCACCCTCCGCGCCGCTGGATCGAGTGCTGGTGTTTGTAACTTTGGAATTTTGTAGCCACCTTCTTTGAGTCCGGCGTGCCGTCCCACACCGTACATGACAACTCCCTCGTTGTGCGACACCAGTGTGAGGTGGTGAAGGCTATCACGTGTGGGTCTTGGCGTCTCGGTGATGACTCGGGCTCGGAGCTGGTCAGCTGATATGTTGCTCAACAGCATAGAGCAGTAGTTAAACGTCGTTGCGTGCAATCTCACGCCCACATTTTTGAGGTGTTGAGGCAGCCGCGGCGACGTCTCGCTTCAGCTGCATATGAGTGCTGATGCATATTCGCTCCAGGTGATCTTATTTCCACCGTGCTTACTTCAGAGTGTGAACGCTGCAGTAGAGTAGAGTGATGACCGGTCCGTGCAGCTCGTGGAACAAGCGAGTTTCGAGAAACAATTGTGCTTACTTCATACAGTATTTATGCACAGCCGGTGTATACATAGGATGATCCTTGGTCAACAGTACTCGTATTCGCTAACTACTACCCTATATAATCCGATGGGCTTGCTGTTGTCTACCACCATGGGAGGAAGAGATATTAGGTACTATAGTCAGGATACGGTGGATCCGAGTGATGTGTGAGCCGGACTACTAGTAGCCGGATTGAGTGGCACCAACTCTTCGAAATTGAATACAACCTCAACTTTTCCATCATCTTTCATCCTCGCCGTTCTCCTTCCAAGTCCCAGGATCACCTCACCTACTACCGTACCAGGTATGTGCATATGCAGACGTATGTACTCATGGCTGGGTGGTATTCGAACTTCTGAAAAGCTGAGCGCACCGACGATGAATCATAATCCCCTGTGCAACTCTCGAGTCTCGATGCGACAACACGACACACGAAACACGAGATCTCCTCATCTCAACCATATCACAGGCACTCCTATCTTCGAAGCGAGCACTACATACTTAGAGTAAACTGAACTCCCTGAAATTTGTGCCCCCAAAAAACAAAAAAAACAAAAAACCTCAAGAACGCCCGTGCAGTGTCTATACAAATGATACATCATACAATGATACAATCGCGCCAAAACGAAACGAAAACAAACCATGCCAAAAAAACAAACACAACAAAACAAAACAAAAAAAAACAAAAACAAAACAAAAACAGATCCCGCCCGCCCGCCGAAACAAAACAACATGTCTATACTATCGTAACCAGTGAAATGCTCCATCTCCCGCTCCCCCGTCCTCCGGTCTTTCCCCCCGTCCCAGCTGGTGCAAAAAAGCGTACAAATGACCTCCCATCCCTGACCCTTCTATCGTAAATCCACCGTCGATCCGCTCCCACTTCCCTGTGACCTTAGATCGGCGTCGTCGGCATCGGAGTTTCGGCTGCGGACTCACGAACTCCCACTCTTACTCCTCGCCTTTCCCCCCTTCTCCCCCTTCTCCCTGCCTGCACTCACAGCTCTCGGCTTGAACATATACAGCGCCTCCCTCTCGACGCCAAAGTGCCTATCACCATCCTTCGCAAGGAACCAGCCATATCTGTATTTATACCCGAGCAACTCCAGTGTCCTCGCCCTAAGAATCGGCTTCATCCTCTCCGTTCCCTGGACATCCATGCGGGCGCGGGAGGCGTATACAGCCGCATATATCCCCGCGAGGTTAGTGGGGGCATGACACAAGAACGCGCGGTACAGCGCTACATACGTCCACACGATCGCAGGGAATATTATGAGCACCAAGATTCCGACCGCGATGAAAAACGCGACCGGGCGCATTACCACACGGGTTTCGTGGCGCTGCCGGGTTGCGGGCACGACGGCGGGGATGGCGCCAGCAAAGATCGCGTCTGAGTTCAGCTGGAGGTACGTCGCAAAGAGGGTCTTGTACACTTCCGAGAGGGCTTTGGCGTTGGCGGCGGCGTCCGCGTACGGGTCGAAGCCGGTGGTGGAGGCGCGCGCGACCAGCATCCCCATCCAGTCGCTTGGGCGCGGGTCGCTGAGTGCGTTTTGCGGCCAGAAGGTGCGCGAGAGGTGGGCCAGCTCCGCGGGCGTGTTGTATTGTGTCGCGATACGCAGCATCATCGAGTTGAAGGATTGGAGCAGCCCTGTGAGACCCGCCGTCGGCAGCGTGGTGCGGGTAAGGTTGCGCGCTTCCGAGATGTTGCCCGAGATTCCGGATTGGACCAGCCCGTGCACGATCAGGGGCTGCGGGTTGCAGTAGATTATGGACTTGCTCGCGATGTAGGCCGATGGGCCCGAGATGGTCTGTCCGAGGATGGAGCGGGGGGCGTTGAACCCCAGAAGGCGGTCAACGGTTACGTTGCGGGGTTCTACCTTGTACTTGAGCCATGAGGTGAAGAACTCCATCGTCCCGTTGGACGAGTTGAGGCCGCGCGGGTACGGCGTCGGCGGGAGATGCACATATCCCTCTGGGAAAGTCGAGATGTTCGTGAAGAACGCCTCGCTGAACAGCGGGCTATGGTCGACCAGTCCGTCGGAGTTATTCTGATTATGCCGTATCTCATCCCACGGGGTATCCGGGCCGGTGAGCACCAGCGACGTATCATTCTTCTCGCGCAGCGTGAGTATCTCATAGGTGTAGTTGTTTGGCGGGCCGAGATATCCATGCCAGTCCTGCGTGAGATCCTCGTCCAGCGGGCGGCACTCGATATCGACGCCCAGACCCACCGACTCGACCCAGTAGCTGTCCTCGTGCTTGGTCGGATTGTTGTCCGTGAACGGGATGAAAAACGAGTTGTTGTAGGTCCATGGGCGCGGCGGCTGCGATCCCAGCGTGCCCGCGAACACCGCATAGAACGGCTCCGGGTCCACGTCGAAATCGCTGATCGCCAGTGATGACGCGTTGAAGTTGTCCAGCGTCTCGACTCCCCCCCGTGTACTCACGTTGTAGCCTTGGTCGTAGCGCACAACTTGCTTGTCGAACACACCTCCTACGGCGACGGCGAGGATGTTGGCCAGGAGAATCGACAAGCTCACGCCACCCAGGAGGAGGTTGTGCGCCTTGAAGGCGTTGGGTAGTTGCAGATGCGGAGGCGCGCGATCATAGTTGACGGAGAGCGATTTGACATGCGTGGCTCCTCCATGGTGGAGCTGTTTGAACGGATAGAGCAGAGCGACCTGGGCGCCCAGAAGGACGAGATACGACTCGAGTATGGTGACGGCGATGGTCGGCACGTACGACGAGTACAGCGAGTATCCGAAACCGTTCGCCGACTCCCGGAAGCCCAGCGGGTAGTTGCTCCGATTATTCACGTAGACCACGCACAGGAATGCTAGGCCAAAGATCAACAGCGCCATCGATATGCACCCCAGAGCAAGCGCCAACTCCCACGGCTTGGTGAGCGTCACCCTCGAGCGGTCAAGGTCAACATGTTCCCTCGCCTCGGCATCCCCCTCCGAGCCCGCCGCGATCGAGACCTTCTGATCCCTCAGCTCATACCGCAGCCCTCTCTCTTCCAACTCCGTCTCCAACCTCTTGGGGCGCATAAACTCGGAGTCCCTAAACACCTCCAGCACCGGCGAGTCGACACACGCAAGGGCAGCCGACAGCGTTCCCGGCTCCCCCGCAAGATTGAACTTGCGGTGGTAGACCAGTTTCCCGAGGACAACGTTCAGCACGAGGATGATACCCAGCGCGGCCTCCAGTGCACGGAACCACGCCGCTTCCGCGACGTAGCCGCGGACCCGCGTCTGTTCGTCCACGAACCGCCGGCCATCCCCGTTGGTGGCGGGTCTCGCGAGCTCCGAGATCACGGCGAACGCGAAGAGCTTACGGTACGCGGTGTCGTACATCGCGATCAGGTTCGTCGTGTTGAAGAGGTCTTCGAGGTCCGTCTGTGTCGTGAGGCCGAAGCCCATGAGCGACTTTGGGTTCGGCTGGAAGACGTTGATCGGCAGCGGGGAGTAGGAGTAATTCCCCGCGTCGGTGACGGTCGTGTTGGGGTACAGCTCGACGAGCGTGCGAAACGCGGGGTTCCTGCGCATGCGCGACAGATGATCCGGCAGCTGCGCGAGCGAGTCGGAGACGTTGAAGGCCTCAGTGGTGGCGGAGATGTTGTTGCCGGCCAGCAGGCTCATCCAGTAGTCCATTTCGAGCCCATGGAACGGGATCTTATCCCGCATCTGGCGGATCCCGCCCGGCACGATCTGTCGCGACTCCGCCTTGAGCCGGATCTGCGCTTCGTACTGCGAGTGCACTGGATGGCAGAATATCGCCTCGGCCCGCGTGTAGTCCGGACGCACCAACACTTCCTGCACCGCCTCCGAGTCCGGAACTCGATTCCGCGCCCACCCCGCCACGAAGAAGTTCTCCATCGTGCAGTTCGCTGCGTACGTCACCGCGCCCACCTTGTTGCCGACCGCATTCTTTCCGTCCATGAAGAAACTCGTGTACGGCGTGAACCGCTCGACGCCCTCGTGCGTGCCCCAGCCCGCAAGCATGAATTCACAGCTGCGGTCGACAGTGCTGACGCGGGTCTCATTGACCAGTTTGCCCGGCACCCGCTCGATGATGCCAGGGGTGCAGTTCAGCATGCCCTCGTAGACCGTCGACTCAACGATCCATATATCTTCCACAGCGCTCGTCGTCGAATACGACTCTCCCGGAACGACCGGCAGCACCGCCTCATTCTCGGTCGTGAACCCCGGCAGCGACCCGCCCAGGTACTGGTGGGCATAGGCGAGATAGGCGAAGGCGGCGGAAACGTTGCCGCGCTGCGATTCCACCGGGAGGAGTACGTCGTAGTGCACCGGCACGTGCACCGACTTGGTCACTTCCATTTTGGTTATCGCGGCGGACATCAAGGGCGTCACGCCGTACATGATCATCACTAGCATCAGCGCCGAACAGAGGACTTCCCAGTGGCTATGGATGCGTCAGCGATTGATGATCTTTTCCCAAACGACAACGACGGAGGGCGGGACTGACTGACCGCTTCTTGAACGCGATGAACGGCGCGATCGCGGCAAAGGTGTAGGGGTATTCCAGGAGCAGTGAATGCTCGGCCGTCACGCCGCCCGGTTTCGACATCTGAAAATACGGTTCGAACCTGGAGGAGTAGCAGAAGTCCTGTCAGCTAGCTGCACACACTGGGGGTATGCATGTGCATAAGTATGCACCCATGATACATACACACCCACCGTCTCCGACGCCCGTAACATACCTTTTCACATCATGATCTATAGCGGCCCAGATAAGGCCGTACACCACAGCCAGCAGCAAGGGAACATAGTCGAATGCCATATCGACAATCTTACTCGAGAGAAACGTTATCGAGCCGTTCCTGCGGGAAACATTCAGTACGACCTCGAGGCCGACGATGAAGCCGACCGTCATGGCAGCAAAGAGGATGTGCGCCGTCGGCTTCAGCGTCCGTGGCCGCCATCCAGTCCGCGATGATGATGTGGAGGGGAGGAGGGAGAATGACGATGTTGCGGTGGGAGAGTCCGAGAGGCTCCGAGGAGAGGACTGCGACTGCTGTGAATCTGTCCGGCTGCTGTTGCCGCCACTGCTGCTATTGCTACTGCTGTCTTTCCACGATAGCGAGAACAGAAGCGGTATCCGTTCGTAGCTGGTCCAGCCTCTTGCCAGCGGTCCTGGAGGCATATTGATATCCTTTGTTTGTCGCAACCGTATGTCGTGTGTTAGCGACCGTGGAGAGCGTGGGTGCGTGCGTATGTGCGTTCGTATGTACGATCGTGCGAGCGAGCGAGCGTTTGGTGGTGGTAGTTTCTGGCGGACAGGACGGAAGGAATGCGGATCAGAGTGGGGGACCAGGGCAGCGAGCGGGTTTTGTAATTGTAATCTACCGAAACAAAAACGACAAATCAATCAATCAATCAATACTGCATCTCCCCCGCATGCCGACAATAATATGTAGAAGAGGTAACTAACGGGCAATCGATCCTACATGCAGCGTGGCTTCTTCTTTTGTTTTTTCCTTTTTTGGTGCGTCTTCCGCCGCGGTGATTCGGAATATAGTGATGTGCATCGCATTGTGGACACTGGACGACCCGACCCACCACCTCCTACCGGCCGGCCGGCCTGTACCGTGGAGGCTGTATATTTGCGGATTCGACACAGCCTCGCGACTCACGAGGGAGGGGAGGGGCCACAGAACTGCCGCCGGTCATGGACCAGTATGTATGGTTTGCACTATGTACCGACGGAAGTATGTAAGCAAGTGAGTATGATACATGCCGCTTCGCCCTCAGGAGTCAGGACCGGTAACCCCCCGCACGCCGACCGGAGTGGATTGTCCACCTCCAGAGTACTTGGTAGCTACGCCGGTCTCCTGCATAGAGTAGGTTGGCAACAAGGCGTCTTGCCTTCGCCTTCGCCCATCGTTCAGATTAGGTATTCGACATGCGAGCTAGGCGTGATGCGTGTAGTGCCTACTCTACGCAGAGTAGAGTGGTGGTGGTTATGTAGGATCTGCCATGTAGGATGGGATCCTTCTCCATTAGTGCTGCCGTCCTCTAAAGTTTTCCCCCACCACCTCCTCCGCCCCCCCCCCCCCCCCCCCCCCCCCCCCCTCCACCCCCTCCAGGCAACCGAGTAATCCCCTCACTCTGTAGCCAACGTAAGCAATCGAACCTCCTCCCCCGCCCGGCAACCGAGTAATCCCCCCACTTTGTAGCAAACGTAAGCAATCGAACCTCCCCCGCCCGGCCAGCCAATCCAGCCTTCCGCTTTTGGCAACCAAGCACGTGACGACCACACAGTTACTGACATCACCGCTGCACCGGCGACCTCCAGGCTTCGGCAAATGCCAGCCCTCCCAGACCAATGCGCTAACCGCACGTGGAGCCGGCAAAGCCCGATTCGCTCGCCCAAGAGCCAAGCCACACCGCTTCGGGAGCAGGGCATGGCCGCGGATGCAGGGAATGCAGGGACTGCAGGGAATGCCTAATGCGCGGGTAGGGCCGAGTAATCTTCCGCAACGCCAACTGCTGACTACCGTGGTGCTAGGAGCTTATGCTAGGACACGCGATAGTCGCCACGGTCGGCGACGAAGAGGAGAGAGCGGCGAGCGGAGAGCGGAGGAAGGGCGGCGGGGTAGGAAGGAGGTCGGAGCGGGTGCAATGCGCAGAGGTGGATGCCGAATCGAACAGACTGTCTCGTGCTGCGAGAAGGAAGGAATATTCGCCGCACGATGCACGTATCTGTGTGTGTATGTGTGGAGTACCAAAGCAAGTGCTTCCAATACTTACAAAGCGCTCGCATGCATAGCTGGTAAGTAGCACCGACCACGTAGTGCGCGGTGCGTCCCATCCCCGGCATGATGCGGCACAGGTAGGCAATTGATTGTCGCGGGGGCATGGGGGCATGGGGGCATGCACACACTCTGCCTACATTGCATCTCATACGAATTGCCCACCACCACCCGCAGGCCACACCTTTACGAGCCGAAGGTCTGAAGAGGAAGCACATGGATCCATCAATCCCGAGCGTACTCTACAGTGTTCACATTTAGTAGCAGTACGGTAGGTAGCCTGTGGGTACAGCCCCCTCCGTTTCCATGCATGCAGACGTACCATTAGTCAGACACAGCGACCGCGGCCGCCGTGAGCCCACACAGAAGCACCGAAGCACCCACCGGGCGCTGGGGACAACCTTCGGATCCGCCTCAACGCCTCGTCTGGACAGAGTGACTCCAGAGTGACTCCATACTCCATACTACATCAAAACACCAGGGAGGTTGGTACCTATAAATACACGGAACGGTTTCGCCCGCCCGCCGCGCTGACCGGAGGTCATGATTCAGGAACACGAGGAAAGGATCAAACAGTCAATCGTGTGGTGCCTGGGTGCACACGGACGAACGTGAGATAGACACGGCATGCTCGCGTCAACGGTTTGATTTCAGTCCGGTAGCACGGCATCTGGTAGCACGGCATCCGGTGCCATCAACGGGTGGTCGTGTCCCGACTCCAAGCTCCTGACTCCTGACTCCTGGCTGCGCCCGAAACCTTGCGGCTTTGGGTCTGCAGGTGCAGCGATAACTCTGTGGTGCAACCTTCAACCATCCGTGCGCAGGCGGGGGAGCCAATGGCTCGGACGGCTGGCGGGGACGCGGGGAGGCGATCTGGTACTCTACTCCATGCTAAGGCGGTCTGGTCATCCGAAGACATCGGCTGGTACTCTACTCCATGCTAAGGCGGTCTGGTCATCCGAAGACATCGGCTGGTACTCTACTCCATGCTAAGGCGGTCTGATCATCCGAAGACATCGGCCGGTTACTGCACTCCATGCTGGCGATCTAAAAATATCGCAAGCCCTCACGCCCTCAGCCTCAGCCTCAGCCTCAACCTCCGAATCGGCCCCCCGCCGTTGTCGGCTCGCCACTCGCATCAAAAGTTCAAGACGAAACCTCGGCTTAACGCATAGCCCATCCTGCCTCCGTCGCCGTCCCGTCCCGTCCGCGAAAAGCCCAAGTGGATACGCCGCACAGCCCGTGGTCCGTGGAAGTCCAAAGGTATTCAAGATACTATGATACTATGATACTATGATACTATGATACTGTGATACTATGATACTATGATACTATGATACTATGATACTATGACACTATGATACTATGATACCATGATACCATGATACTATGATACTATGACACTATGACACTATGATACTATGATACCATGATACCATGATACTATGATACTATGACACTATGACACTATGATACTGTAGTAGCTATGGAGACTCCCCACTATCCATAAGTAAAACCAGGCGCTAGAGTACTTACAAGTTACAAGTTACTACATGGGGCCTGACCTAGCATGCTCACCGAGACTTGGAGGTTAAATGTACACTGCAGAGACAGAGGGGCACATCGGTAGGCGGTCCGTGTCTACCTGCCTACAGCCCACCTACAGGCAACCTTACCTACCGCTGTGAGGCGTCTGCCATCTTATCCGACCGGCCGGTGGGAGCTACATGCGTGATGCGTTCCCTGGAACTTGCAGCTTTCCCACCGGCCATCGCGACGGACCGGACAGGACTGGACTGGGTTGTCGCGGTTGTGGCGTGCACGACGGTCGACAATGCCGAGGGCGCAGAGGCTCGGACTTCCACGTTTTTCGGGTACTCGGGAGTCGGGCTGGCATGGCATGGGATAGCATGGCATAGTGTAGTCGCGACTCGCCTTGCGGATTGCATGGTGTATGCCTGCGCCGTGTGGGCGGTGCCTGGGCTTTGGAGTTTGGGGGCTTATGCTACGGGATGGGATGGGATGGCCAGCAGAGCGGGCCCGGGCCTGACTACCATCTATTCTATCCTGTTCTATTTGTGCTTCCCTGGATAGCTGGGAAGAGGCTTGTTTGTTTATCTGCAGCCTTGTTGTATGGTAGGCATGCCTCCCCCGTCCCCCTTCGGCAGGGAATAGCTTCATCACTTCATCACTTCATCACTTCATCGCAGCCATCACTCGCTCACCCCCCCCCCCCCCCCCCCATGCCTGCACTTTTCCACCGACCCTGCAAAGCCCGTCTTTTCGTTTATTTTCCTGGAGAATTCCACTGAGTGACTGTGAGTCTGAGACAATCGCCAGGCTCAGCTCCAGAGTTCGGATAATCGGCACGCCACGGACAGGACAGAATAACAATTCCCTCGGCGACGCGGCGTCCGCAAGTGACAAGTGACAAGTGACAAGTGACAAGTCGAGTAATCGATAATTCATGAGACATGATTCCATGCATCACTGCATCACTGCATCACTGCATCACTGCATCACCGCATCGCATCAGCGTCGGTGGGTTCATACATATGCAACATACATACCCGAGTAATACTCAATAGACCATGAGTCTGCCACCTATCGGAACGCCCCCACTCCGCACGTTAAAACAGGTGCGTTAAAAGCCCAAAGCCCAAAGCCCAAAGTCAACTGTCGATCTTCTACAATTTCTACGGTACACGCAGATCTCCGGCGACGAAAGGCGCAACCTTGCATATGTACGCGCATCTGATGATTGATCTGACCTGCTGCTTTCGTCTGCATACCGCCCTGGGTACTCTAAATACCCATGTCATAAATCTGGAATCATGATGTACCGAAGCGGTCTCTGCGAAAAGGGAATGTGCATTGTGGGCCCCACATCGGGCTGGGCTGGGCTGGAGGGAGAATTGATGACGAACCCGAGTGGCCTACAAAGTACTTGGTTCATGTACTTGATATTCGATATTCGATATTGGCAGCTCCGAGCTCCGAGCTAAGAGCCTAAGAGCCCAAGACCTTCTTCTTTGCATGGCTAATGGCCGGCTTCGCGGTACAGGCACAACGAGTACCGATGATGACTGCGTAACTGCGTCACTGCGCTCACGTCCACGGTCTATCACCCGCTCGCTCGTTCGTTCGTCCGGCGAATTACCCATTCCCACAGAAGCATAATGCATCCAAATTTCAAACCGGCAGTCCCCGTGCTGATAGGAGATCACTCGCTTCGGACCTTCGGCGTAGGCACTTGGGAGTGACGATCCTTCGTCATGCATGATGAGTCGGTGACCACTGACTACTGACCACCGGCGATGTTTGGTAAATGCATTATTCAATTGGCGACGCGGAGATACTAGTAGGTATGGGTGATAGCGGAGCTCGGAAGGCGGGCCGGCGGGATCTGCACTGCACTGCACTTGCAGTGGTATGTATGCCAGGTATGCCAGGTATGCGAAGTAAGCGCACTTTTGGTTCCCGAGATGTCGGCTCCTGCGCTGCTGCGCTTGCAGGGACAGCATTTGGGGCATTGGTTCGGGAAGGCGGATGTACTGAAGCAGCAATGAATGGTGGTCGGTTAAGGTCAAAGGAACTTGGTCTGACCTGGATTGCCATTGTGGGACTGCTCCTCATGTATGTACGCATTAGGTGTATGGAGTGGGTACGGTAGCTCACAGATCACTCGCCATCGCCAGATGAATCATGACTCTTGAACACTTTTTCCGGAAACCGAAACTTGTGATCAATTAAAGACATTTCGCTTTCAGCCAACGGGAGCAGTAGTCCCCCTATGCCTGCGCGACCAAGCAGCATTGCAGGCTGCAGCCGGCGCCGATCACTCGCCATCATCATCACCAAATACTACTCGCAATCCCCGGATCCGCACCTCAAACCTGCCGCTTTCTCCCTCCCTCAGCCGCCCTTCCACCCAGTCAGCACTTTCACTCTGCTACCCCCCCTCTACCCCACGGCACGGCACACTCACCTAACCAACCTCGCCCACCTCCCGCTCCCGCCCCCACCCTGTCCCCCCTCGCCCCCGGTGACAGCCATATACCTCCCCTCATAGAAATCCAACTCCTCAGCCATCTCCCTCAGCGCCTCTCGGGCGGGCTGGCGGCCTCCTCCACCATGCGCCTCCCCGCCACCACGGCTGTGTCCCGCGTCGAGCACGATCCGCGCCAGCTCCTTTGAGCAGCCCAGCTCGTCCAGTGCCGTCCTTGGTGCTCGCGTGCCTGGCAGCCAGTGTAGGATTGCGCTGGATACGAGGGGGAGGTTGGTTCGGTATACGTGGCTGTAGGTGGGTGGGTCAGCGGGGGGGGGGAGAGGGGGAGGGGGGTTTGTTCGGGGTGGAGGCGAAGGGGGGGAGTACCGTAATGCTATCTGTAGCGCGTGCTGCTCGGCGGTGCGCTGTTCAGGCGCCGGATCGTAGTCGGCGGCGGCGGCGTCGACATCGGTGGTCGGGAGCGCGGTGTAACTGGTCGGGGACTTCATCTTGCTTGTGTGCGTGTTGCGGACGGTAAATAGGCGGCGGAGAGGAGCCCCGCATGTGAGCGTGGCCCATGGGTTATGATGTAAGGGGGAACTTAAGCTCAACTTTCAGCCATTGGCACACTCGGTCAGAGTGACTATCATTAGATAACAAATATGTATGGCGTTGTGTCCGAGTGGTTAAGGAGAGAGACTTGAAATCTCTTGGGTTCGCCCGCGCAGGTTCGAACCCTGTCGACGTCGCTTTACTTTTGCACCTGCTCGGTTGGCTGTTTGGAATCTGAGTCTAGACTCTCTCCGGATGGAGTCTTTTTTAGCACTGCTTGGCGCTGCTCCGATCACGCACAATAATCACGAGCTAAACCCTCTCCATGGGAGGCGAATGAGCGACACAAGGATGACACTCTAGACGTGGGCTCAGGGAAAATCCACATTCACGGGTGAGCGGCGCTCTCCGCACGATGCAAGGGGGGATTGACTTGACAGTGGCGGAGCAACACAAGTGCGCAAAAACTGACCAACACTACGAAACACACGATAACCTCGTTTCACACAGCTCCTGAAGTTTCGGCAGGGGGGACCATGGGCGACTGAGGCCTGGGGAGTTCTCGAACCTCCGGGGACCGGCACACTGGCACAGCCCCAAGGGGAACCCCAGAGGGAACACAGCGGAAATACGTGAAACGGCCCGTGGGGCGTAGGCTGGGCTGGCCCGCTGGGACCGGACTACCCACCGCTCGGCGCAGCGTCGCCGGCACGAAGCGGCATCATATGTGAGCGCCTGTGTTGCCCGTGTTCGATCAGGAGCTGAGACTCGAGAGCTCCAAGTAGTGAGTACTAGTAGTTACGTAATAAATTCCGAAAACGCCCGCCACCCCCCATTCCCAATGCGACAGCCTAGTTACAGCTTACAGGTTCCATATGTACACACACCACGCAAACACCGTCCCGCTCGTCAACAGTTCGTCAGATTCGCCCGCGCATCGTTCGGATGAAAGCTCAGCGTGATCCTGCCATCCCACGTCGAGTCTGCAGCACGCAACGGGTCAGCCGCGGGTCTCACCCGTACACACATGGGTCGGGGGTGAACATACCATAAAGCGCGACCCTTCCCTCGACCGCGATGCCCACACAGTTCCTTAAGCGCTCGACGCCGTCGTCCAGGGCCTGGGTACGAATGATGAGGGGCGGATCAACGCGGTCCGAGTAGTCGTAATGTGAGAGGCGTTCCGCGCGGACACAGAAGCCCTTGCAGCAGCCGCCGTAGTCGCCCGTAACGATCTGCTCTGGCGTGGCGCGCTCGAACGTGCCGAGCGCGGCGTCGAAGCTCTCTTTCGTGATGGGCGGCGTCGAAGGGTCCGCGTCCCGGCTCATGCACACTTCGGTGTGCGTGAAGATTGCGAAGGCGGATGTGTAGCTGGCGGCGGTCAGGAGGAGGAGGTGGTACAGCAGCGTGGTGGGCGTGGCGGGGGACTTCATGGTGTATATATCGGTGCGCGGCGGTGAGGGGTACGCAAGCCCGGTGAGCGGCGGGGCGGACGACGCAGGTTTATATGTCGTCTACTCTACACAGCCATGGAGGATCGGACCGCGCGGGTGGGATGGATGGGTGAGACACCCCCTCCAGGCTCCCCAGGAGGAGGAGGTCTGACCGTCTGAGAACCGATCAGCCGCAGACATGCAGCGCAAGTTGGGGAAACGGAGCTAACTGGTTCCCAGCCCGCCCCCCCTCCTCCCCAGCAGCGTCAAAAAGCTCTTCGGTAAAAAGAAGAAAAGAAGAAAAAAAAAGGGGGCTAAATGGTGATCTCGCCTTGACAAGCAACAGCAGCAGCAAGCGGAAACTCGCCGGATGCGAACGTGATCGTGCGACGAGCGTAGTTACCCACCTACGTCGCACGGCGCCCTTGGCGGGCGTGGCCAAACATTGTTGGGTTTGAACTCCGCACCAAGGCCCAGGGGAAAGCTCTGTCGAACTCGAATGCGTTTGTGGAAAGTCCACAGCGGTTGCAACTCATAACCCCCATTGCCAGAAACGTCCGATTGCATGGCATACATACAGAACTGGAAAAACCCCTGAAGGCCTCGTTGCGTTGCGTTCTCCCGTTCTCCCACTGTCGTCCGCAAATAGACGGAGTCACGAGTTGTCGACGAATAAAAGCGTGCGAGTGATGTCTCATGAATACGCCACACGAGTGGAGCCTAACTACCGCCTGCGTCTAAGAATTGCTTATTTCGACTCGCCTCGACTCTAGAACCTAGATGACGGATTCGGACGCGTCCACTCCGCGGACGCTGGACCGTGCAATTCGGAACTCCTGAGTCCTCGTCTACATAGAGTAGACATAAGGCGTCGAAGGCGTTGAAGGCGTCGGTTTATTGGCTGCGGAGCTTTTTCGCAAACTAAATAAATACCTGTGTAGTGCTCAATGGCGTGCCTTTTCATTCTTCGCGAATATATATCTACAGTTTCCTAACTCCCTATCGCATCAATTTCTAACTCTTGTGTACCCTCGACGCGGTGGGCCTGAGGTGCGGCATTCTGCATCCGGTACCAGCATTGGAAGTGCCTAAGGATCAATGGAAAATTACAAACGTCGTAGAGTTCGACAGCGCAGCGAGCCTTACTATTTCCCGACGGAAACGACACATTCTCTCGAGGAGCGCCAATTCGATGGGTACCTACAATTATCCATCAAAGATCACTCGTCGGTGGCGATTATTGATTGTTGGAGATATACGATGGTAGATAGATAGATTGCTTAGAGAAGAGAAAGGTACTGCATACAAGATGGGGATATGGAGAAGTCTGCGGTAGTGCCAAGGCTGATGGAAGCTAGTCTGGGATAGGTAGGCAGACGCGTGATAACTGATGAATGAACGACTGATGCAGTAATTGGATGGATTTTATCCGGTCACATTTTTACAGTGTTTTCACGTCACAAAAACGATATTGAATAGGTACGATGTAGGTAGCTACTCCAAAGGAAAACCGAAAGATCTTGGAAAAATAATGCTCCGAGAACCAAGCGACTGATGTGCCATGGTTGGCAATAATCGAACCATTAGGCATCATTGCCGACGAACATGGATTTGGGGCGACGACTGTATAGTAGAGCCTACACGATGGCGCGACAACTTGAAGATGCGTGCCAGCCTGCCAGTTGCTGAGATGTATATCGGCCTGCTGGATGCGGGTTTGGGAAACTGGAAGTCTGGAATATGGAGGAGGGGTGATGCGCGATGCGTGATGCGCGATGTCGGGACTGGTGTTTCTACCTAGACTGGCCAGAACGGACAGAAAAAGGAGTGCGTTGGTTCGCCATAGTCTAGGATCTTCGAACAAAGACGAAGTGGGATGAGTAATAAGGTGACCGAGTGAGCAGCTGCACCTCCAGCCACCAGCCATCACCAGCCATCATCACCCATCATCACCCATCATCATCAGCCGGCGATGTTACCTATTGTCAGTGAATAAGACTATTAGAACACTTGACAGAATCTCTAGTCACAGATAGTGATTTCCATATTCACAACCTCATAATAATCATACATCGTGAGCAGTCACTCCAGCCGACGGGTAGGGTATGGTCACGTGTGAGTACGCTAAGAGTACGCTAGCGCCGATTCAATGCTCTTGGAATGTTTCCACCTATATATTCACCGGTTCGCACGAGTCTACTTCCCTCTTCTCTTTCACACAACACACACAACATCGTCTTCATCTTCTTAGCCAATAATGGCCCATCTTCTCACTTACCCACGACATCAATTCGCATTTTCTTCCTCCGGTTGGAGCATGCCATGAGGTGTGTCCTTGAGGGAAAGGGCGTATGGAATTCCGCACGGAATGTGTACATCGACTGCAACGACGCACCGAGAAACGACACACCGATAGCCCTGGACGAGGCTCACACCATCCGGAGCATTGAGAGCGCGAACTGCAAGGCCGTCGGCGCCGTAAAGGCTCATTCACGCTGGGCCCTGACGGGTACGCCTGTGGCCAATGGCCTCATGGATCTGTGGCTTCTGATCTGTCTCCTCCAGACCAAGGACTCATTGGACCATTGCGACACGTTCCGCTCGCTATGTCCGACGCCTCTGCAGCAGAAGAAGAGGCCCCGGTTGACTTAGAAGTCGCAAAACGTGATGAGGGCATACGGTCTTCGCCGCACGAAGAGTTTGGATTTTATCCAGCTCAAGATGCCGACGATGACGGCTCGAAGGTACGAGAATTATCACATCCATCTAGCACGAGAGGTAGTAGGGGCTGGCGGATATGACTGGTGTTCAGCGGAGGATAGCCGCGGCCACAAAGGATGGTGGCGGCCGGCACAAATACACAATTCGCGCCGAGTTCGATAACCAGGCGACAGCGGGTGGTGACGACCCCTACACCCACTGCAACGACTTGTAGAGTGTGAGGGTGCATTGGGAAGTGGTGGAGGACTGGAGATGTTGCAGAGGTGGAAAGCGGAGGAGAACTGGAGATGGTTCGAATGATCTCGGATGATTATAAGCACTTGAGGCGATTCACCGCCGTGGATGACGGATGCCATTACTTTACCATTGCTTGAGGCGATGCACCGCCATTAATGATGAATGCTATTCTATGATGTATGATGTATGAGTATCCATCATAGCTTCGCAGAACCGCGTAGATACCGAACCGCCACAATACCCACACGCCCACATAGGTACATTCATAGTTACAGCCACCCGGCCGCGACACCGACCGTTTCGTTTCGTTTCCTGTTCGTTTCTCTCCCAGGTCCCTCGCCTTCTCTCCCTAGCCTTCCCTCTCTTTCCCTTGTGTCGTCTGTCACCGCCATGAGAGAAGCACATGGAGGATAGATGGAGGGTCTGATAAGATGGGAGCAGTGGAGGTTAGTCGGATCGAGTGACACCGAACACACGCAGCGGAGGAGAGCCACATGTATTAGGTACTTAGATGGCTCTTCGAAGTTGAATACAACCTCACCTTCCTCATCATCTTTCATTTCCGCCGTTTTCCTTCCAAGCCTTCCCTGATTACGCCACCTTGCCAGCACTTCCCATTCACCGCTCCAAGCGTGCACCTGCCACCATTGCACCGCCGCACCGCCGCACCGCCGCGCCCATTATTCCGTATTCCACATTCTGGCGGGGAAACCAATCCTATTATCCCTTGTACTGTATCTACCGTACATAGAGGCATCCACTCATCAATAAAACGGAAGGGGAAGCGGATGTTTGGCGTACCTATCAAGAAGTTTGAGCCCAGGGCTGTAACTAATCCGTGACGAATTCTGCAGGACGCTTACGTACTCATGCGAAATAAATTGATGTTCTCTCTCCCTCCCTCCCTCTCTCTCTCTCTCTCTCTCTCTCTCTATCTCTACTCTACCTACATTCCGGGCATTTAATACACCGGCTCCTCCGGCTCCTCCTTTCTCCTGCCCCTCCCGCCACTCCTCCTCCTCCAGCCCCCATTTTAACCATAATGATCCCGGCCGCCCGACTGGGGGTATGTATACCTGCTGCGCATCTTTAGCGAACTCGGCGGGACATCTTATCCCCGTTTGCTCCATCGTACCTCATATCTCGATAGAAGCAGCGCAGCTACTCCTGGCGCGCGCTCCTCGAGCTCGGCGCGCAGCCTATCGTTCTCGGCGAGGCCGATGCGCTCGACGTCGATCCTTGCTATCGTCGGCGAGCGAGCGACTCGAACATGCGGCGCGCCCAGAGAGTATCGACGCGGCGGCCGGGGACTGAGACTTCTTCTTCTTGGTGGTGCCCGAGGGCTGCGCGAACTGGGCGGCGAGGGGGTGCGGCCGAGCTGGGGGGCTGCGGCGACATGGTTATTGTTGTCGTTGTTCGTGTTGTTGCTGATCGCTTGTATGCCGAAGAGTTGTTGGTGGAGTGTTCAGTGGATGGATGGTGGAAAGGGAAGGGAAGGAAAGAAAAGGGAAGACGGAAGCTGTGGGTTGGTGGGTAAGGTAGTGGAGAAAAAATGAGCTTTGAGCTGAGGTCAGAGTGAATGGCGGCTACTGGCGCGATAGAAGCCTTTCTGAAAAGTCTTGCGAGAGTGGAATACCCCCCGCCTTGCGCTTGCGTGAAGCATCGTCGGATTATTTTCAGCACAAACGCGGTAGTTAGTGGGACAAATAGTGGGAGAAATTGCCGCGCCGCGCAGACCGCTGCACACGTAGACCGCAGTACAACAACAATAACAACAAGAAGAAGGAGTGTGTACTACCTCCCTAGTAGTTCTGGACCAACCAGCAGCTGGAGCGAATCTATGCTATGTACCTTCTTGAGTTCTGCGTAAGCGCGATCCAATGACACGCTCATCACTCCTCACTCGGCCCTATCCGGCGAAGCTGCGATGAATCCTTCTACATCGCTACCATGCGTACTCCAGTCTCTAGATATATAGTGAATATCAAATTACCGTCATTCTAGTTCTGTCGTTGTGTAGACGAGTATCAAGTCTTATCGGTCGAAATAGTCGGCATTATTTTACGAACAGGTCAGTGGGCGATCCCACCAGACAGCTTCTAAATACTACAAATTACGGTTGTGGAATTTAAAAAACAGTCATAACATCATATCCCAGGTTAATTCAAAATCCCAAATATCACCTCCCTCACGGGTGACGACAGGCACTCAACTCTACTGTCCTCCACTTTCCACTTCTCCCACTACACCCGCACCCACAACCCCCCCTCCTCCCGAGCCCCTACACACCAGATCTCTGAACCTGCACATCCCCACTAACAGGATCAAAATCGAGCCTGCAGAATCCATAGCTCTCGCCATTAAACACCAGTTCGAACCTCATCTCGCCAGACAGGACAGTAAGATCCAGCGTGTAACTGTGGGGTATCGGCGTATCGGAGTCAGCGATGAACTACCTAGGGAATTGGCGGTGGAGGGAGGAGAGGGGAACGCGCACCAAGCGACGTAAAACCGCCGGAAGTACCGCCATTTGCGGCTGTATTTGCTCTTTTTCACGTCCGCGAGATCCGCCGCGATGGTGCAGATGGTTTTTACGTCTAGTGGGTGTCGTCAACTCGGTAGCGAGCGGCAGGGGAAGTGGTATGCTACATACCATCCACCACCGTCCCGGGCGGCGGATCCAGCTCACACGCCACCATTGTATCCACCCACGGGCCCTGATACTTCCTGAACGTCCTCGTGAACGCCCTGACCACCCTAGTATCATCAGAGAGCGGGTCTCCACGTCTAATGAACCAAGATATCTGGTTCTTTGCCATTTTCGCGCCCGTGAACGGGTCAAGGTATGCGTCCGTCTCCGAGTGCCGCCCGTCGATGAACGGCGTGCTCATGGGCGTGCCGTAGTTGCGCCGTGAGAGACGCACGACGGATCCGGAGGGCGCCCCCATCGCTACGTCGAGGCCGCGGATTACCGCGCCTTTGACCACTGCCGTCGCCGCGTCCCGCGGTTGTAATGTCTCGATCCCCTGAATGGACGCCCAGGCTTGCAGCCGCTTGTATAGGTACCGGGACTCGCCGAAGCCGCCGACGAGGAGGAGGTACTACGCCGTTTCTGTCAGCGGAAGAAGGTTGGAGGGAGGAGGGGAGGGAAATACGTTGACGCGGAACCGGTTGCCTGCGCAGCTGAGCTCTACCTGGCTGGCGACCAACTGGATGATCTTATTCACCACCGGATCGAAAAGGCCTCTTAGCTCTTGCCTAGGTATTCAGTACAGTATATCAGCCCCCTCCGCCGTCGCTTTCTCCACCATCCCACACCACCTCCCCCTCCGACCAGCCAACCCACCTCGTAATCTCAAACTCGCCATCCCTAATCCTGACACCAGGCTCATCAACGGTATCCAACGTGGGGATCTGCACAAAGAATCGCTCCTTTTCGGGGCGGTCCTCGAACGCACACTTGACCTCTTCGAAATTGCGGACGATCCTGTTGCGCACTTCAGGCCGCAGACGGGTGTAGTGCGCTCCCATGCGGTATGCCAGGAGCTGCTCGAAGTTCCGGTCGATCTGCGTGCTGCCGCAGAAGTCGCCGTCGCCGATGCAGCATTCCGACACCCGAAGCACCGGGTGTAAAGACGTTATGCTGTAGCTTACCAGGTCAACTGTGCCTGGGTGAGGTTAGGTATGCAGGTATATGTAGTACGTCATCCAGGACTCAGATGAGTGTGGTAGCGAAGTAGATGGGAGGACGAACGTACCTCCCCCAGCATCACACACGACAATCCGATCGCCAACCCTGATCGCCGCCGACTCCTGGATCTTGATGGAATATATCGCGGCGGCCTCCGGTTCCGATAGCAGCTGCAACTCGTGCTCGCCCGCGATCCCCGCCTGTTCCGCCGCCAACCTTGTACCTATCACCTGTCACCCCAGCCCTTGCAGCCCCTCGCCAGTAGTTCGCACTCACGATTCTTCGCGGCATCAGTCCAGACCGCGGGCACCGTAACCACAAAGTCGACCTTCGACGCGCGCATCACGTTGGCAGAGTTGATCCTCCACAGGGTCTGGATAGCATGGTGATACAGTGCGGCCAAAAAGTCTCTCGCAACATCGGTAGGCTTCATTCCGGGCGGAATCGGCACTGCGCTGCGCGCCGCCTCGTCGTCGGTCTCGAGTAGTAGCTTGAACCACTTTAGCCGCTGCTGCGACGACGGGATATCGTACCCCCACAGGTACGACGAAGTGCTCCCAGACACGTGGTATGATATCTCGCTCGGCGTGCTGTGGTGTGTTCGTGCGCCTGCCGAAGGCCACGCGGCGATCAGGCTGATGTGCGTGGGTGATGAGGTCGTGGCCCACGCTATCGAAGAGTAGGTGGTTCCTGGAGAAGTTAGTGCTGTGAGTGTGAGGGGCGGACGGGGAGAGGACCGAAGTCGATGCCCACGACTATTCGGGGATGATCCATTGCTGCGGGTGCGACGCAGATCGGGAGTTGGGGGTGGGGCGGCGGGGGGGATGTTGACCGACTCGATGTTGCAAAGGCACTCTACACGATGACTTCGTACGTGAAGAAGAGTTCGCACTTCGCAGAGGCTGGCGTTTCCACCGCAACAACACCTGAAGGCTGACACCGGTCACACAATATTGACAGCTGTAGCCGTCTAGGTATCGTGATTCATCTGCGTTGTGCAGATATCCAGCCGCATACATGTCCGCAGTGCCCAGCACCGGCCGCCGCCGAATCGGCGGGCCGCAGGGCGACAACGCTCTTCGTTACACGGATCTACCTATCCAGCTGACTACGTGGCACAAACCCGCAATTGGCCGAACAGGCCGATCACTCGTTCCGTCCGTTCTTGGCCCGTGTTCGCTTATTTCGCCCTGTTAGCAGTCGCACTCGATCTCTAAGAGACCAAGACCCCCCCCACTGCCGATCTTCAGCCAAGCTTCGGCCAAGCTTCGGCCAATCTTCAGCCATCAGAGAATGAGAGATCCGCAGTGTGTCACCGTCACATAATCCACGATGCGGCGGTGCCTGGGCGTGCATGCGCTTCATGCCGTACAACACGCCACCGCTGTAGGAGCCTAGGTACATAGGAGGCTGCGTTACATAGAGTGCGGTAAAAATGCAATGCCGGTGTCTCGGCGATGAGTCAATACCTAACGACTGGCACTGGCTGCGAGGTTGCGCACGTTTTACGTCGCTGTCAGTGGTCACTGTTAGGTAGTACATAAGTGAGTACATACCTCTCCGTCGCCGCGACCCCTCCGATTCGTCGAGTACCCATCGGTCCCATCCACAGAGTAAGAACATTAATACGGTGAACTAGGCATTTCCCCACGGGCCATAATAGCTATTCCGATCCGGAAGCGGAGGAAGGATCGGCCACCGAGTCGCCCTTCTGGACATTGCGCTACCTTTCCGTCCGAACAAAGAGCACAGTCAGCACCATGCAATGACGGTCATAGAGATGCACTTCCCGCTTCTGGACTCCGAACCAGCAGCGAGTCGCGACAGTTCGACGGTCTGAAGGAATCAAAGATCGCCGGCTACGGTCGACCATCCGGACATCGCGCTTTCGCGTCTCATCTTGATGTCTACAGTCTGCCGAAGGCTCAAAGCTGCTCCTAGCAATGGTGTGGCGGTGCCGGAGCAGAGAGATGCACCGGGGAGCAGGAAGAGAAGTCTGGAACTCGGAAGGAGTTGGATAAGCTGCGGGTGGTGAAGCCAGAGTGGATGGATGCACGGCTTTGCAGAAACATGCCATTGCGCGCGAGGCACTGAGGCAGCGGACTTGAGCGGAGTGCGCGCGCCGCGTGGAGGGATGTACCGGTGGCCGACTGGCGGCGAGGGAACGGACCAGTTACTGGAGATGAGTTCCTGGAGAACGCGGCGCCGCGATTGTAACTGCTTCTCCCCGCGACCCAATCACCGAGGCGAGAAGGCTGGTGGTGGTTCGCGCGCTTACGGGGAAAGGTTTTAGCCATTACGGCATGACATCTCACGGCGGCTGCAAACGAGTATCTACTATTCGGTAAGTCGGCATCGGTCGCCAGAGTCCCAAACTGTGGGAATCCAGAGTAGCGAGGCGGAGTTGAAGAAGGGCATGGCAGAGAAGGGTAGAGGGTGGGTCGGTTTGAAGTTTGAACCATGGCGCGCGTGTGGCGTGTGGCGTTTGGCTGAACAATCCATCGAGGAAGGAGGAAGCCCGAGGGGACTAGATTTCAGGGCAGTAGGGAAGCTCGGGAGTTCAAGGGATTCCCCGTTATATCTTGGATCGACTACCTAGGTATTTTCAACGACTGCAGTATGTGTAGGCGGAGGGATCATCATGTATGCACTGGACAGTGGAAGTTGCTGCGCCACTCACTATTGCAACGGAATCGGGATGTTGGAGTGGCTATCACCCAGACTATATATCCAGTCCGTCTCACCAGATGCCTAATATATCTATGTAGTAGTAGGGGCCCGAGTAGGTAGGTAGGATTTTAGAGGATCGAAGGGAGTCTAGAGCCAATAGTACTATTTACCCAAGTAAGTACACGCGCACTCCGACAGTTCAACCGGCAAAATACCGGTACGCACGTTTCCCGCGAAATAGGTAGGCCATTTATCCAGTCATTTCTTGCCATCTCAATTCTCGAGCTCGCCATAAGTAGACATAAGGATGCACGGGTCACGACCGATTCGGATACACCAGCGAACTTCTACATTACCGTATTCTCGGTGAGCGTGAACTACTAGTAGGCAGGTAGTTATTACAGTAGTGGCACCTGTATGAACTAGGTAGGCATGACGGCTGATTTTACCGGAGCTCGGAACCACTCGATGAGGGTGGCGGGACTGGGATCTACTACCGGTATTCTACATAGAGCCTACATACCTAGCCGCTGCAAGTTTACATCTGCTATAGATACTATAGTACTATAGGTAGTCTATTACCAGTTCTCCTCATTGGAAGCGCAGTCCACTACTACTACTACCTACTATCATGTAGGCAGACTGCAGTAGATACTTCTGGCAAACACGGCCAGCCGGATCGACCGGACCGCTACCGCTACCGCAGGTCCGCAACGCAGAACTGTCACCAAGCACAGTCAGCTCAGCTGCTGTGTTTGTATACTAGTACATGCGCGGCGCAGGTACTCCATATTGTGCATATGTAATTATGTATCTGCCGAACGACGGATGTCAGATAGTTAGACGCCCGCTGAAGCTTGTTTACCGCGAGACGATGATTTGATTCCTACTATTGTTCCTATTATAGTATTACCTATATTACCTAGTAGGAAAGGTGGTTCCTCGAATGGCGCCGTGCTCTCGGCTTCGCCACATCGTATAGAGTATATGTACCATAACTACCAGGTACTATAGTAGTTATCCCTACTAACTCTTGAAGCGTCGAACCGGCGTAGGCAGCAGTCACGTTTCAGGTCATTCATGTCATTCGGCAAGGGCGACGTTTCAATGTTCCATGATGGCCGTTGATAAATCTTGCCAAAACGTCAGCAGGAGGAGGCGTCAGTCAGACTCTTGGGGTCTTGGTTACCGGGGAATCGGAATATCGCCATGTCGTGATTCTTCCCGCAGGTCTCTGGTCGCACTGCCCACGGAATTCCATCGCTCCCAGATATTATTTACAGCTACTATGAGTACCGTAGGCTACCTATGATGCTCTGTATGAGGCTATGAGCTGATCAGCGATCGTTCGATGACTATAACAATTATTATTAGGTTAACCAATTGCTCGGCCAATCACCACCGTCCACACCGACCACGGGTGTTCGGTCCTGTGCAACCCTCGTAACCACCGGTCAACCAGAAGGAAATAAGCCTTCCTAGCGGCCCCCTCCCACCACGTCCCGGTCCCGGCCCCGGTTCGGTCCCGAGAAAACAACCTTACATAGAATGCCGCACAACCTTGGGGGCTCGCCTTCACGTTCTCCTTCTATGTAACTACCAATTTCACCCCGTACTTATGTCACTCTATATTGCATCCCGTCACAGGTAGATGGACCAAATCGACGTCTTCGCGACCACGCAGCTCGCCCTGATTTTCAGCTCGCTATCCAACACCGTATTCGATGCAGCTAGCCAGAATTCAGCAGGCAGTGCTCTCGTTGTTAGTGCCATGCGCACTGCACCGCACCCTCCAAAACCAAAATCGGAGCTGTGTAGCACACGCATATCCTACACCCACCCACACGCATCACCCCGCGCTCCCATCTTCGCACGCGCAGCGCCCACCCCCTTCCAACTGCCCCAGTCTGGCCCTCCCTGCAATTACCCTGCGCGCCCTGCCGGTGAGCCTTGCGGTGCGCTGACGCCTAGACACACAACATGTCTCCTCCTCTGGCCCCATCCCTCGAGACGACTACATCCTGCCTACTATTCTACGTACCACCACCACCATCATCACCATCACCACCACCTCCGAGACTGCAATGCGGCGAATGTTCCTGCCACACTCCTACTCGCACATAAACTGACTGTCGTACGCGCACGATCCGATCCATGACTACGAAATCGCACAGGCGCCGGTGGAGCCTCTTCGGCGGCAGCCCGCCAACACCACCACCAATGCCAGCGCCGGACTCACAATCACCGAACCATAACCAGAACCAGAGCCAACCGTCGACCTCCGCGAGGAAGACACTGACGAAGCGGCCTTTCGACAGCCGAGGGAACTCCCCGCCTGTTGCTGCAGGAGGCCCGTCGGGAACGCGAGACCTGTCCACACTGGCCGAAGAGGAAGAGGACAGGGACAAAGGGAGGTTTTTGGGAATGCGGCTGTGGAGAAGGGGGGATACTAAGGCGGCTTCGGCGGAGAGTGTTGTTCCGCAAGCGGTGGATGGCGCGCATCCGGACGCCGCAAGGGCGATTGCGTCGACGACGATGACGCATGGACATGTCGTACATGGGAATCCGCAGGATACGACCGAGCCCCCGCCGGCGACGGTGGTGACTTACGATGAGGACGCGGGTTGGACACGGACGATGGCGTCGCAACCCCCCGCCTCCGCGCCGCTGCCGCCGACGTCTCTCGCGCCTGAAGCGAGCGCCTACATGGCGTCCATGGCAGACCTCGCTAGGAGATCGTCCTCGACCGCACCGGCTGCCCCGCAGGTACCGTATTCGCAGCAGAATCGACGGAGATGGTCCGAGACTCCGGCTTACTTGGGACCGGCGGTGCCCGTGGAAATAGTTGCGATGCCAGATGTCACACAGTACATACCGCCGCGGCAGCGGAAACTGCAACCACCGTCGCTGGTCCCGCTGGCGGAGGGTCCCGTTCAACCGGGTATGCCGCCGCGCAGACCACCACAGATTCCGCCGGCGGGCACTCCTATGCCATCCCGACCGGTAAGCATCGTAGATGCTCCGGTGGTCTCGACCGTTCCACTTCCGCCCAACTTGGTATCCCAAGCGAGTGAGCCAATAGTTCCGAGGGTTCCGTGGCCAACAGAAGACCCAGCGATACCGGACCCATATCTTATTTCCCGCGCGACCGAGCCAGTGATTCCAACCTACGACCGGCCGCCTTCGACTGGACCCAAACCCTCTCTATCGCCCGCTTTCAACATCGCTCCACCACCCCTCCCCAACAACTCTCTGCCCAACTCGCATGCCCGGCGTCACACATGGGTAAACATACGTCCGGTTCTCGCCGACCTCCACGAGGAGCATGCGCACGATGCATTCAGGGTGGATACACAGTCCCGAAGGCGACAACCTTTCCTCGACGCCCACATGGAAGAGCAGGACCCCCGACATCACGCACCTGGAAACACAACCCCAACGCGCAATTCGCTCGACAGCGGCCGAGGCACCAGTCAAACATCGACACCAAAAAGTGCGAACCGTCGGCACAGCATGACGTTGGACAGCCCCGGCGGATCTCTCGCGCAGCCACAAGACGAGCGGTGGGCGCAGGAACAAGATGAACGGCGCGCGCAGATGGAAGGATTCGGAGAGCTGCCCAAGTCCACAGCTCGGGCTTCCGTTCCGATGCCGGCGTTTGCCGTGGGCCCGCCGGTGGCCGTGTCCAGACCCTGGGAGCCGGAGCTGGGACCACTGACGTTCCACGGAAAGAGGTTGGAAACTACACCACTCGCCCGATCCGCCTCGCAGATTGCACGCCCGGCAGAGCTGCATTCCGATCATATCCCCGCTGTGCGCATAGGGAATGAGGCTGTCCCTTCAGCGCTGATTCCTGGCCGCCACAATAAACGGAGGGAAGCGACCGAGGTGAGGATTGAGGATGTGAGGGCCCCAGAGACCCCGCATCCGCTGAACCGCGAGGATCTGGCTACAGCCGATCTCGAGGACGCGGTACCGTCGGTGAGGGAAAATATCACCCGGAGGCAAACGGAGCCCGTGCCGATATTACCTTCGCAGTCGGAAGTTGGGAGAAGTGTCCGGCCAAGAGCTGTCACTAGCGTCACTATGCCACCTTCCCTCACAGTCATACCACCGTCTCCGCCGGCACCTGTCACTCCTACTTTTGCCCCGGAACTGTATGGGCGGCATTCCGAGGAGCAGAGCAGTCTGGGACAAATGGTTCAAGGAGGTTTAGGGGCATCATCATCTTCGACTGTTCCGCACGAAGAGTCCATGACAGAGACTGCCACCCAGGAATCATCTCCGCAATCCCGCATCGTGAGCAGATCTGGATCTCCTATGGGACCTGCACCGGCCGTACCGGTCTACACTCCGCCGCCTGCACCACCACCACCGTCCCTTCCACCGATAACACCGCCGACTCCAGGCACTCCCTCCACTGCTACCTGGACTAGCGCTTCGAGTTCGGTGGAGGATCTTTTATCACTGGAACCTGCGCCTGTGCTTGTGCCTCCGGAACGAGCTCCGCCCCCACCCCCGATGGTGGATGCGGAACCATCGCCCCCTCTGACACCAACGAAACCGCCGCCCATGGTACTGACGAGGACATCGCCTGTTACGAGTTTCGTCATGGAGCCTCCCGCCGTCGAAACGTTTGCGCCGAAAGTGGTGACCCCATCCGCGCAGACCCCTGCACCTCCGACCGCAGGCCCCCCATCCCCTCCTACCAGGGCGCCCCCGCTCCCCCCAAACAGGGTGCCCCCACCCCCTCCCACTAGGGCACCGCCAGCTCCACCTCCACGTCGCGGTACTCGCAGAAAACTCCTGGCAACACCTGAAGTCACCTCGCCAACCAAGACACCACTGGATGCTACTCAGACCACATACCCGCTGCCTTCTAGGCCTCCCCCACCGCCACCTTTACCACATAAACAATCAAGCACATCACCATCACCATCCGCCACCCCAACCCGAAAACCTTCAGCAGCCCCGTCAACCCCCTCCCCAACCTCCCCACCTGCTCCCTCACCCCCACCGCGCCCACCCGCAATAACCGTCCCACTGCAACTCTACCCAGTCGGAACGTGGCCCTCGGCCCCCCGGCTCCCAGAATCGCCAGCCCTGCCCCTACCCATATCCAATCCCACCAATCTCACCAATCCCGCCAGTCCCACCAGTCCCACCGACCCCACCGCGCCCCCACCGCTCCCGCCAAAACCACTCCCCTACCTCTGCAAGCACTCGGCAGAAGAGCCAACCGCTACAGAGCTCGCTGCTGTCATCGATACGTTCGCGCCCCCGTCGCCGATGTCGTTCGGGGGCTCGAGTGATGGCGGGTATCACTCACGCTCTCGCGGTAACTCTCACTCGCGGTGTAATTCGGGTTCGAGCGGGGATATACCGCCACCGCCGCCGCCGACAGCACAAATGGGGGCCGAGTTACCGGCGGAGACGTTGCAGGTGCTCCCGTTCCGCGGTGCGGCGAATGGAAGCGCGAACGGGAATAGGAACGCGAATGGGAACGGGAATGGGAACTCGCACGGCAATAGCGGCGATCGGTACCACCCCCACCCGCAGCGGAAGACGAGCAGGCGCACGCGGCTGCGGAATGCGCTTGCTGAGGCGAATGCTGGGCAGGATGGGCTCGTGCAGGGTGAGGGGGATGGTACGAATGTGGTCCTGGGGCAGGCGGGACAGGAGCGGGTGGGGCAGGAGCGCCCGGTTAGGAGGGAGATGACTGTTGGACGGAAGGCGGTGGGTGGGAGTGGGAGGGGGGTGTAATACGTGAGGACTGGGGACGCGGGGACTGGGGACTGGGGACTGGGGAATAGGGAATAAGGAATGGGGAATGGTGACTGGGGATGTGGGGATGTTGGGAGTTGTTATCATAGCTTTTTTTTTCACGTACGAGCCTACGGGGGAGCTGAGAGATGGGAGATTGTATTTACTTAGATTTGGGGGTTCTGTTTGGACTCTGTATGTACTTATTTATTTACTGTTTTATAGGTTTATATGAGAGTAATTTGAGTGCGCACCGGGAAAAGTCGTGGGAAAGCACTCGGTACTATAGTTTGGCTTAATCCCGTGGGATCCCGTTGAGCGGTTGAACAGATGAAGTTTGAACACCGACAACTGCAATCGACAGCAGTACACTTCAGATGACTGGGACTGGGAAGCACGAACATGAATACGAGCACACAGCCATTCCTAGTATCAAATCCACCCGTCCGCTCGGCATCAAGAATCAGGAGAGGATGACAGGATGACAGGCCACATGATCGAGCAAGCCACTAACCTGTGACTCAGCCTGGCGGACTCTGGTTCGGGAATGCATCATATGATCGTACTCGACCTTGGACCTCGCGGGGAGCTGGATATATTTGCTGTGACTGCTCGGTTGCTGGTTACTGGTGGACGATATATCATGGGATTATGGCGGGTAAGGGATATATTGGTACGTGTAGAGAACAAGAATAAGAGCCTCGAGAGTCGATAGTGAGGGAGCTGGGGGTAAACCGTAAATGTCCGTACGGTCACGTGATCAAGCGACAAGTGATCTACCAGGTACCCAACATGAAGGTATTTAAGAACATTCCGCCAGAATTCAGATTTGCATGAATAAGAATTAGTCACAGCTGATGCTATGTACCGAAGATAGGGCAGCAGCACGTACGGACACGTGTGTGCGGATTATGGTTTGCTGTTAGCAGCAGCGGCGGCATGCATGCTCATCCTCCACTAGGTATGATACCCATACAGCAGGACAATTGTTCCAACTTCGAACGGATGCCTTGATAATTGGATTCATCCTGATTCCTCGTTCACGGTGGACGTGGCGATAGCGATAGGGTTCGCACACGCAGCACGCAACAAGCAGGGCGCAATTGGATGTGCTGAATGCAGACAGCTAGATTAAACGGTGTGGAAGTTGGCCGCTGATGTGTGTCTGTGCCAGTGCGACGTAGACAGACTACCTACTAGGGCAACAGCGAGAGAACCCCGCCTTACCCTACCCTAGAAGTGAGCCCCACCATTGCTGCTACCACCCCACTGCCTCATCTCACCTTCCTTCCTTCCTTCCTTCCTTCCTTCCCTCAACAACACCACTTCCTCTTGTTTCCTATGTTCAACCCTTGAACCGCACACCTTCTATTCTTCTCTTGTCTGATTTTCAGCCTCACATTGGTAACGATCAACTGTTGCCGGCTCGGATGGCGATGTCAGCCGCTTGCGTGGCCGAAGTAAGTACTCATCTCTATCCATCCTTCGCCCTTCCGCGCTCTCTCCCTCCCTAGACCCCTACACATACACACAATCTCCCTTTCCCCAGCTCGGCGTATTTAGTCCGCTGAGTACAGCGTGGAGATTTGTTCTCCATAGCCCACTGCTGGCAACAGCCTGTTTATGTCGCTGCTCTCGGACTGGATCCTTAGGCTAAGTGGCGCACTGGCGCTATCTTGAAGAACAGCTACCATACCACACAACACGTGTGGCGTGGAGAACTAGCCAGCTTGAAGAATGCGGTGAATAATCTCTGATTTTCTGGCAGGCAGAATACGTGCTTCTCAATTCCAACGGCCTCCGGGCACCAATCGACAGCTCCTTCAGCTACCTCCTCCCACAACAGCTTTCATGCCTTGTGGCTGGTTCGCGCAACAGGGCTACGACTCCGGGCCTCGCTGGTCCAGCTGGAAAATGCACCAACACCCGAGCGGTGGGTATCCAGACGGTTCGGGCGGAAACATCACTAAAATTGACTTGCGAGTAAGAACGGTGGAACCAAGAGCCTCGGGAGTCTGATGCAGCCTGCGGGGGATTTGGTGATTTTTTGGAAGAAGCAGCGAGTTTATTACCCTCGTCTGTCTGTCTGTGATGGCACTAGAAATCTCAAGCATAGATGCTATGTTAGCAGACGGCAGAGGTTGAACGAGTGTTTAGCAGTGCTAAACTCATGGTGACGGACTACTGGTATGAGCTGAAGCCGGGGATCGTTGAGGGTTGAGGCCGGTGAATGTTGGCGGTAGTGCCGTGCTTCCGTCGCGCCACTGTGCACCGGGTTTTCTTGGTAGCTGTGTGTTTTATGTACTGTTTTTGTTCTCTGTTTTCTTCTGTCTTTCTTGAGGCCGTTGGCGGCGTGGGCCTGTTTCCTATCTACCTAAAGTATCTACTCTTTTTTCTGTCCTCGAGGAAGCGGGCTGATACGTGATCAAACTTTTTACCATGTAGGTAGGTACACTGCTATATTCGCTATGGCAGAGGCGAAGACCAGACTGGGATTGGCTATGGATGCGCTCGTGACCGCAGAAGAGGAAAAAGACGATCAAAAGCCAGGCTTTCGATACGTTCTTGGAGGCGTACAGCAAAGGCATGTCGCAACCATTGGACCAGCGGCGGGAATATCTTCACGTATTATGTACATAGACAACACAGGGAATGCGAACAAGATCCAACTTCAAACCCACTAGAAAGAGTAGTTAGGGAGGAGACTTCGATTATGGGGGCGAAGTGTCGCAAGAAAAAAGCGATAGTGACTAAGTGACGACTCCAATGGGACTCTCGGTAACCACCCGGCACTCGCGTATGAGCGATCAACCGTCCGTCCAGTCTGTTTACGAGGATGATCGAGACCCGTTGTTTGTAGGATACCTACGGTGCATCTTTATCATTATCTCCTTGATCCGTCTTCTCATTCTCCTTCACAGACTCATTTCTCCTTGCGGTGCAGAATTAGGACTCGAGTGATGAATTATGACGATGGTGGAGATAAGCCCATGGGCCCTCATAATTCACCTATACATACCGAAACCCAGTCGCTCCAGTCCATCATACATATTTACCGCAAGCCTACTATGCACGCGATAAATGTTCATACACCTGCCGCCTCCACTACGGCGAGCCATTCCCAGGGATGGTTATCACTATCCGAGTCCCTACAGTGAACCATCCCGAGATGCAGTACGCATCGATGCTCGGTTCTTATATAGCAAGGGAAGACGGCGGATTTATCGGCGAGGTCCATATCGACAGACCCCCTCGGGGCGGAGACCATCTCCCGAGCCCGGCTGCTGGGTGGAAATCCTAGACGCGGAACTACTTATCTTCTTCCCCACTGTTTCTGACTCCAATCCTCTTGGCTTTCTCTTGACCGCAGATGCTTCACTCCAGAGATTATTTCCGTGATGAGCCACTCTTCCGCCACCACCACCGGGGAAACACAAACAACCGGTGCGAATTCCGTGTCCGATGCCCAGCCACATTAATATCACTCGATAAGTTTTGGGGTGATAATGGAAACGATCGCGGAATGCACTCGGCCAATATAATGCAGGGACTGGTCACCCCCCGTGTCCCGGATGGCCAGCGGGGATGAGGGCGGATCGAAGGTGGTGCGCTTACAGCCGGAGAGACTCGAGAGCTATCCACGAGCGAGCGGTGAGCGCAAGGAAAGGTGAAGCCGCACTTCTTAAGGAGCGATATGTAGCAATGCCTGGTGCAGTTTCTTGGCGACGACACACCTCTCGAGTCTCCCGGGTTGCTGGGGGCATGGGAATGGACCGGTTGCTGAACCTGGAGACAAAATGGTATCAACTTTCCGAAGCTCTCGGGAAGTAAAAGAGAGAACGAACCTACTGGAAAGTGATTATCGCGATTGGATCTGATAAGAAAGATCGTAGTTATAAGCGCGTATGTAGAGTAGCGTTGCTTGGCGACTGGGGGTTGACGTGGCGATAGAGCAGAGCAAGGAGACAGCTAGGAGATTCTACCCAGTTCACCACCATAACTATCGTCGGTTGCCCTCTTTGCGCGTGCCCATCGTCATCGCCGTAGCCATCGCCGCTTATTGCCGTTCATCCATCGCACGAAAAAAGTTCCCCCGTCCCGCAAGCCAAAGCCATGAAGCAAAAAGGCAAACGTGAACCCGCGCCCTCGGGCGTCCACCACCGCGAGACGACACGCGACGAACGGCTGCGGATCATCGCGCTGCGCGAGAACGCGCACTGGAACTGGTCACAGATCGAGCGGGAGCTCGGGATCGGCCGGCGGACGTGCCAACGGATCTATGAGCGCTGGAAGGTGGACGGCACTCCCTCGAACCGGAAGCGGCCCGGCAGACCGGTCATCTTCGACGACGAGGAGAAGGTTAAGCTCGAGGCTTTCGTTACCCGCGATAAGGGCACGCGACGCGTCAGCTGGGAGGATGTAGTACGAGAGATGGGGTATGCGTGCTCTGCACGTACGGTGCAGAATGCAATGCAGAAGATGGGGTATACAAAGAGTGTGCCGAGGAAGAGATTCCATGTCAGTGCCGAGAATAAGAAGAAGCGGGTGGCGTGGTGTCAAGAGCGTCTGCACTGGACGAGGGAGGAGTGGAAGCGGGTAATCTGGACGGACGAATGCTCCTTCTCGACATCTGGCTTTGGGGCGGGCCAGCCGTGGGTTATTCGTAAAGCGGACGAGGAGTATCATTCCGACTGCATCGATGAGAACACTCCCTCCAGTGGCCGCAATTCCCAGATGATCTGGGGAGCTTTCTGCGGTACTACCAAGTGCGAGCTCGTCGACATCCCCGGCAAAGCGAAGGTCGACTCCCTAACGTATGTACGCACTGTCCTCGAACCCGCACTGGTTCCCTTTTGGCAGCGGTGTTGCGAGGAGTACGGGTGGGCGGTTGTGCAGGAAGACAACGCTCCAGGACACAAAAAGCACGCGATCGAGTATAGGCAGTTGAACGGGATGGAGGCTCTGGACTGGCCAGCGCAGTCGCCAGATCTGAACCCTATGGGGGTGGTGTGGGAAAGGATAGAAACGGAGCTGGGGGAGATTTGGGGACGAGTGTCGGATATTGAGACATTGAAGTTGTGTATACAGACTGCCTGGGAGAAAGTGATTACGGAGGAAGTTCTGTATAGGCTGGTAGAGGGTATGCCGGCTCGATTACAGACTGTTATTGACGCTGGAGGCAACCCGATACCATATTAGGTAGATGGAGACCGACTGGGTTGGGAGAAGGTGATTACGGAGGAGGTTCTGTATAGGCTGGTAGAGTGTATGCCGGCTCGATTGCAGCTGTCGTTGACGCTGGAGGCAACCCGATAACATATTGGGTACTCTGATGGAGACTGACGTGGTGGCGACTACTTTTTTTCCATGATAGCATTCATTCATCATCACTCACTCATGTTATGTGAACGGTTTAGAGTGCCTCACAATAATTACAGCTTAGTGCTTACGCTCGCCTACACATTGAAATAGAGGTGGTCATGCAGATCTACTTTACTCGAACCTCCAGGCTTCATTGACGATGCACTCTGACTGCTTGTCAACACTTGAATGCCCTTCTTTCTTCCTTTGTCGTGGCCTTCCTAGAGTATTCGTCTCTTTCCAACACCTACCTAGGTATTTTCTATGTTTCCTTCCACGACCTCTCTTGAGTCAACATGAGCTGCTAGGAGTTTTTGCGGTGGCAGATAACTATCACTGGATTCATGTCGGACCAAGGTGTCTATTCGCGCTGCCAAGATACATAGAGGCAGGTACAAGAGGAGAAATAGGGAGGGGGGGTTTCGCAGACTTTACGACCAGAAATAGGTCATTCCAAATTTGATCGTCGAATTCCTCTCCTATATGGGTATATACCCCTCTATATACCCCCCACCCCCCCCACGGTGTCTGAAGAACACTTCCGACTCCCGACGTGCGCGGGTGACGGCTACTCGTTGACGGTTGTATGGCACTCGGTACTATTTGTGCGCGAAATATGGACCTATCGAAAGTCATGGATCGGAATCAGAGACATCAGACATCCATCCGCAACGGCACCGGCACCGGCCCGGATCCGTGGTTTCTGTGTATTAGCTACCCACGTGTACAGCAACTACGGTAACTAGTGGTGCCAGGTAATCGGGAGGATATATATATATGTGGGCACTTCGCGAGATGGCCAGTCGCACAAACATATCATAGAAGACGCGGAATATTCGGCGAGTGAGACAGTGTAGGTACTGGCAGTGTAATAGGGAATACTACTATATAGTGACATAACTATAGGTACCTGAAGCTCTGGCTTACCTACCATGTATGTACCTAGGCAATCGAGTAGGTTCTCATAAGTGCCAAAGTAGGTCCTGGAGTAGGTGCTAAAGTATCGTAGGTACTGAAGCCGTATTCTCGGTTGTGAGCAATGCGGGATTCAAACCGGGAATCTCTTCCTTCCAAGTTCCAATCCAAGCCGCCCGGGAGATTGAATGGTGAAACGGAGGGGGGAGGCGGCACAGCCTTCTTGGCAGGAGCCAGCGAGCTAGGTAGCTGGGGCGGAGGGTTTCGGTCAATTTCCTTGAAGGCTGTCACTACATGTCGTCTACTTTCTTTGGATCCTTCAGTCGCTCATCGGGTGGATTGTTGCGGCGAGCTCATCTGTCTGCGGATAGAATTCGGTCGTGGAAGCTGCCTTGATCTTCCCGAGGCGTCTGGAATACGCGATGAAGGAACAAAAATCAAACGTCTGAGAAATCCAAGTCTGGGTGCGACGTCATCAATCGAGTGAGAGTGCGTGGCCCCATTGCCCGTGATCCTCCAAACTAAGGAAGTAGCCCTGTCAACCGACATCCCACTACCCAGACTTTCCGAATCCCCATTCTGCACCCCACGTGCGCACGCTACGGCGTATCTACCCGCCTCTTTCTTTTCTGGTCGCACTCTCGAACAGGCCAAATTGTTCCCTCGTTCCCTCGTGGTCGCACCACGGAATCCGCCGAGAGAAAACGTTCCTGTCGCACGTGGCGTCTGGCCAATCGGAGGGGGCGCTTGGCGCACGCGGAGAAGGCGACATGGGGGTTTGATAGATGGCAGATATCGACCGAGGGGTGATCGGCAGCTCGCTTTAGGCAGCTCAGAATATGCATCGCGATTTGTATGCAGAGTAGGCTGGGCGGGCAAGTTCCAATTGAGCATGTGCGAGACACCGACTAGTTCGAGTAGAGTAGAGAGTACCTACAGACGCATGTAGGACGGCCAATCGGTCGTGGAGGAGGGGCTTCTCTTAAAAGCCTCCACTGTCCGCCCACCGAGCTGTGTTCGTTGTTGCCTTCTCCGTCTTCCTCCTCTACCCGCATCCTTCACTGTACACCTTCGGTCAACATGTTCAATTTCAAGAGCTTGTTCGTCATCGCTTTGGCGGGGTTCACGGCGCTCTCCAGTGCTGAGGACCACGGAAAGGGTAAGGGAAATGGAAAGGGAAATGGAAAGGGTTACGGGAAGGGTCCCAAGAACTTCATCATGGTATGTTCTCTCTTATTGTCCTGAACATTGGTTGATTCATGCTGACTCTTCTCTGTCCAGGTCGTCCCTGATGGATTCGGTATCGCCAGTGAGACTATGGCTCGCGACTACGTCCACTGGACCAACAACGGCACCACCGTGATGCCCATCGACGAGATGGTGATCGGTCTCGTCCGCACCAAGGCCACCGACAGCTATGTCACTGACTCTGCTGCCTCCGCGACCGCCTACTCGTGCGGAATCAAGTCCTACAACGGTGCCATCGGTGTCGACGACGACATCATCCCCTGCGGAACCGTCCTCGAGGCCGCCCACCTCAAGGGAATGAAGACCGGTCTCATCGTGACCTCCCGCATCACCCACGCCGTGAGTGATCCCATTACCATTGAGTGCTGCATGACCCTGACTGTGATGATAGACCCCCGCCACCTACGCCTCCCACGTCTGGGACCGTGACCAGGAGGCCAACATCGCCCTCCAGGAGATCGGCTACGCCCACCCCCTCGGCCGCACCGTCGACGTCATGATGGGCGGAGGCCGGTGCTTCTTCACCCCCAACACCACCGCGGACTCCTGCCGTGACGACGGCATCGACGCGCTGGCGCTCGCCCGCGACCTCGGCTACACCGTCATCACCGACCGCGCCGGCTTCGACTCGAAGCAGAAGCTCCCCTACCTCGGCCTCTTCACCGAGGACCACATGTCGTACGAGGTCGACCGCAACCCCGCGATCGAGCCCTCCCTCAAGGAGATGGCTCTCAAGGGCATCAACGACCTGTACCGTGCCACCAAGGACTCAGACGAGGGTTTCTTCGTCCTTGTCGAGGCCAGCCGCATCGACCACGCCGGCCACGCCAACGACGCCGTCGGCCACCTGCACGACATCCTCGCGTACAACGCGGCCATGCTCGCCATGCGCGAGTGGATCGACGAGCACGAGGAGGACTCGCCCACGATCCTGATCTCGACCGCCGACCACGAGTGCGGCGGACTGACCGTCGGCTCGATCCAACTCGATGGCGCCCCGGACTACTGGTACGCCCCGGAGCACTTCGCGGCTGCGAAGGCCACCCCCGGCCCGCTGTCTAAGCTATGGCAGGCCTACTCTGGTAGCACTCCCAAGTCGTACCTGAAGACGGCCATCTTCGCCGCGCACGGCATCGCCGTCCCCACCGAGGAGGAACTCGTCCAGGGTCTCGCCCTGAAGAACGACACCTCCGCCTTCCAGGAATTCCTGTCCGCATCCATGTCCGCCCGCCTCGGCGTGAGCTGGTCCACCGGCGGCCACACCGCTGCTGACGTCACCCTCTTCGGCTGGGGCAAGGGCTCCGAGAAGTTTTCTGGCTCGCGCGAGAACGCTGAGGTCGGCCTCTTCGTTGCCCAGCAGCTCGGTCTTGACCTCGAGCGAACACAGGCACTGCTGCGCAGGAATGAGACGTGGGAGAAGGAGTGGGTCCGCCCCCCTGTGTCGCTGGAGAAGGTTGCGAGGAGGAGTCTGGGACACCACCATCACTAGATTATTAGATCGAAGGGCAGTGTGTCTGTGTAGGAAGATTGGCGTCTTTATTGTTTATTTGCAAAAGGGCTAGTCTGTATGAGTAGCTTCGTATATAGAGTGTTTGGGTTAGAGCGTAATGTTTAACAGTCGAATTTAATGGAGTCAAAAGCCAACTCAACACCATTGCATTTGTACGAGTGATGTCACGTGAATGACTAGCACAACAGCGGGGCCGGAAGGTCACAATCAAAATTCAGATTCACAGAATCGACCAATCAAATGTATTCCCTGCGGCCGTTGAACACTAAGATTACAAGTAAAAGACTAGCTTCGTAACGGAGATGTACTTGCTAGAAACCATCGCAACCCAACCCCCCCCCCCCCCCCCCCCCCCCCCCCGAAATTCTTTAGAAAACAACAAGATTGTCACACAATCAATCACAATCAATCAGAAACAAACAAACAAACAAACAACCACATCTCCCCCCGGTACCTTTTCAGTTCATTACTTCCCCTCGTTCTCGCTGTTCTCAGTCACCAGCTCCCTCCAGCTGGCACATATCCAGTCCCAGAAGCCCCTCCACTTCTGGCCGCCCCTCTCCGCGCCGACCTCTCTATGCACGACAAGCGCCGTCTTGACCACTCCCCTAACGCCCTCAGCGTGGCGCTCCAGCTCCTGCTTGACCGCATTCTCCTTCGGCTTCTCCATGAGCACCTTGCGGATGGTATCAGCGATGGAGTCGAGTCTCCTCGCCGTCTCTTCCTTAGCCAGAACCGCCAGCTTAGCGAGCATGAGGTTCGCGAGGGCGCGGATATCGTGGTCGTCCGCAATACCGGCGATGACGCGCGAGAAGTAGACGTCCAGTTCGATATTATGGAACGACGTCTCTAGCAGGGCGTACAGGGTTTCGTAGGCAGATTTGCGGACCTCGAGGCCGTCGTCGATGCGGTGGCGGAACGGGCCCATCTGAATTTCGCGGACGAGGTCGGGCTTGATGACGGATTCGGAGTAGACGCGCGGGAGGAGCCGCTCCAAGCCCGGGCCCGCGAGGAGGTGCGCTTTGTTGGTCGCCGCGCTGTTGAGCGTGGTGAGTGCGAGCCGCCGGTTGTCGAGTTCCGAGTCTTGCAGCATTGTGTCGAGGAAGTCGACAACGGTGGGGCGGAGAAGCTCGTCGTATTTCGTGTCCGTGTCCGTGAAGGTATAACGCAGCGCCGAGATCACCAAGCCCCGCACCACCGACTGCGGCGAAGTCATGTGTTTCTGCAGCTCGGGCAGGAACGAGTACGGGTCCAGGATAATAAGCCGACCCACACACTCAGCAGCCACAGCTTTCGCATCATCGTTCGTAACAGCGGTGGAAAGCAGTGTATTCCACATATCGTTGGTGTAAGACTTCAGGCTATCCGCCGACGAATGTGTGATGATCTCCTTGAGCGAATGGACCAGGAGATAACTATCATTTCCATCCTGCAGCCTCTTCATGATGACGGGAACAAACTTGTCGACATTCCCAGCACCAGCGAGACCCAGCGCGACAGCCGCGGCGATAGGAACATTATCCGAATCGTCCCCGAGCTGTCCGAGAAACTTCTCCGGCGGAACGTCAAAGTCCTTGCCCATCCGGAGCCCAATCTCTCCCAGAACTATCAATCCAAGACACTTGCGACCAGAATCGCGCGCAGTCTCGAACTCCTCGACAAAGTCTTTGACACCGACAATGAAGCCGCCCTTGTCACCGCCCCCGCAAACAAGCAGCTGGGCAATGACCTTGCCGACAGCACTCATATCTCCCGTAACACCGACTTTCTTGAGCAGTTCCTCCATGAGCTTGCGCTTGCCCTTCTTATCCTCCTCTCCAATCGTGCGGACGAGGCTGAGCAGATTCTCGAGTACCAGCCCAGAACCCAGAGGAAACTTGACAAGGTTGCAAATACCATTGATGACCTCGAACGAGATTGTGATACCGTTCGGATTGATGATCATGAGCCTCAAGACGGCAATAGCTAGGGCAAGAAGCTGCATATCTCCCACGACCAGCAAAGGCGTGAGCACCGCAACCAACTCGCTCTTGCTGGCCGTGTCCATCTGGTGCAGCAGGGCCGGGTTGGAAGCGATGCTCTCGAGCGCGACCAGACTCGCTGCACGGAGCGACCGATTCGACTTGCGGAGCTGGGCACCCAGCTCGGTGACGACCTTGCGAACCCACTCTTCGCTGATTGATCCATCATCGCCGGCAGACCTAGCGATGTTATCGATAGCACGGGCGGCACTAGCACGGGTAGTCTCGTTCTTCAGGCGTTCGAGCAGGACGTCCAGAGCGTGACGACGGGATTCGGCCGAGAGAGTACCAGCCTTGCCGCTGGTTCTGCCGAGCAAGATGCTCATCGTGACGATGGCTTTCTCGCGAACCTCCAGATCCGTATCCGCATTCTCGACCTTCTTGATTATCACCTGGTACAGCTGCTTAAGGTGTTCGGCGTAGGCGGGGGCTCCAGGCGAAGTCAGTAGTTTGGCGATTGAAGCGACAGTGCCCAAGGCTTCGAAGGAAACCTTATAGGCAGTCTCGTTAACGGCGGCGCAGACAGCCGGAACAGCGGCCGCCAGGTATGGCTCCACGGCTTCGAGAGAGTGGTTATCGAAGATCTTGGAAAAGAGGCGGAGAACCTCAATTCTAACACTGGCACCTGTCGCAGTGGCAGCGCTGCCGCCAGGCGCAGACGCCACAACAACATTACCACCGGAAGCCAGTGCATTACCTCCACCAGCAGCGTCGACGAGAGCATTGATGAAGATGTTCAGCGAGCTCTCAAACTTTCCGTGCAGAACCGAGACAGCCGCTGAAATCAGAACGATGCTTGCCTGTTTAGTCGGAAGCGTAATGGACTTGTTGTTGAGCAGTTTTCCGACAGACTTGGATAGCCGAGGAACCAATTGGAAAAGGCTGTCCCGAACACCGTGCTCATCCACCGACGGCACTTCCAGGGCCATATCGGTATCCATCATCGAAGCGTCCGATCCACGTCTCTTCTTCGGCGGCGGAGCCATCGTGCCCGCAGCACTGCTCAGAGCTGGCCCACAGGTGATCGTGCCATCTGCAACCTCTCCCGTCTTCTTCACCAGCACGATGGCCGTAGCGAGGATCTCGAGTCGAACGTTCTCTTCGCGCTCATGGAATCTGTCGATGAGGAGCGGCGCCACCTTTTTGTACGCCAACCCGCCTCCCTCGCCGGATCCCCGGATCAAGTCGCCGGCCCTAGTCGCGAGAACAGTCGCCAACAGCTTTGCCGCGCACCGCCGGACCTTCCATGATATGTCGTCTTCGTCCGAGAAGTTTCCATCGTCTTCAAAGGTGTCATCATCGTCGCTTCCACCAAACTCTCCATCGTCGTCATCTCCACCGGCAGTACCGCCCATTTCCTCGTCGTCATCGCCCGGATCGGCGTAGTTGGGGTCGTACTTCAGGAAAACAGTGCCGGCGTTGAGAAGGTCGTCGGTGAACTGCTTCATCTCCTCGGTGCAGCAGCTCTGGAAGCTCTCCAGCGCCACCAGCGCCACCTCGCGAACCTCGTCCATCTCCATATCCGGCTCATCTCCCAAATCACGGTTCTCCAGATCCCGACCGTCTACAACCGAAAGGATGAATGGGCACAGTGTCTTCAGATACGGACCGAACCGCTCTGGGATTCCGCGAGCGAGCGAGCCAGTAACCGAGATCAACAGCCGCAGACGGCCCGGATTGACATGCTTGCTCTCGGCGCGGAACGACTCGATGAGGTGGTTGATGAACGATGAGAGCAACTCGTCCGGTGCATAAACGCAGAGTAAACTCAAGGCCGTAACCGCCCTCTTCTTGATGACGCCGCTGGTCCTCTCGCTCTGGACCAAATTCATGACCGCAACTTGCAGTCTCTCCACTTCGGCTCCGGACATGATGGACCCAAAGCAGCGGACAGTCTCGATCAGCAAGTCGACACTGTCCAGCGTAGCACCAGCGGTAGCCTTCCCGCTCTCGCCCCCATCCGGCTTGAGAAGTATCATCAGCTTGGGTATTAGCGTCTTCTGCACGGCAGTGACCGATGTCTGGATTGCCTGTTGTGTGGCCTCCGGCCGAGCCATTGTACTGGGGGCGGCGGCATGTGCTTGGTGCAGTGCAGCGATGGACGCCAAGTTCATTCCCGGCGAGGCATGTGGGCGCGGGAGGTTCGTGATGATGGTTCGCAGCGCGGTCGAAGGGATCGACGGGTCCTGTGAGGTCATTGACAGCGTAGCGAGCCTGTCGATAAGCGGGCCGATCTGGTTTTCTTTGACTTTGAGGACGAGAGGTCCCAAACTGCCCTCTATTAGCTTCATTCAATCCCCGCGATAGGGGTATTATGAGTACCATTTAACCGCAAGATTCTGCACCTCGCCATTCGCATCGTCTAGAGCTTTCACGACCGCATCTATGAGCTTGCTCATGGTTCCGGGGTCTGTCTGGCTGAAGCTCAGGTTCTGCGTGAGCATCGCCAACAGGTCGTTTAGTGACATGAAGCGGAAGTCGCTGTCCGGGTTGGACATCTTATCCAGTAGGCTCTGCAGCGCGTAGGCGGCGGGGGCCGACATCGTGGCAATGCGATGATGGGTTGACAGATTACGGGGATGGGTGATGGGGTGAGTTGAAGCTATCGGTGTAGCAGCAACGATGAGGTACGGGTGTGCTCGTATCTAGGTGTGGACTTCGGATCGTTCGTTGTATCTATTCGTAGGATTGCGGGGTTGCGATTAATAGATTGGATTGGAGATGTGGATCGCAGGAGTAGAGAGGATGAGGGTGTTGTGTATGGAAAGAGCGGGAAGGTATGTAGGGTCAAGGTAAAGGGAGGATGGGCGGGAAGCTTAGAGCCGCACCGTCATGAAATGCGGGGTGGGTAACTCGAAAGGCAAAGCTATCAACTTCCGGAACACAGAGCTGTCTAATTGAGTATCGACAGGACTTGATGGAATTGGCCGAAGTAGATGGAGAGAAAGAAGGCGAGATCAGAGCGGTTGGAGTTGATCTCAAGCTTTGCATCTGCATCAGCTTCCTTGGACACCAAACGCATTGCGGGGCAAAGCGGGTTCTATCACGTGATATTCACACCTATGTGAACATGCTAGCCACAAGTGCTTCGTTCAGTGATGACATAAGTGGCTGAGACGCTTTCACGCCACACCCCATCAATCTTAGCTTGCTGTGACCTCATCTATTCCCGCAGAGTCGACATTTCCTTATCCCCACCCGTCCGCTCCTCCTCTTCTGTTTCGTGTTCTCTTCATCCCATCCTAACCATTGCACTCGTTCATCATCAATTGACCCAACACCACCATCTGCACCACCTTCAATTCCAAAAAATAGTGACACACGATGTTCGCCGCTCGCACGCCAGCACTGCGCGCGCTCACCCGCCGAGCAGCCACTTTCACCACTACCCCAGCCCGCCGTTATGCTTCCTCGCACGGCCATCCCACTGGCACTTCGAGTGACATGCCATGGCTGATCGGTGCCGTCGCCTTCACTCTGCCCGCCGTTTGTCCCCTCTCCTCCCCCATTCCACACCCCTCGGCATCCCGTAGCATAGCCGAAATTTCCCGGACCCGACACTGAAATTCATACTCGCAGAGCTACTACCTTCTCTCCTCCGGCTCGCCGACGCCGCATCACTCCGACCCCAGCAAGAAGATGGACACTGCCTCGACCAGCGCAGGCCCGGGCGTACAAACCCACCCTCCGGAGCATCACGGAAAGCTGGAGCTGCCGAAGAAGAAGGCCGCACCAGTAGAAGAGGAGGAGGAGGACGAAGATGAGGACACTGCGTCCGACAAGCTGCAGTCGGCTAAGGAGACCGCGAAGGATAAGGTTCAGGACGCTACTGGAGCTGTGAAGGAGGCTGCTGGTAAGGCTGGCGAGAAAGCCTCTGAGTATGCTGGGCAGGCGAATGACAAGGCGGAGGATGTCCAGGACAAGGCCCAGGACAAGGCTGAGGGCGCGGCCAAGAAGGCGAAGGAGACGGCAGAGGTGCTCAAAGGTACCGCCACCAAGAAGGTTAAGTCCGTCGAGGAGAGCGCGGAGGAGAAGGCCAATGCCGTTAGGAAGGGCCCATCCGACGAAACGGATGATAACGAGGGAGCGGAGGCGGAGAAGAAGAAGGAGGGGAAGAAAACCTCTATCAACCCCCAGAAGATCGATCCCGGTGACACTGCTCAGAAGGATGCCGGTGGCCCCGGAACCACGAGTGGAAAGCAGCAAGGAATCTCGAATGACGATACTCAACACCCGGTATGCCCAATATTGCTATCCTCCTTCTGTGAGCTTGGAATGCTGACGACGCGTGAATAGATCCTCCACGAGCCCCGTGGTGATGCCATCAGCAAGAAAGGGGAGGGCATCCACGACTCGGCCAAGATCAAGGGCACCGTCGATGTTAACCGTCCCGCCAAATAGATATACCACATTCCGAGCCCCGCGAGATGAATGGACGGATCTACACGTACAGAATGTAAAGGCCATTGAGATAGGAGAGTGTGACGAGAGTTTGCGCTGTGAGCAATTTGTACATCATTTTTCTTTGCAAAAGCAAGGCGTGGAGTGTGATAGACTTTGCTGCAGAACAGCAATTATTCGTAACGAAGAGTTGTGTTGTGCATCCATCTCGTCTTGTGTTTCGTTCCATCATGTAACCACCCCCTGCCTGAGGAACGTACACGGAATGTCCTGAGCCGAGGTGTTGCACAGTAGACTGCGGTAATTATTCCTTGTCTATGTGCAACCCGCCCCTTGAGTAGAATCAGTACTGAGTACCTAGACCAGATCAACGATTAAAGTAATCAAGCTTTTGCGTGGATCGCATGTTCGGATTCGTGACAGAACGGGAGACGAATTCCCTTCCCTTCTTTTTCGTCACAAGTATGTGGGGAAGCGGGAACTCCGGCCTCGCTAAGGTGAGAACATTGTTGGAAAGTCAAAGGAACGTTGCAGATAAACTTGTACGAAGGTTAGGCCAAGCGAACCAAGCATTTCCGAGACTGTGTGAGTGTGAAGGTGAAGTGGAGATGCTGTTGGTGATGGTGTTGGTGCTGATTCTCTACCTACCTAGCTTCTTCTTCCGGTGGAGTTGCGTCGTCATGTCATCCATCCCTCGCATCCCAGGTGCCGTCGCCGAAGATCTTGAATCCCGACATGAGGACAAGAGAGGAGAGCGACAACCCATTCACACCGACTCATCCACGAGATCACGACCACACAGACACCGACACAGCATACCCCTTACAGTCTCCATACCCCCCGTATCACCACAGAGCCACTCTAGGACTCTCTAGCGTACTGCCTTGCTCCAGCCCGCGCCAGATCACGCTCCCCCCCGCAAATTGCCACCCTCTATGCGCCACCAACCCTCTTCATAACCTCCGTCCCTCCCCACCAGGCGCATTCCTTCGATGCCCCATATGCCGCGACAGAACTGGCGCGCTCCGACCACAACCGCGCGGGTCACCGTGCCGGCTTCGTGCACCCCGTACTTCCTCCCGCCAGGCCTCACCATCGCGCTGCAAGAGTCCACCACCGTCCTGGCCTCCCAGATCGCCGTCACCCCCGCCTGCTACACCGCGCGAGCCACACCCACCACCTCCCACGATGGCGGATTCTCAGTGTCGCCGTCCGAACTGCGCGACCCCTTCTATGCCAGCACCATCCCGATGGCATACTCCATCGCCGCCACGTCCACGCTCGCATACGTCCTACTCCTGCTGCTCTTTCTCCCGAACCCGCCGCACGAGCGCCCTTGGCTCCAGAAAGTCGCCACCCTCGCCGTTTGCATCTGCCTGACCATCGCCTTCGCTGAGACCACCGATGTCCTGCGGCACGAATACAGCCTCGTAGGATCGTCCGTCTACAGTCTCACCAACGAAGCACGTGAAGTACGTTCCCGCGTCGTCGCCGGCATACATCTCAAGATCGGCCGGATAATCAGCGACCTCTTCCTATGGCTTGCGCAGGTCCAAACGCTGATCCGCCTCTTCCCTCGGCAACGCGAGAAAGTCGTCATCAAATGGGCGGGCTTCGCATTGATCGTCCTGGACACGCTGTTCTCCGTCCTCCAGGCTTTCGTCTCTCCCATGGCCTCGACCGACTCCTTCCTCGACGCAATCCCGGCACTCTCGTACCTATTCCAGATCTGCTGCAGCACCATGTACGCCGGCTGCGTGATCTACTACTCCATCGCCAAGCGGAGGTACTCGTATTTCTACCCGCACCGCCCCTTTTCCGCGCCATCCCCGGGAACGAAAAAGTACGGTGGCCGCAGCATCTTCCTCGTCGCCATTCTCTCCATCGCCTCCATCCTGACCCCTCTCGTCTTCTTCATCGTCGACATCGCACAGAAGGACCTGGCCGGATGGGGTGACTACATACGATGGGTGGGTGCAGCGGCCTCCAGTGTTGTCGTATGGGAGTGGGTAGACCGCATCGAAGGCCTTGAGCGCGAAGAGAAAAAGGGCGGCATTCTCGGCCGCGAAGTCTACGACGAGGACGAAGACCTCCGCTTCGTCGGCGGTCGCGGCGACGACGACATCCCGCCGCTGCCGCCCCCACGCCGCCGTCACTCGCGCGCACCCCCCACCACCACCACCACCACCACCACCACCGCCACCAGCGAAAGCACCAGGTACGAGGTAAACGTCGGCCAACTGACCTCAACGGAGAGCCACTCAGACCCCTCGGAGAAATCCGGTACAGCCAACCCGTCATCCTCGACCTCGCACCCGCCCTCCTCTCCCTCCCTCGACCCCGCCGCTTCCCTTCACCGTGCGCCTCCGGCGCCCTCACCATCTCCAACTCCGAACAGGAATTGGCGCCTACCCCGCAGAGACGTGCTTTCTAGAGCGGTGGAGCGCACCACCGCCCGCTTACGGGCCACCACGCCCCCACCCCCGCCCCCGCCCCCGCCGCCAGCGCTGCCGGTAACTATTATTCCGCCGCCGAGACGGCGGAGGACGCAGGGCGGGTATATGGGACAGGTGGAGGAAGGCGGGTGGAGGGAGGGGCCGTGGACGCCGGGGACCGAAACTGCCCCGCCTCCCGCTCCTGCTCCTGCTCCTGCACAAGTACCGCAAGTGGTACCGCAGGCACTGCCTGGCTTGCCGATGGTGGTAGTACCGGCGCCACCGAGAAGGTCGAGAGCGGGGGATGGCGCGGGTGCGGGCGGGTAGTCGAGTAGGCTACCTACCTGCGTTCGATTAGCTGGTTGGTTGGCTGGGCTGGAGCATTTTTGGGGCGTACCTTTCTTTTCATTTCTTTTCTTTATTTTCTTTATTTTCTTCATTCGGTTCATCATTTCGGTACTACCTACCTACTATTTATTGGCTTGTATGTCTCATGTCTATTTAGAATTCTCTTTCTTTTGTTGCTTTTGTTGCTTTCGTTTCTTTCGTTTCTTTCGTGTCGGAATACCTATCATCGCATCTTTTTTTTGGTTTTTGGTTTTTGTCTTGTGTTTTTTTTGGGTGCATTGAGGCGGGCGGGGTTGGAGTGGTTTTCATTTGTGTAAGTAGGTCTGGGGATCGGTGGATGGGAAGAAAAGAGAAGATGGTAACTACGGGGATAGGGATGTTGATGTTGGTGTTGTGTTTAGGGGATGTTGTGAGAAACTGTGTATATCCGGACGATGTGATACGAGCATTGAGAGATGGGATGGTTCGGTGGAGAGTATAGGTAGGTAGTAGGTGTATGTGGGAGAGGCGAAGGTCAATGGCGAGGCAAGGGTCGCAAATAGGACAGGCGTGAATAAATGGCGAAGAGCCAATGAGACTCAAGAGTCAATAACTGCTGGAATGTTGTGGCAAGTGGTCATCCTTGGTGCGCTCATATATCGTCGGGTCAGGCCACGGCGGGGGGAGGGAAAGCCACATCGGGACGCTGGATGAAAAGTCGGGTTGGACAGTGGCGTGGAAACGGGGAAGTGAACGGGTAGATATTGCCATGTAAATACCTAGGTCGCATGCAATTATTGATTAAACAAAAAACAAAAACTCCACTGGACCCCAAATGAAACCCAGGAACCATTCAAACTATCGCTTCCTCTCGACACCGTCCCTGCATATCTAAGATAACCGATCCGCGGGAAGCAGCCCGGTCTGAAGCCACTTCCTCACAATCATTTCCGGTAGCATTATCCTCCTGGCGGCTGTTCTCCTGGCCGCAATCATCCCGATAACCCTCTCCCGCATTTGCAGACGAATTCATCTTTCCCCCAACTGCTTCGTTTATGTCCGCGGATTCGGCCCCTTGAACTCCCTCTCGACATTCTGCTCCACCACTTTCCAATGGTGTACCCTCATCCTGTATGACCATCGGGGGTTCAACAGGAAGGTCGGAAATTTCCTCCATCCAGTCGGCGAGTCGTAGCTTTCTTTCCGCTGTAACTGACCTCTCATAATTCGGCTTGGTACCCGCCGTCACGGACGTATCTGCATTCAAAACGTTTGGTACGTATTTGAATGGCTTTGCTCCAAAGTTTGCTGTGACGCGGCCTGACAGAGACAAGCCGACTATCGGAAACAACTGGCCGGCGATCCCGGTAAATGCGACACCTATGTTTCCAGTATCAGTACAGAGCAGACCAAGGAAATACTATCAGCGAACTTACCCAAATGCACGCCGTTCTTTGTGAAGAAAATATTTCCCTGTTTATCCACCCCACAGCCGACTGTATCCCCAATCCCATACAGCTCACTATAGAAATCCCCATAACCAGCGCCAGTAAACTTCTGTCCATCATCGCCGTGATACCCCCAGGTGCGGGAGTCCCAGCCAGGCATTTGGGCGAAGTTCACATTAGGTTTGTCACACAGACCTAAACCAACGATTCTGTCTCCGTCAGCCTCGGTCGTTCGTTCTGCCTATGGAGAGATGTACATACGAGTCATCTGTAGCGACCACGCGAACTTCGAAGTAAGTTGAGGCATTGAAAACCTTATCGTCTCCTTGAGACCAGTCGTCCGTAGAATGCTGAGGCCGTGGGGGAGGAAATGGATGATTGGCTACGCCTAAAGCCCGGATATAGATACTGGTTTTGTAGGTCCCTTGCGAGGGAAAAATGGCATCGAGCCCATTGTTTTCCAATTCGATTTTTTTACTCTTAAACCGCGTGCTCCAAGCAGTCGGTCGACGTATCGTTATGGGTATATGATCAATGCTCCTGGTGATCGGTAAAGGTATAGTCGAAGATTGAATGGTGAGATCCACCGTGTGGCTAACATTGGAGTGAGCCTCGAGAAGCTCTACCATCCTCTCTCGTGATTGTGCAAGGTGCTCGATGGTCCAGCCGTGTTTGTCGGTGGAGGAAGGATCGGCTCCGGATCGTAACAAAAGGTCCACAATTCCCACATGGGAGCCGTAGTAGTCTTCAACTATCGCTACAGCGAGCGGTATTCTCCCAGTTATGTCGGCGATATCTAGTCGGGCGCCACGGTCAATTAACTTTTTCGCAGAGTCTTCAGCACCGATCTCGCAAGCGATGTGTAGCGCAGTAATTCCATCGTTGTTTTGCGCGTTTATATCTGCTCCGTTTTTGAGAAGTAATTCAACAGCCTCCCCAGAGAGGTTCTCAGCTGCTAGATGTAGTGCTGTATTCTGCTGGCTATCCCGGGCATGCACATCGGCCCTGTTTGAGAGTAGGAGCTTGACGATTTCGATGTTTCCCATTCCGACGGCACAATGAAGCGCCGTGCATCCTTCAGTGTCTCGTGGTTCGGTGTTCGCACGATGAGCGAGCAAGCTTTTGACCAAAGCAACATCATTTACCGCGTACTTAATGGCAGAGAGTAATGGAGTATTCCCGATGCCGTTTACGATCTCGGGCGAGGCGCGATGCTTATGCTTGAGGAGTATATCGACAAGTTGTTCGTTTCCTCGTAAGACAGTTAGGTTCAACGCTGTCTGTCCAGCTTTGTTTTGAGCATCGATAGTGGTTCTTGTTACTTTGTCGAGTAACAGTCGTGTAACCGAAACGTGATCATTTTCGCAAGCAATGTGGATTGCCGTTTCCGAATCGTTGTCGATGGCATCCGGGTCGGAGCCTTGATCGAGTAAGAGCGAAATGATATCTTTATGGCCATTTAGTGCTGCAAGATGAATTGCAGTTCGCCCTCCGTTATCCTTCTGGTTCACGTCTACCCTGGCACCTTCCTTTGCTACCCCACCCCCCTGTTCTACCACACCCCTCAGTAACATGATTGAAACCTCTTTACGCCCATTCATCGCCGCGAGATGGAGTGCTGTCCGACCAATATCATTCTTGGCTTGGATGTCGACACCCAAAGTCAACAGTAACTGGACTGACTCTGGCCCGCTCAGGACTGCGGAATGAAGTAGCGTCTGTCCTTCCTCGTTTTTGCTCTGGATATCGAAGCGATCAGCGTCCAGCAACACTCGCGCAGCCTTCTCATGTCCTTTCAATAGAGCGATGTATAATGCCGAGTTCCCCGCGTTGTCTTTCGCTTGCGTGTTGACCTTTTTCCCGAGCAATAGTTTAAGTGTGGAGTCTCTGCCATAAAATGCTGCGATGTGGAGCGGAGTCCGCCCGGACTTGTCGGTGGCTTCCTTATACACGTTGCAAATGCCCTTGGTCGTTTCCACATGCTTCCCATCAGTATCGTCGATATTGTGCTTAATCTCGTCAGCACCCCGGGTTGTTTCCCCGTCCTTCTTACTGGAACCCTCAGTCTCTTTCTTATCGGTACTCTCACACCCTTGAGCTTCGCTGTCGATATCAAGCAGTAGCTCAACGAGCGCATCGTGACCCCTCGAGACCGCCAGATGGAGTGCCATCATGCCTTCGCAGTCCTTGGCCTTGATGTCGGCATTCTTCTCCGACAGAAATTCCACAGCCTTCCTGTGGCCGTTCAATGCGGCCAGCATGATTGGGGTCCTTTGGCTCTGGTCCTTCGCCTCCAAGTCAGAGCCATCCAACAACAACTTTATACACGCGTGGTCTCCAGTGGTAGCCGCAAGATGGAGAGGTGTCATTTGCTGAAAATCCAGGATGGCCCGCGAAGCGCGAGCCCGCATCAGCAAATCCACGGCGAGGTTATTCTTCGCCAGAGCTGCCCAATGCAGTGGTGTTCGGTTGGTGGCATCTTGAACATCAACCCGTGCCTTTTGCCGCAGTAACGCCTCGACGAACTCGTGTCCATGTTTGGCAGCCCAATGTAGTGGAAATGTCCCGTCTCGTGCGCGAGCCTCGACTTGTGCGCTCTTCACGAGCGACATTCCGGGGGCGGCCTTTCCTTTCCGAGCCGCGTAGTGTAAGGCAGTCCAACCTGATATATCTTGGAGGTCCGTATCAGCGCCCTGCTGTATCAGAGCACTAAAAAAGCCGGTTAGCAAGCGTAATACACCCCAGTGAATAATCTTCGGTAGTCATACTCTACGCAGTTATTATTCCGACATATTGCATAATGCAATGGTGACCACCCCAGGATATCCTGCTCATTCCAGTCTCTGATGCCTTCCTCCGGCTTCCATTGTTTTCCGGAATAGATCTTTTCGTGCAACTCCGAAAACCCAACGGAGGAAGCCATCGGCGTCTCTTTCACTCCGGCGTCCGCCGTATAGGCGAGAAGCTTTTGATATTCTTCCCCTCGGTCCTGGTGTTTGTATATCAAACGTAATGATGCTTGGACTGGTTCGCACACGAGTTCTTTTAGACCTTTTCTCACGTTCACCGCTTGAAGTTCCAACTTCGTCCAGTCCGGGTGGTCTTTAGAGTAGAGTTGCTGAGTATTGACTATCCTCCTCAAGTACTCCACGACGGCGACCGCTGCCTTTAGGGCGAAGGGACACTCGGAAGGCGAGCCGAAATGGTGTGCTACGTGAAGCAATTCCAGATAGATGTCCGTGGACTTCTCCCAATTCAGGACATCCTCGAACTGTTCCAGATTCCGAAGCACCAAGTCGACGGCAGCACCAACTGGAAGCTTGTGCTGCCAGCTCAGCGGGGGAATGATGCAGAGATATGATTCCTCGAGGCTTCTCGTGAGACCAGCGTTTTGTACACCCAGCGCGATCTTGGCAATCACCGTATTCTGAAGTCGGAAATGCCGCCAGGCGGAGGGACGGTTGTGAGCCGTTTCTTGAGAAGCGGCCGACTTCCCGCCGATTCGATCCAATTTCGTCGCGGCCGCCATCATGAAGGCAGTGAAGATGTGCTGCGCGAACAGTAACTCTTTTGGTGTAGTTGTCACTACACCCAGTGAAATCGCTTTGGTATCTCGGGAGGCCTGGTCGAGACCGTTGGAACCGGTGGTCTCCGGACCGGTACCGGAAATCAGTGGGTCCATATCGGCCGGCTTATCGGAGCCAGGAGTCGACCCCGGGTCGTCTAAAGACAAGGTGCGGCATTCGAAGCTGATGAGTTTGAGTCCGTTGCTGCAACCACCTGTGCTCGCGCCGTCATCAAGATTGAAGTTTCCTGGGCAATGGAGGCCGGTGATCCTATGCCTATCTATACGGTAGATGTTGGGTTCTGCATCAGGAGTAGTCGTCTGTTCAGATGATCTCATACTCACTTCCAGAAGTCCGGCAGCGCCACCTGGTACCCACCACCTCAGGTCCCTGCGAAGAAGGAGGGTGTCAGGACCCAGAAATAACATGCTTTGTTTTCGTGGTTTGTGTCGAAGCCAGTTTGTGTCAGGCTTGCCGCTGTCCGACTCGATCTTCGGCGCTGCCTCCTCCGAACCATGGGCATGACGCAGCCAGAGCGATAATAGCGCCTCAATCCGATCGACGTTTGCCAGCCAGAACTTCTTGCCATCCTTATGGACCACTTCTGCTCGAAGGAAGATTTGCTGGTCCTCTGAAGACTTTGATGTAAGGTTGCTTGTGCACGATGTACCACCACTTCCCAGGGCTTCCATGCTACAACCACACCCAATCCGAACATCCAAGGGCCAACTGAACTCTTTTAATAATGTGATTTTCGGTGGAAAAAGCGTGTTCATGACCACTTCGATCGCATTAGCTGCGGCGACTGCGGCGTCGGATGCGGGACCTGTCCACTGGCTAAGTTGACCGACGCGTTGGCGAACATCCACCAGGTCCTGGGCGCTCAGGAGCGCTTCCTGGGGAGTTTTCTGCACTGGATCCGCAGGTCGTTGCCCGACCGACCGGTGAAGCCAGTCAAACAAGCGTTCAAGGATACGATATTGGCCTTGGACTGATGGCGTAGCCGTTCCGTCGGAGTTTTCCTGTACTGTATGCGCATCGGACTTTCGTACAGACGGTTTCCGACCCAGTCGGTTACGTACAGTAAGCGAGGACTGTGGGTTACTGACTTGCTGGCGAGAGGTTGGTCTCGATGTATCAGGGATATCGGGTGCTGGGAAGGAGCACCGTGCTCCTCCTGTTGTATCGGTGGGTACCGACTCTTTACCGGGATCGTTTGTTTTATCAGTAGGTATTCCACCGGTGATGACCCTAAACGTGCGCCATGAATGTTCATCCTCATGAGACTGCATGGCTCGAGTGTTGCTGCGTTTGCTGAAGTGTGACCCGAAGTCGTTCTTGTGTTTCGCTAATTCGGTAGCGAGCCACTCCAACTCGAATTCATTTGCTAACTTTACCGAAGACGGTCGTTTTGCCATTCCGCGACGGAGGAGCGCCCTCACAATTGTCATGAGAATTGTTGCTCCCAATTGTGCTGTTGAAGCCGACCTGCAACTTCAATTAGTCCATCAACTTTTCAAGGTCAAGGCTTTAATCACCAGTGCATGCCCCGCAGACCAATGAATTGGAATATAAACCCCACGACCGAGGTGACTGTTCCCAAGACGGTAAACCCACGCATGAGAGGTGAGGCGTGGGAGTCCGAGTCCTTGTGAGATGGCTGACGGCTGGATGTCCTGACCGTATCGACAGGGCCGTCCGCAATTATCGCATAGGAATCAAACGTTTGGTCGTTGATTACACGGCCTCTTTGTATCCTATTTCGGTCAGTCCTAGCTCACGGTGAAGACGCCCAAGTTATCCGCTCTCACCAGAATATAAAAAGCCTCGCATCCACCATTTCCGAGCGTTTCTCGTATGTATCTTCGTGGGTACTCCGTTCTACGACCGACGCCGCTATAAACATTCCGGTTACAAGTAACAAGGTTCCGATGGAAGTCAGCGCTATTACAATTGGATCAGCATTTCCGCATCACGATTAATCGGAAGTCTGTTTTGTGACTGACGGTACGAGTATTTTTGAACTGTGAGACCAGTCTTGTTGAACTGCAAGTGGGGTGTATAGGCCGCATAGGTGGCCACAACGATCACAGCAGCCTGGCTCAAGACTCCGACCGCGGCAGCCAAGTAGAGCTCCCAGGGCTTCTTCAGGACACTGAGATTCATCGAGATATTCGGAGCATCGTACTTCGACTGTACGTGCATGACATTTTTATCGCCGGCCTCGCCGCCGTCGCCATCATGCGTTCGGGAGAATCGCCCCCGTTGTTCTCTCCAATATTTGACTAGGTACTTGTTCAGCTGATCAATCACCCACTTGCGCCATTGCTCCCACTTCGACGGTTCTTTCGACTTGTTGAAGATGAGCCCAAGGTCTTCGGCTTCCTTGAGGGTGAAAACATGAAACTTCTGCTTGATCTCCGACAGCTCGACATCTCGCACCGTCTCGAAAGTACCACTGTTCACAGTGCCCGATTCCGCAGCCGACGGGCAGCCTGAGTAACAGCTCCGGGTCGACGTACTACCCTCAGCTGACCTCCGCTTTTTGATCTTCTCGAGAAGGTTGTCGGGAACATTCTCGAAATAGAGAAGTTGCTGGATTTGAGGTGATCCCATCACACGAACGATTGCATCACCATTCCAGATCTCGCACACTAAATGCATCAGCCCGAAGCTCCCGGCTCTCACATCGGTTTTTAGTTTCGACCGACCGACCTTCATGAGATGTCGATGACATCAGCTCAACCTCCGCGGCTGCACGGGTCTCCCTCGCTCGACCAATAATTCCACGCAGCCACGATGGCCCGCCGACCCTGATAGCCCCTACGAGAGTCAACCGTGAAGTTTGAACGAGGGCATTGCGCTGGAAACGCGGTGAAGCATACCGACAATGGCGGTGATAACGCCCAAGGGAGCCATTGAGAAGATCAAACTGTCGACCCAGCTAGTGGAGACGCTCATGAACTGCTGGGCGAACCGCTCACCAAAGCTGCGATTTCGTCAGAAGCGGAACATCGAATGCGAGGATGTGAGGGATATCACAGTGCGAGTAGTCTAGGCGAGGACGTCAGCGTGATAAGAAATGATAGGGCAATACGCTGTCCTTACGGCGAGAGATCCGAGACCAAGTTATTATTAAACTCAGCTCCAGCTTGATATTTTTCTTCATCACTGCCGCCGGGCGGCGCGGTCAAAGTAGCAGGTACTACCTGTTCTGGGGCCGCAGCGCCGGCCAGAACCACAACCAGAACCATCGCCAAAATCAATTTCATCAGCGCCATTACAGTGCACAGTCCGGAGATCGTCGAATGCTGTAGTACGGGGTTGTAGTTGTTGAGAGTAAACTCGACTCGGAGGATTCCAGTCAAGAGCAAAGCGAGAGACACCAAGCACCCGGCATGTGGTGTGGGAAACCCCAGGAAACCCCAGGCTGCGCTGATTGTAGGTGTGTAAGCAACATGGATAGATGCCTAGAAGCACACACGGCCAAAACTGAAGGTGACAGCAGAAAAAGAAAAAGAAATCATAGGCTTGCCCGCGACATTCACCAATAAGCCCCCTTTGAATGCGCGCCATCCTTCTGGAACTCCGATCTGCGCTCTGGAGCCTATGCCGAATCTCTGCGCACTCAAGAATCGGCCGATTCAACACCTCTGAGACACAGTTGTCAGTACTCGAAGTACTCCGCTATAGAGCAGTACCGTATTGGAATCCAGAATCCCGTTTGTTGAGATCCGCACAGTCGAGCGTGCCCTTGAGCGGCTCGAATTAGCTGCCGCAATTGGACTGAAACAGACACACGATATTCCCCTAGGGATTATGATTCGCCAGCAATGTGGGCTGCTTATCTTTCATGGCCCCCGGTGCGACCGATGGCGTGCAGGAAGTGACGCCTTTTTAAGGGCTCTTCGCCAATGCCTCTCCAGGCGAACAGGCGTGGCGAGGAAGGGAGCACACACAGAGGAGAGTGTGGGGATGGGGGGTTGGCCGCCTATTTGATAGATGACGATCAAGAAAGAAGAAGTAGAAGAAGAAGAAGAAGGCCCCGCCTTGCCTGTCAACGTTGATACCTACTATACTAGGTATAGTACAAACCACATTCGTTTCTTCCCGCCGGCAACTTGTGGTTGTAGAGAAGAGACTGGTGTTTTGGAAGGAATGTCGCTTGGATGGTCAAGATCGAAGAAATCATATCAGTCACTCGGTTCGGCAGGGTATATTGTGTATGTTACTAAGCAGGAATGAATGTCGCGCCCTCCGCGAGTCCGCAATTTGGTGTGCCCGACCATAGTGCTTCCAAAAGCTGGCGAGACAAACGCGGGTTATCAGTACATCGCGGGTAAATTTGGGAGCACGGAGCGGCAGTGAGGCTGGCTGCTAAAGTAGGCGACGCACTGCAGAGTACCTACCGCCAGATACGCCGAGAGGAATTCGATGGTATGTACGAGATCCTATGTTGAACGAAACGACTTGATCCGTGGGCATATCACAGTCCATGTGGTTTACTGGTCTCCATCATGCACATACGTTTCACAAATTGCCCTCTCCCGTCCCGCCCCCATCATCTTCAGGTTCTTGAGGCTAAGTCGAGACCCGGCCGGCTGGTGACTCCAGAACATGGGGTATCCCAATGGGGCCACAATACTCCGTAGCGGTAGTTGACGACTAGAAACTGAAGCCGCCATGGATCGAGTGTGCAGACCGCAGTCAATTAAAAAGCCGGTAACATCGTTTCGCACAGCGGCCAGAGCAATAATATTTGGCCAATAATCATGCATTCCTCACATGCATGGCCAGGAAGAAAGACCTTTCAGCGGAAGAAGACTCCGATGTATGTCTAGACTCCCTATGACCTTACCTAGCCCTTACAAGCCACGTAGTTATGTACAAGCCACAGATACCAATGCGCGGAACACTCCTGAACTGCTAGTACTATTAGCTACTATTCCAGGTAGCAATCCAACAACCGTGCGAACAGCGCCATAATCACCAGCCAAAAAGCTACCCGCCATAGATACACATAACTGTTGGATTAGCTGGTTATTTAGAGGGAAAGTAAATACATAGCACTAGCAAGCCAGGCCCGAGACCTTTTCGGGGCACCGCGCTGCCGGGTACCAGGCTGCCGGACACCAGACTGCCTAGGTATTCAAACACACCTGATATGGTACTTTATTGAAAGTAGAGGCGGACACATAAAGTATTAGATAGAGGACGGTGCCGACGGCATGAAGACGGTGGGAAAGAATCATCTACACCCAGCCACAGTATCCCGTGATCTTGCCGTATGTACAAGTTTAGTCTAGTGGTCATCATTCATACCCACGCGTGCCGAGAAACCCACGAGTATAAGCCCTTACCCGCTGAAGGTTAAGCATGTAATAGCGTAAAAAATAGGCGAAACCTCTCCTGACGAGCACCTTTGCATGCTCTAGTGAAAGCTTGTACCTTGCATGAATCCGGAGATCTATGTATGGACCAGCCCCTATGTTTCCCCAGGGCTTAAATACACAGGATCCACTGCCATTTGAACGACATCCCCGATCACGTTCTTTCACCGACACTCGCTCACACCATGGCTCGCCTGCAACTCCTCTCTCTCTTCGCCATCCTGGTCGCCGTCGTCGCCGTCAGCGCGAGCCCCTGCAAACCCAACTATCACCCGAAACCGTCGGATCTACCCGCCTGCTGCCCAGAGGGCAAGCCTCCCTCCCTCCCATAACTACGACCATGCGAATAGCGAGCGAACACTGAGACTAATTATCGACCGCAGTTCTGGCGCCGCTATGCGAAAAGTACAATATAAAACTCTGCCCGCGACCCGAGCCCGAGCCCGAGATTCCCACGCCAACTCCCACGCTCACGCCCACCCCGGAGCTGGAGACGCCCACGCCTACCCCGAAGCCGGAGACTCTCACGCCCACGCCTACCCCCGAGCCGGAGACTCCCACTCCTACCCCGGAGCCAGAGACTCCCGCGCCTACACTCACACCCGAGCCAGTGTGCACAATCAGCGGGGAGACCTGCGACATCAACCGCCCCATCCTGTGCTGCTCTTCTTGCTGTGCGCAAATCAGTCTCACTGTCTTTCGTTGCTGTTGAGATCTCAAGACGACGATACGGCCGGAGTGAGGGCTTGCGGATGGTGGGCGGGTGTCGGTAGGTTTCTTGGGGGAGGATATTGTAATGTAACGTATTGTAATGCAGAATGGGGTTTGCGGTGGATAATCGATTACTTACGTAGGCTTGGCTGGTGGCTTTCGATTGGCACAACGTCGTCGTTCGCCCCCCTTGCTATCCGCAATGCAGGTCCTCTGTGTTCATGAATCATCAGGCGCATCAGGACCTGGTGTCATAGTCCCTGGGCTGTAATGTGTTAGAGCGGCATGCAATTCAGCAGTAGACAGTGGCCCAGAGCAGTCCAGATTCTCCTTACCGTCGCCTCTGCCGACAACTTTCAGGAATCACGTCCGACAAAGGCGATTGCGAGTGTTCCGTTATGATTCAACCCAAATTGAAGATCCGGTAGAGTACCGATGACATAACTCGTCGAGCTCTCCGTCCAGGGACATGACCCGACGAAACCGAGATCTGGAAAATCGCCACTGATACCCACACGGCCATGTACGTCAGCCCCGTGGTACTCCACCACCGGCGGGTCCTCCGGGATTGCAACATGGACACGAGCTGCAGCCTGCAGGTACATGGTTACGGCTCATGGGTGCTCGTGGACGCTGGACGCGACAGAAGTTGGATGGCAAGGTGACGTGGAACTGCTATACTTTACTTTACTATTACACTTGTCATCGTGACCGTGCAACGATGCAGCCGAGTGAGACCCAATGCCTGTCAGCCCCTGCTCCGGGCGCTTCAAAGTTCAATCGCGACCAGTCTGGACCCTGGTATGAACAGGCCGCGTATCGATACAGCAGTAAGATTCGTGCTCCAGAGACGCAAGTCAACTCCCTCTTCGAACAAAGACGAAGTGGGATGAGTACATAAGGTGACCGAGTGAGCAGCTGCACCTCCAGCCACCAGCCATCACCAGCCATCACCAGCCATCACCAGCCATCACCACCCATCATCAGCCGGCGATGTTACATCTTATCAGTGAGTAAAACTGTTAGATCACTGGACAGACTCTCTAATCACAGCCCTCAGAATAATCACACATGGTGAGCGGTCACTCAAGCCGACGGGTAGGGTGTGGTCACGTGTGTGTACGCTAATTTTACGCTAACGTCACGCTAGCGCCGATTCGATGCTCTTGGAATGTTTCCACCTATATATTCACCGGTTCGCACGACTCTACTTCCCTCTTCTCTTCTATACACAACATCATCTTCATCTTCTCAGCCAAAAATGGCCCATCTTCTCACTTACCCGCGACTTCGATTCGCATTTTCTTCTTCCGGTCCGAGGACGCCACGAGGTGTCCTTGAGGGAAAGGGCGAATGGAGTTCCGCACGGAATATGTACATCGACCGCAACGACGCACCGAGAAACGACGCACTGATAGTCCTGGACGAGGCCCAAACGATCCGGAGCATTGAGAGCGCGAACTACAACACCGTCGACGCTGTAAAGGCCCATTCCCGCTGGGTACTGACGGGCACGCCTGTAGCGAACGGCCTGATGGATCTGTGGATTCTGATCTGTCTCCTCCAGACCAGGAAGTCATTGGAACATCGGGACACGTTCCGCTCGCTGTGTCCGACCCCTCTCCAGCTGAAGAAGAGGCCCAGGATGACTCAGAAGTCACAAGAGGTGATGAGGGCATACGGTCTTCGCACGAAGAGCATAGATTTTATCCAGCTCAAGATGCCGACGATGACGGCTTGAAGGTACGAGAATTATCACATTCGACACGAGAGGTAGTAGAGGGCTGACAAGTAATAGATATGACTGGTGTTCAGCGGAGGATGGCCGCGGCCACAAAGGATGGTGGCGGCCGGCACAAATACAAAATTCTCGCCGAGTTCGATAACCAAGCGACAGCGGGTGGTGACGACCCCTACGCCCACTGTAATGAATTGCAGAGGGTGGGGATTTATTGGGAGATGAAGGAGGACTGGGGATGGGCATAGGTGGAAGCGGAGGAGAACTGGAGACGGAGGAGGACTGGAGATGTGTAGAGGTGGAAAGCGGAGGAGGACCGGAGATGGGCAGAGGTGGGAAGCGGAGGAGAACTGGAGATGGTTCGAATGCTTGCGGATGATTATAAGTACTTGAGGTGATTCACCGCCGTGGATGACGAATGCCATTACAATTGCTTGAGACGATTCACCGCCATTAATTATGAATGCTATTTTATGATGTGTGATGTATGAGTACCCTTCGTAGCTTCACAGAACCACATTCATAGTTACAGCCACCCGGCCGCGACACCGACCGTTTTGTTTCGTTTCCAGTTCGTTTCTCTCCCAGGTCCCTTGCCGTCTCTCCCTAGCCTTCTCTCCCTAGCCTTCCCTCCCCCTCCCTTGTGTCGTCTGTCGCCACCATGAGAGGAACACATGTGGGATAGATGCAGGATCTGATAAGATAGGAGGATGAGAGGCAAGCCGGGTCGAGTGACACCGAACGTGTAGAGTAGGCAGCGGAGGAGAGCCATGTCATATCAGATGGCTCTTCGAAGTTGAATACAACCTCCACTTCCTCATAGTCTTTCATGTTTCATTTCCGCCGTCTTCCTTCCAGGCATCCAGGATTCTGCCACCTTACCTACACTTCCTGTCCACTGCTCCAAGCGCGCACCTGCCACCTGCCACCGCCGCACTCATCATTCCGCAATCCGCATTTCGGCGGAGGTGCCAATCCTATTATCCCATGTACCCTCTGTACCGGTAGTGTCCAATCATCAATGAAACGGAAGGGGAAGCGGGCGTTTGCGTATCTATCGAGAAGTTTGAGCCCATAGCTGTAACTAAGCGAGGGGAGCGGACGCCGGAAGTTCTCCCTCGAGCGATCACGAACGATCACGACTCACGAGCGATCACGGGCAACTCGCGTGTGAGCGAGAGGTTGGTTCGGCGGGGGAAATGGGAGGGGCGAGGTACTATTATCTATACTACCGGTACCTATAGAGCGTTGAGTGATGCCTCTTCTGGGGGTGATAGATACTCGCGACAGGTGCCTATTCCGCCGCGCCGCCTGTATTTCGCCAGGGCGCTTACTGCCTAAGTACTGGCACTTCCCCACGATTGAGGCAGCTCGACGACGGTAGCGATATCAGCTATCATCTATCCATCATCCATCCATCATCTATTTGGAATTGGCGATGTCGCAAATCTCCGGGCTGTTTCAACATTCAACATTCAACGATCTCGCGAGTCGCGAGTGGTGATTGCCTGCTTCGAGTTCCAAGTTCCACGTTGCAAGTTCCAGCTTTTCTGTCGGTGTCGCGAATCGCGATATTCCCTTGGTTACCAATTCTACTGGTATGTAGCCAGACGAGATTCGGCAGTACCGAGTGCGGTTTCGCAAGCTGTCGCAACTCGTCGCCGCTCGCGACTCACGACTCACGAGATCTGTTTATTGATCGCCAACAGTCGCGCGACTCGCGATTCGCGCACCAACGGTCGTCGAGCTCACCCACTCACTCATTCGCTCATTCACTCATTCACTCATGCATGGTAGGTGAAGTATGTGGAGTAGGGCACAGACACCTCCCCTCCGACCTCCCACCTCCGACCTCCCCTCCGACCTCCCCTCCGTTCCTCTCCCACACAAACTCCCAGTCTCCCACTCTAGAGCACTGCACCCTGCCATCGAGCGACGACACTCGGAGATTGGTCAACCATCCCTGCCACCCGCCACCACACCCAGCAGCACAGCCCCTTGTCGACTTCAGGAACCAGCCCAGGCACAGGAACAGGAACAGGCCCAAGAACCACAACAGGCAGAGGAACAGGAACCGCAAGAAAGGAAAGAAAGAAAGAAGAAAAAAGGGGCTTCCACTCAACACGCCGATTCGACTCGACTGCACACCCCTCCACAACGTCGTCGTCGTCGTCGTCAGGTCATGCGTCACGCTGTCAGCGCGCGCAGAGTATTCCCTACCTACTTACTTCCTCGCTCGCGAATCTGCGAGAATCTGCGAGACGGCGAGTGGCGCTCGCTGCAAATTTCGGTTGCGATTGCGAGGGTCGGCGTGGTGTGATTGTAACGGTTTTTTCTTTCTTTTCGTGGCGTGCAGTTCAGCTCAGCTCTGTTCTGCTCAATGAGGTTTCTGGGAGTGGAGGGAGGGAGGGGGAGGGGCGTGGGTGGATTGATTGACTGGCTGGCTGGCCGCCTGGCTGCCGCGACTCGCGAGCAGTGAGGAGCGTGGCTATCAGACAGCTGGACAGATGGTCGGTTCGACGGAGAGAAGGTTCGACGGTTCGACGGAAGATGGTGCTTTGTTGCTATCAACGACGTGCGACTCGCGAGGCATAGCCTTGGTCTCTCTGTGTCTCGGAGTCTCGGCAACGGAGTCGTGGCCGTTTGCGAGCATGCCACTTTTCTCTGTCTGTCAAGCTCAACAGCTCAGTTCATGCACACAACACAATCACACACATCACCAGATTCACAGCGAACATGACGAGAACGAAACCATTTACAACTGCCAACGACCGCTCGAATCCGCATTCCCTCCTCTCTATCTGACCTGACCTAGTAACCAGTGACCACCACCACACACTATAAATATCTGTATATATGAACGTCGAAGCAGAGAAAAAAAGAAAAAGGAAAAAGAAAAAAAAGCATGGAAAGCCGTTCCGTCCCGTCAAATACATTCACAGCGCGCAAAAACAAGGGAATCAGAGCGCCGTGAAGAAGCAACAAAACCAAAGCATTTCCAATTCGGACCAAAATACACATGTGAAGCGAAAAAAAGACATATTTTCCGAGATCCCCAACAAATCACAATCAAACAATTCCTAGCAAGACAGTACACAACAAGACACAAACAGCAGACTACTCATGACACAACACAGAACGCTTAGTTCTTGTGGTTGTGGCGGCGGTGCTTGCGGTGCTGGGTGAGCACGTCGCGCTTGGTAGTGGCGGCGGCTCCCTTCTTGCAGTCGAACGCACCGGAGAACGGGCACTTGCCGGTGGTGTCGTAGTCGAAGCAGTTGACCTGGTCGGCGTTCATGTACCAGCAGGGGGGGCAGTCTGTTCCAGTGCACTTCATCGCGTCGGTGGCCATGCCGCCCTTGTAGCAAGTCTTGGAGCAGATCTCGGTGGCAGTCTTCTTGGTGGCGGCCTCCTTGTCGTAGCCGGCCTTGTTGCACAGGATGTCGGTGTTCACCTCGTCTGGAAGTATGTTAGTAATGACTCGCGGAGGAACGAGGGCGGATTGCGGAGCTTACCAGTGAAGGTAGAGTTCTCGATCTGGATGTCGAAGCAAGTACCCCACGCGTTGTCCCAGCTGGAGTCGTACACGTTGGCGTCACCCTTCTCACCGTCGACGAGCGACTCCTTCCACGCCCACGACCAGACCATCATGTGGCGACCGTTCTGGATCTTCTCGGGCAGGACGAACGAGAAGTAGTTGGCCTTCTCGTTCATGGTGTTACCGTTGATCTCGGTGACGGCGTCGCCCGAGAAGTTACCCTGAGCACCGGGGATCCAGTACTCCTCGGTCAGATCGGTAGCGTGCACGATCTCAGTCTCGGGCTTTCCGGCCCAGAAGATGCGGACGAGACCGGGGTCGCGGTGGTTGGGCGAGCCAATGTCCCACCGGGAGTGACCGTTGCCCCAGAAGCGCATCAACAGAGTGTCGCCGGGAGACGCGGTCGCCATGGGCGCGCCGGCCGCCTGGCCCGCAGTCCGCTGTCCATCGCGGCAAGCGTATTCGGTGTTGAAGTTGTAAGAGTAGTAGGACGACTCCGAGATCCAGTCACCGTTGTGGACCTTGTTGCGAGGGTATCCGTTGCAGGTTTGCACGCTAAGAGGAAAGTGTCAGCGGGATGTCTCTCCTTCGTAAACTTCTCGTTTCCGAGAAGGTTGGGGGGAAGCTTCTGCTTACAGTGTGTCGCTAGGGTGGGACTTAGCGTAGTCCTTGTTCTTGACTACGGTGTCGACACACTCCAACCAGGAGTGGGCGGCGACAGAGCTGACCAAGAGGCCCATGAGGGTGGAGAGAGTGAGGAGCTGCATCGTGAATATTATTTAACGGTGTGTGTGCGTAGAGAGTGAAGGTTGATTGTTGAGTGTTGTTGTTGTGGTTGGGAGTGTTGTCGGGGGTTAAATAAGTAGCGGCGACGACGGCGAAAACGAGAGTGGGCGACTTCTAAAAGCTCAAGGAAGGAATATTGAAAGAGCGAAATTCCAAAGGCTTTCTGTGTGTGAGGGTGAGGAAGGAAGAGAAAAGTTGGGCTCGGGGTCGGGGGGAAGGCTCTCTAAAGTATTCCCGTCCTTGGCCCCATTCACCACACCTGGGGGGGTCTGCGACGAGCGGACCCCTTCCCACCAATAATTGTGATTACTCTAGTTGCTAGCCGGCTGGTTAGCTCACCCCCCTCTCCCTCCCACCTCGCACCTCCCTCCTCCTCCCCTTGCCCCTCCCTTGCCCCTCCCTTGCCCCTCCCCTTCGCGATTCAACCTACTCCATGCGGTGTGCGTGTGCTGTGTGTGTGCTTGCTGTGTGTGTACTCTGGATACATGTCTACTTGCTGATACCCAATTCTGCTAGCAGGTCTTCCGTGCTCGGCTGGATACCTTCTCTCCTCTGGTACACACGCCAGAGTCTCGATTGCCGCTTCTCCTCCAGTCTAGCGCTACTTGTGGCAGTGCTGGTTAGCCACCCTACTCCACTCTTCTCTACCGACTCTCCTCGCCTCTAGCAAGTCGCGATCCTCTGCTCGGGCCCAGCGTTCTGTACTCTACAGAGACAGAGAAGAGCGAGAAGCAGGAGTTGCGGAGACGCAGAGTTTGGAAACCTGTTGCGACAAGCGTGCGGTTGTGCAAATTTGTGCGGGCAAGGGAGGGAGGGGCCGGGGAGGGACCGGGGGCGAGTTGCAGCAACAAGGGGCAAGAAGCCCCGGGCTAACCAAGCAGCCAACCCAGCGTGCTGAGAGGAGAATCGGTCGGCACAGGGGTCGGCTACAGCAGGCAAGCAAGCAGGCAAGTACGAGCACGCCAACGTTTCATATTTACTACGCCCGGTCCTGGGTGGATGGATGGCCCATGGGACATCGACACGCCCGTTCGCCACGATGACTGCGGCTGCCGTTTCCCTACGACGTGAAGGATTGCTGCTTGCTTGCCGGAACCCCAGCGGTATCACCAGCTGCCAGCTATGCACTCACTCGGAGGCTGTCACTCAATCCAGGTATCCATATACCTACCCTACCGTACTTACCGACCGGTGTGAGTCCACCGCAGTGTCGGGGCACAGTGGCTGCGATACGTACACACGCGGCTCCATAGGCCACGCATACTCGACCCAGTGCCCTGCCGTGGTTACCGTACGCGCTGCTGCCCTCCAACTTCTCGATTGACCCTATTATGCGAGGGTGTGTACCTATACCATCATAGTAGTATACTCTCGATAGTATCGTACCTCTCACTCCATCAATCTCTTCATTTCGTTCGGTCGGACATGCGCCACCCACTACTACTCGGCCTGGTATTTACACAAGGAAGATGGACCACGCACTGCGACGTCCTCACTCTCTCTAGAGTGACGGAATCTACTCTCTTCTAGGTACTCCATAGTACATTCTCTTCTACCGGTACGAGATATCCTCTCCCCCGGCGTAAGGCACGGACTGCATCAATCTCCACGCAGGTACCGAATTCTCTGGTGTGTCCCTTCCCTTCCATGCAGGAACGAAGGGAACGCGCACACCCGAATGCCATGGCCACGTTTGCCCACTTCGGGAATCCCCGCTTGTTCCCCCCACCCCTTTTTCTTCTTCTTCTTCTTCTTCTTCTTCTTCGGCGATGCGTGCGAGAGAAAGAGAAAGAGAGATATCGACTTTTTCCGCCCGCCGCCACGACGCTCAGCGACGGAAAAGACGCCGCATACATAATTTCTTACATACCCAAGTACATCTTTCTTGGCTCTGCTAGTTAGTGACTCGTGGTTACCGGTATTCCGTACCAGTTGGTTACAGCCTTGTGGAATCAAATAACTGTCACAGCCCTACATATCTCCCGTGCTCGGAAACCGAATGCCAGCGCAGTCCATGACTCCATATCGTACATGGAAGCGTCGTATCGACGAGTCACGACAGCTGCCAGCTGAGCCTGCATGCGCGGTCGTGCCCGTGGTTGGTTACGTAAGTCTCGCCCGTCCCGCCAAAACATCAGCGCGGAGAAGCGGCATCTGGTACTCTGCATAGGGAGTTAAGCGGAAGCGAGTGATAGTGCATCGGACGGTGCCGCCGCCGTAGTGATGGTTGGTTGGTTAAGGTACCACGGACCTCGACTTTGGCTTTCACCGCTTCACCGCTTCACCGCTTCACCGCTTGACCGCTTGAGGGCGCCCACGGCGCACGTGAGCGATTGTGAATGGGTGAAAAAGTGAAAGGATGGACTTTGACGCCTTGAAGCCGCGAGCGAGCCCGGCTGGTAAGTGCGTTGACGATACGATACGATTATACATTTTCTGTGGAGGGCTGGGGCTGTCGGTGGTCACCGTCGGTCACTGTGGAGCTGTCGGCAGTTGGCCTGCGTCGCCGCCCACGACAGGGCCCACGACAGGACTCTGGAACAGTGGAACAATGAAACTAAGCTCTGTGGCGGTCGCAGGTACTCTACATACATCTGTATAACTCTACCGGCAGTAAGCAACCAGCAACCAGCAACCAGTTCCCAGCACGGCGGGAGTGGATCGCATCGCGATTAGATACCGTACATGTATCCATCAGGCATCTACCGAATATTCCTCATGTTCTTTCTTTCCTTCCTTCTTCCCTTTTTTCCTTTTTTCCTATTTTTTCCTTCCTTTCTGCCCCACCATCTGCATTGCATGCTGCATGCACCTCCAACTCTTGCGCCGTTAGATATGATGGATCCCATGAAACCGCATGCCGCATGCGCGCCGGCACAGGAAGCAGGAGAAACTTTTTCGCGGCCGGCCCGCGGCGGTAAGAGGAGAGTAGAGTAGAGTAGGTAAGCTGACGACGACGGTGTTGGTGACGACAATGATTATGGTGATGAGGAGGATCTACACATCTCGTAGAGATGGGTAGGTTTTGCGTATTTTTCTTTACCGACCGACCCGGCGACGACCCGGCAGCCCCTCGCGAGTCGAGACGGTTCACAGTTCAACTTCCAGTTTCCGCCCCACCGGGCGCTAATGAACCAACCAACCAGCCAACCAACCAACCAACCAAAACCTCGCCCAGCACGCACCTCTGCGTCCACAGTCCAGCCTGTCCTGCCTGCCTGCCGCGCTATGATATGCATCTACTCTACTTTCCATTCCGAACCCTAACCTCCGCCCAGTAGAGCGGGTGCCAGGTGGTGTACCTGGTATAAATAATAGTGTATATTTTGGCCGCGTGGAGTATAATTCCGGAAACAGCGGAAGCGAGAGGGGAGACGAGACGAGTGCGAGACGAGACGAGCGGGATGAAAGCGGGCTGGTGGTGGTGGTGGTGGTGGTGGTGGTGATGGTGGGGAAACTTGAAAGGGGGGATGGGAAGTTGGAACTGGGAACTGGCCCTGTGGAACTGGGAACTGGGCCTGTGGAGCTGGCCTTGTGGAGATGAAGGAGGTGAGCTCGAGCTCGACGGCTGCAGTAGTCTGGGTGCTAGGTATACCTACCATATGCTAGAGCAGTAGTTAGTAGTATCCACAGCTTTAGGACTCGGGAGTCGGGAGGCCATCCTCAGCCTCAGCAGATATTCAATCAAAGTGGAGACACCTGGAGTAGGTATGTAGATTCCCAATCGCATCTCAGCCAGTGGCCACCAGGACGACACCAGTGCCGTGAGCTTGAGATCTCGAGAGTTGAAATGTACTTAGGTACTCCATGGGTATATGTCGTGCATCAGCTGTAGCTATAGCTATACCTAGCTAAAGCCGGAGGTTCGCTGAACCGTGGAAACCGAAAAGCTTACTCGGGAGTCGGGTACATACATATCTAGTCAACTATCCAAGTATACGTATAGATAGCCGTGTGTAGATCAGGCCGGCCATCTGGTACATATCAAGCCCAGCCCTGAGCCCAGCCCACTGAGCCCAGTCCAGCGAACCGATTGATTGATGATTGATCTCCACGAGCGAAGCTTTCTAGATATGTATGTCCCCGAGTGGATTATCGGGATGTACGCGAAGGAAGGGGAGGAAGGGAGGCCCGAGGGAGGGGTGACGCCGAAAGCTGAGATTCAACTACCCACCTACCTACCCACCTACCACCTAGGTCGCAGGTGCTCCGAGCGTCGTCGTCGCCGCCGGAGGAACCCTTATCCTTGTTTCCTTGCTCGTCTGTTCAGTTCACCGCGCTGCACCTTGGTACCTACCTACATAGATATCTGCATAGTCTCGGACTCTCGGCGGCGGCATGCGGCGTGCGTGCGACATGGCATGGCATGGCATGGTTTTTCGGGACCACGGCGACGACAACTCGACAACTCGACGACGGCGGCGGCGGTGTCATGTCATGCCATCTGATAATGACATGCCATGCCAGCTGATCTGATCGTGATATATCAGTCGTGACATGACCTGCGACCCACCGCATCACTCGGGACAGAGGAAATCTCGAGGTTGATGGGGGGGGGGGGAGGGGTTTGTTGCTTGCTTGCTACCACTCTACTCTATAGGCACCCACTCTGGCTCACCGGTCATGATTGATCCTCGCCGAGTAACCATCTATCTACCATGTAGATATAGTAGTTACGCACCCGCACCCCCAATCCTCGTCCGCGTCCGAGTTTGACGTGTGTGAATGTTTATATATATGTGTGTGGCTCAATACAGGGAAACCGAAGCGACGCCTCCTCGTCGCCTCGACGACTCCATCCATCGCTGGAATACTAATACCAATAAATACCAAAACCGTAAATTGCATTATTCGTTTCCCTAGGGCCTGCTGCGGTCGCGGATCGTATGTGTACCTACTCTATACCTACTCTATACCCACTCTATTACCTGGATAGATAGGTATGTGCCTGCATAGATTGTGGGCTTTTGATTGCTGTCGTCTACCTACTCTAACTACCTAGGTATTCATCTAGGTAGATTCTCTGCCGAGTGCCCATCCTCTCCTTGAAACATCCATATCTAAAAGACTATCTATTGACGGGCTGACCTGAAGGCTGAAATTGTGTCCTTGTTGCTTTCGCGTCCCTGCTCGGTCTATCCCCGCAAACCCGCGCGCGTCGTCGTTGCGGAAAACAGAAAGAAGAAGGGGGAAAAAATTCATAGATATGTAGGAGCGCAGGCGGTATTGACGTTTGTCTCCTATGCTCGATGGGCTTAATTACCTCCGGTGCAGCCTTGCAGGGAAGCACGCATTGCCGGCGACGTAATCAATTACATATCAGCAGGCAATACCTGTACATACGGCGCCGCGTTCGTATTCGTGTTCGTGTGCTCGAGACCGGTAGAATGCCGAGAATCTGAGCATGGCCGAACTCCGAACTCGAGGCGTCCGAGGGTAGGATCCGCTCGAGAGATCCGGGTAGGCGAGGCGGGTAGGTCGGGCGGGTGGACTCGGTCAGATATCATGGTGTGGGGCTGGATACACTTACTGTGTAATACCAAGGTATGTAGGTAGTGGACGGTTTTAAAGAATCCTGATGGCGGGAATATGGTGCTTACAATAGTATACTGACTGGCCATAGGTATGTAAGCATGTCAGATTCATGACTCATGAGCGGGCACTGTGGGGTTGGAGTCTGCACAGTGGACACCGGCGTGCCGCGTGCGACTGTTAATCCACGACGCCGTCTGAGCATGCAGCACGATGGCCCTCGGGCTATGTACTATCTAGTATTTAGTTGATTGAACTCGTATATAGTACTCTATTGGACCACAATATCGAGTT